ACATTTATATATGTTACAGTTTGAACTATACCTGATTTCTAAATTGTAGAGAATTTCCATTACATTCTAAAAGATTCAAAAATCAATCCGTAGATGCAGTTATATATTTAATTTATCAAAGAGCTGTTACAGTTATTGCGAAGTGTGTCGGTGCAGAACAAAGACTAGATTGAGGGCGAAGTACAAGTATAGGGTACAATGTTCAAAGTAGTGGGCCTATATTAAAATTGAAAAATTTGTTTATTTCCCAACATAATTGGACCATTATTAATTATGTATGTTCATGATTGTAGCTAATATATGAAGATTTGGTTAATTTAACAAGCAGTAATATTTATCTTATAGTTTGAGCAATACATTTGTTCCAAAATTTCAGGGTAAATTTTCATTACTTTCTTAAATAGTGTAAAAGTCACTATTTATTTGTAGATGCAGTTGAACTTTTGATTTGTCAAAGAGCTATAACAATTATAACAGAACTGCGTGTCGGAACGGATTTGGGCTTAATATCGCACGTTAATAGGATATTTGTTATTTAGGATAAAGAAGGATATATACATCACTGAAAGTTTAGAAAGGAAATGGACAGTCGTAAATGAGTAAATTCGAGTTTCCTATGACCAAAAAAAACAGTGTAAAACAATACAATTAATAAATAAATAAGTAATATAAAATAATTAATATTTGCAACTGATAAAAATGAATGACTTTTAACTCTAGAAATAAATGGAAATAATAATAAAGAGAAACATAGAGAATATGTGCAGATATGTATAAAAATAAATAAAGAAATAATCTAAACGAACAAAGCTACTTTGTTCAAAGTAGTGCGCGTATAGAAAATAAACAAATTTAGATATTTTTTAACATAATTAGACAATTATTGAATATTTACATCCATGCTTAAACCATATAAATTAAGAATCGGTTAATTTAGCAAGCATTAAAATTTATTTTATAATTTGAACAATACCTCATTCCTGAATTGTAGCATAAAAGTTTCCATTACTTTCTTAATAGTTTAACAATCACTATTGATTAGTAGATGCAGTTTAACTTTTGTTATATCAAAGAGCTATAACAATCGTTGAGAAGTACATCGTACAGAACTGCAACTAGACTGAGTTCGAAGTACAGTGTGTAGGGTCCAATGTTTTAAGTTGTGGGTTAAATTAAAATTTAGAAATTTCTTTGTTTTTAAACATAATAGAACAGTTATTAAATACTCATATCGATACTTGTATTGCATAAATTAAGAATGACGAAATTAACAAGCAGAGTTTTTTTTGCTCGATAATTTGAACAGTATCTTATATTTAAATTCAGCGTAAATTGCCCATTGCTTCCTTAAATATTTTATAGGCACGATTTATTGGGGCAGCTAAACTTCTGATACATCGTAAAACTGTTATGATAATTGAAAACTTCAACTTCACGGAGCTAGAATTACACTTGGAAGTACCATGTTCCGATTGGCACAGCCACGTTGTGTCAAAAGTTCAAATTAGTCGAGTTAAATTAAAATAAATTTATTTATTTTCCAACACAACAGGACAATCGTTTAACATTTACTTTCAAGATTCTGCATATATCTATATATATATATATATATATATATATATATATATATATATATATATATATATATATATATATATATATATATATATATATATATATATATATATAAGTCATCATTTTTAAACTATTTGAGAAAGGAATTGAAATGTTTTTATGATGTTTAAAAATAAGATATATTTTAAAATTTTGAATATGTGTTACTACCTATTAAATTAGTAATTATTTATATATAATTTAGTAATTTAATAGGTAGTAACATATATTCAAAATTTTGAAATATATCTTATTTTTAAACATCATAAAAACATTTCAATTCCTTTCTCAAATAGTTTAAAAATGATGATTTATTTTTAGATGCGGTTTTACTTCAGATATATAGAAAAAATAAAATAAATAGAAAGATGTGCATAGGTACAAACCTGATACTTGTGCAAATACTAACAGAAGTAAATGAAGTTGGGGACTTATATGTTTTAAGTAGTAAAATATAGAAAAATAAAGAATTTTAACTATTTTCTTTCGCGTCATAGACAATTGTTAAACATTTATTTACATGCTTGAAGTTATACAGACACTACCGGATCCAGGATTAAATTTTGGAGGGCCTAAGCCCTAAAGATTTTTTTCTTATGCATATTTTACGATAATTACTTCGGAAGAGAGAAAGAAACAAAGTACCTATATGAAATAGTGATTAAGTGATTCTTTAAGTCCTATTAAATGTAATTAGACAAACAATAATACTTTTAGAGATAATATTTTCATAAAACATGGTTATATTTTACCATTTTAGGAGGGGCTTCAGCCCGAAAGCTCCTTAATTCAGCTCTGAACTCATCGTTTTAAACTGGGAGAAAAGATGTCACCGATGAGTTTAGAGTTTAGGAACTTGGTCATATTTATACACATACATATTTTCCCAATATTTTCTTTTTGATTTTTCAAAAAGGAAAATGTTTTTTGTATTTTTTTAACTTTTATTATGATATTTACAACTGTATTAGTATGAATACATCAAGTAAATGTGTACATAGGAATATAATCACATGAAACACACTTGTTGAGAAATCACCCATTGGTAGTACTCTAATAATTTGTAAATTTTTTTTAAAGATGAGAAACAAGTTTACCAAAACAAACTATGCATGGGAGTATATTTGTTTTCAGAAACCATTGAACGAACTCTCTTTAAACACCGAATAAGTTCAAATTCTTATTTTAGAATTATCAAAAAATTTTTTTTTTTAATTCAGACACTGCGCTGCAATGTCCTGGAAACGAGTTCTAGTCCGGTTTTAGCAGATAATTATTTATTCTGAACACATACGTCTCTACTTTGAATATAAATTATTTTCTGGCAATGTTGGACTATTATAAAATTTTTGAAGTGCATTTTAAATGGAGCTAAAGCTTAATGATTACAAATAACAAATCATTGAGACCGTTAAAATTACAAAAACTAATTATTATATCGACGGTAGGGAATCAAAATCTAGTTATTCCATCTGCTTTTATAAACCACATAACTTCAGTCTCTGAGCCTTTCAGTTGACAGCATGACTGACTCCAAGTTCAACATTTTTGAGTAATGTCATTTTAGTGATAATTCTAGTTGCAAAAGTTATATTTATCTATACAGAGAGTGAGTAAGTTGATCCCAGAGTAGGTGATTGCAGTTTAGAAATATAGAACTGTGGATAAAGGTACACATTTTGCCAATAGAAACATTACTAAAATTAATAATAAACAATCTTGAAATTAAAGTTAGTCATTCTGTCAACTGAAAGGCTCATATATGCCTAGAGCACAGGCGGATCTACGGAGGAGGCTTTCGGGCAGAAGCTCCCTCCCCTCCCTCCCTCCCAAAAATGGTAAAATATACCATATTTTATAGAAAAAAATATTAAAAACTATCTCTAAAACTATGATTGTTCGTGTAATTACATTTAATAGGACTTCAAGAATCACTAAGAAGCCATGCCATATGATATAAGTTAGTTACTTTCTTTTTATTTTCAAATTAATTATCGTTATATAAATGAAAAAAAATCCTTCGGGATGAAGCCCCTCCCCCAAAATTAAATCATGGATCCGCTAGTGCCCTAGAGAGATTTGAAAGTACATCTGAATATTTAACCTATAAATGATTAAGGATTGTAGGACCAGTAGTTATTAAACTGTTATTTTACACTATAAAGTTTACTAAAATGAAATTACGAGATTTTCATTGACTGTCAAGGATAGGTCAAAAGTTTTCACACTAATTGGATAATGTTGGAATATCACAAAGGGGAAATTCATCAAATTATTCAATAATTTAATTTTCTAAAAGGTGCACTTGATGATTTTTCGTAATAAACGGCCAATAGATACATAAGTAGTTAAATATAATATCTGATCTAGAGTTATTAAACTATAGTAAATGTATTTAAAGTTATAATCATATTCATGAAATATTTTTATATTTCACTTCTTCTTTCACACAAGTACAATAGAATAGTATTTTAAACAATATCATTATATTGATTCGGTGGATTAAATACTTTTATTCAAAATTTAAATTTACATTTAGTAAGAAAATTTCATTTCATTTCCTTGGATACATGTAATTTACATTAAATAATGTCAGTTTTCTGAAATTATTTTTTTTTTTTTTTAGTCACTTTCCGTTACCTTCTACAACTTTCTTTATTTGATATTATTTTTTCTAAAATTCTCCGCTTTCCAAGGACATATTATACGTATACCTTCTGACTAGTATTTCCGGAAATTCATTTTCGACCTAAACCATCATTTTCAATTTTTTCTCCATTTTTCAAATATCAATTTCTTTCAAAGGCTATATTCAGCTTTTTTTTTCGTAACTCTTAATAATGAGAGATATTTAATTATTTAAAATAAACCAAATTAAAGGTACTTTAGAGGAAGACATGTTGAACATTTACGCATTTAGGCTCTGTAAAGTGACATAAATAGGGATAAGACATCAATGATGTTAAAGACCACTTAATTATACAACGAAGCACAGATTTTAATCAAAATCGTTAGAGCCGTTTTTGAGAAAATTGTTAATATGTGTATAACCGTTAATATAAAGTGCCACTTCCGGTTAGTCAATTTTGACAATAAAGTTGCCGTCACATCTAAAGCATATACCTAACTTAAATACGTAATATCAGTTTCTTACAAATTTTCGTTTTTTAGCTAGTCTCTTCACATACAAACAGATCATTTTGCGGGACTTGGTTATTTGTACTCAGGGGATCTCAAAACGTGTATTTCTGTTGAATACTCAGTTTCGAAAGTTTTCGCGATCACAGTACTTTCCCTTACTATACATTATATATATAGGTAAGTGAAAGTAAAAAAAAATTGACCGTTTTTTTTTTTTTTTTTTTTTTTGTTTGCTTAGCAATAAACAAAACATACTTAATGTATCTTGAAACCTCAAAAAAACCTCAGCTTCAGGATAGAATCAAAAACATTTGACAACAAAATAAGCGTCCTGTAACCAGCAGTATACCTAATTCATGTAGGTAGACTGAAATCCTTCCATTTTTATGGTTACGTATAAATTGAATATAAAGTTAGTGTGAAGTCCAGTACAGTGATCCAACATGCAATCTACAGTTTTTCCAGAATCCGAAAAAATTATTTATGAATATGTTAAGTTTGAGAACGTACTTATTAATTATGATATGTCGAAAGACTTCGAAGTGGAGTTCTCTTTAGACAATGAGGTAAAAACTATAAATCTTCATTAAAGACGTTCTTTTTTTTTTTATTCTTTGATATCCATGACTTCTAGGTCAAAGGGTCAAGCAGAGATTGGATTGGTATTTTTCAAGCTGGTTGGAATTCTTATGAATCATTTCTAGCCCATGAATCAGCTCTAGGCATGCCATGTGATGAATCTGGAAGAAGAAGAAAAGTAAAATTTAATTCAAAATATCTTCAAGATGCCAATGCTGGACTTCCTTACCAGTTTGTTTATGTCAATAAGTATTTAGAAGTAATGACAATCCCTCAACGCCACTATATTAGATATTATTTATATAATTTGATAATTTTATTTAATTTTTCAGATTTTGGGAGTCAGCCAGTACTTTCAGTTTACTGTGAACAACCCAAATGGATTCAAGCTTCCAAATGATACTGTATGTGAAGGTTCATTTATGCCAAATGTTGGAAGCTCACCACTTAAAGATCAAAATGTTAAGAACCATGGGAATGATGATCTTACAGTTGTCGAAGATGTAAATGTAGTTTGATCATTAAAAATCTGTTTAATACACTCTTGCACCCACCTTATTTGTCCCAAATGAGATTTTTTTATATTGTATCTGATAATTATTCATTTAATTTATTTGATACCTTATGTTTTACATTAACCTAAATATATTTTGAGGAAATATCCATGGATAAAAAGTTTATCTCTTTCACCTATTATCCAATGAAGTTTTTTAATGACATATATCATTGATAATAATTGAAGTTTTTTTGATTGGGTTAAACAGAGTTGTTAACTGTTTAACCCTGTTAACTGTATGTTAGTTTTCTCTTATCTCACATGTTTCAGGACATAATGAGGGATTCGTCTACCAGCCCTCCCCATGGCCATTTCCATACCAATTGTAAACTTTATTCTATTTCAAAGTGGAAAAATTCTTGTACATCATGTTACCAATGTAAAAGTATTTTCCAGTTAAAAGAATCACATGATGATTTACTTGAAAAGGTAAATTAAACCACATAATATCATTTAATCAATACTAGAGTGGTTTAATTATGTAGTATATGTGTTTCTATACATTTTTTTCCCAGAGAGGCTACATATTTCATCTTATTACTAATATAAATACATATATGCATGCATAAGTAATTGGATTAGTTTGTTCTCTTATGAATTTTGATAACTATTTGGCTCGATTATATTATATTGGCTCTAACATTTTTTTTTAGATTAAGCTTTATCAAGATCACAACTTTTCTTTACGAAACAGAGTAGATCGACTTGAAAAATTACTGGATTGGCAAGATAATGAAAAGGAATTGAATACATGCATGTTTCATTTATCTGAAGTAGTGGATAATGCCATAAGATCTTCTGTCTACGGCCACAGAGATAATAAAGGAGTTTAGTCGGGCATAGTTGTTGCTTTCTTTTTATTTTATAAGTCTTTTCTTTTATTTTCCTGAATTCTGACATTAAGTCAACAAATATTAATTAATTAACTCTTTTAAATATAAGTTAAATAATTTTTTAATCATAAAAATTTCTAACTAACAGAGCAATACTGAAGAATTTAATCTGACCGATTATTTGTTAGTGTACTTAACTTATTTTACTTTTTAAAATTTTGACACAAAAAGTAATTAATTATTGAAAGAACGTCTCCTATTATCTTTATGCTTTTGAACTCGCTAAATCTAAATTTGAGATTGAATTTTCTAAATACAGATTGATTTGATTAGTTTGACATCCACCTTCCATCCATAGGATATATTTTATCCTATATGGTTTAGAATATTTTAAGTACGGTATATGATTTGGATTCCCAAGTACTGTGTTTTAAAGAAATCAGGCTATGATAAATTTTCTTCTCAATAATGCATCTACTATTTGAAATTTAAAGGAAAAAAAAAGAGTTAATTTCTAATTGTTTGCAAGCTATGAGAGTTATAGGGAAATGCTTGCTATCATAGTTAAGTTTTTTTGGGATGGGTGCATGACATCCTAATAGAAATAATGTTAACAGCTTACAGTAGTAAATAGTTACTTTTTCTTGTTCTGGAAGTACTATAGTAGTTTATCAAACCTAAAATATTAAATAATTGTTGGTATTCTATCACCACTAAAAGTTTTAAATGTTTTCATCTAGGTTACTCACAGTTATTTTGATTGGGATTTGTCAAGCAAAGAACTTTTACTCAAAGCCATAATTGGACAACAAGAAGTTACTATTAGAGATTTAAATAAAGTTATTTGTGAGGTAAGTAAAATTATAATAAGGGAACATTCAGTTTAATTTTGGAGAACTATAATCCTTGACAATGTAGGCTATTTTTAGTGGAATTGAACAGAGAAAATTATTATAGTCCTGAATCTTCCAATTGCTTACACCTTATTGCTCACTAAGGATGGTCATTACCTTACCGTAATGTTAAAAAGAGAAAGTTACAACTTTCTCTGTGATGAATTTCATAATTATTTTGTTTTATTTTGAATCAAGCTAATTTGAATCATATATCATAATATATCAATAATCATTGCTCACCTACCATACATGCAATGAGAGTTGTCTTTGGATACAACCTAGACCAAATTCCACAATCCTCAACGAGTTCTCTTTTCCTGTTCCAGGATTCCCTCCATATCCATACTCCTTCTCAGGTATTTCCGGTTCTTCCTTTGCACCTTCTGTCAACTTTTGTCTAATAATATTGAAAATAATAAATTACAAGGGTTTGCTACTCTTTGGACTGACTCAGAAAGTTTTCCTGGATACCTTTTTGGTCTAAAATATAACATAGTAGAGAAGACAGTCTGCGCTGGAATGGGAAAATGGTTCCATTCTCTGTGATAAGTCTCATGCTACAGTAGTGTGGCTTGATGGGATTGTGATGACATTATTAAAGTTATTTAACACAATTCTTGTAGAGAACTTCAATTGGGCTGTGTGTCAATTATTTGTAAAAATAATTTTTTCTGTCATAAATACATTTCACTTTCTCATAATTTTTGTTTTTAAACTGTATCTATAGTTTGTTTGATTTAATTAATTGTTTATTATAGTTGGGCTACATAGACAAACCAAGGTTGAGCTACTATCCATCAACTTCATTACAAGATATTGTAAAAACAATGAAAGCTGAAGAAAGAGTAGTTGCAGAAGTTTTTGAAATCAATAATAATACTTCTGAAGAGGTTAGTTAATTTATTATTTTTTTATTTTGTATATTTGTGTTACAATTTTACTAGATAAATTTAATCGACTTAGTTGAAAACATTTATGTATAATGTGGTTTAACTGAATTGGGAGTTGAAAGTTGCTCTTTATTATGTTTCAATTTGCATATTTCCTTCAGATTTTAATATTTGATATTAAGAAAAAGTGGACCTATGAAGCCATCATGAATTGCTGACTGTCAATCATTTTTATTTAGAGAAGCATTGAAATTTTATAATTTTTTTATTTAAATCGTCTGGCTTTGTCACAATCATTTTGATATTATAATGATGCTTATTGCAATAAAACAAATAGGAACAAACTTTTCATATATTTTTAGGTATTCTATGAAGTTTAATAGCATGTAGGTAAAAAAAATTGTAATATTGATAGTTCTTATGGAGTTTGGACATCAAATCCAATAAATTTATAACAGTTTCGGAAATTTTATCACTTTTATTTACTCACCTCTTGCAACTTAAGAGAAAAACTTGTCAAACATAAAATATTGATTTTTTTATATTAACTCTAAAATTTTCTTGAAAAAAAACTTTTTCCACCTGTATAAGTGAATGACCAAGAAATGTATCTAAATATTGACATTTAAAAACAAAAAAAATATCTGGGCAAAATTCTGTCAGCAAACCTTGAATTGGTGCTCAGCGACACTAAAATCTGGAATGTATCAACATTTTTGACTACATCATAACTTTCCCAAATTTTTCCTTTATTGCTTTATATTATAAATCAGCAAACTATTTGGTTTATTTTATGACTTTGTTTTTATACATCCTAAAACAAATTGAAAGTGTTAGTGATCTTCAAATTACCACATACATCTTTCTCTTAAGAGCCATGTGCAGCTAACATATTTTTTTTCTCTCATGTTTTTAGCTTTACATGGTTTTTCCAGGTCAGTAAGGGAGGGTGTGGGAGATTAAGCCAGAGTTACAGACTCGAACTCGTTAATTTTCAGTTTATCAGATTACTGGACAATGCATGTTTTGCACACATGTTAGCCAGCTCATGGCTGTACTGCTTAGTAAGCCATTTCAAATTTAAAACCAGGCACACAAAACACAATCTGCGTTCTCTACCAACAACTGGGTGATGTACTTGTATTACTGCATTTTACATTATCACACAATCTACCTTATTAAGCCATAAATATAAAACTGTCTCTAAATCTTTTAAGAAGTTAAATGAAGGCTGTGGGATGTAAGAAAAGTGTTACATATTTTTGTATGGCAGTGTACCTTGCTGTATAATTACGAACTTTTTTAACATAATATGGGGAGAGAAAGGCAAATTTAAGGATTTTATTTGTAAAATGAACAAATTTTTGTTTTTTCTCAGATTTATAATACGTTTTGAAGTATGTCATGTAATATCAGTAAAAATAACTTTTTTAGTTGCATATTTTAGAGGTTTAATTATTTAAAATTTTAAAAATACCTTTATTATTATTTTATTTTTATCGTTTATGCCATTTACTGTTTTACATAATTTCAGGAATTGTGAAGACTGCAAGTTTCACCTTCAAATTTTAAAAACTTACTACATCGAGGATTTTCCTTTTTAAAAAATCATCAAAGATACAAGACAGAGTTCTGTATATTTATATAATTATTATTTTTTACAAGTAATTGTTAGAATTTTAATGTTGTATGTAATAGAATAATAAATGTCGTTATTTATTTAATTAGTTTGTGTTCTCTGATAAATTTCCTATAACGAAAACCAAAAAAGTTAAATGAGAAGTTTTTTTTTTTATTTAATCCTTTTACAATCATTGGCATACTGTCAGTTATCAAATTACGACAAGATTCAGTTCATTAACATCAGTCCTAAGTCAGAAAAAATAAAATTAACACCTTTTAATTCTCTTCTATGTAGTCAGTATGTTTTGATAGATTTTAGTTGTCTTAATTTTTTTTATTTGCATCTATTATTTCCTTTATATAACTTCATATTATTTTTCTCTGTTTTACATTTTATTCTTTGTCAATCTCTCTTCTTTATAGTATTCTAAGAGATCATATTTTAGCAACTACGTTACCTCATTTATTTTATATCTAACTCATATATTTTTATATCATAATATTCTATTATATTTTTTTCATTTATCCCCAATTTTGTTGTCCTTTATTTATTTTCTTTTTAATGTTAATGCAATAGTTCTCATACCTATTGTTGTCTGCCCTGAATTTTGGGTCGAAACTTCGGCAAAAATAAAAATAAATATTTATTTTTTTATTTGAACACCCCATACAGCTTCTCTTCAATTTTCACATCAGTCAACCATCAATCCACTATTAAAATTAACATCATGTACTATGTAAAAATATTTTGTTTGCTAAATATACATATAGAGAAATAATTATATATAATATCATATTTGGATACAATATTAAAATTAACATCATGTACTATGTAAAAATATTTTGTTTGCTAAATATACATATAGAGAAATAATTATATATAATATCATATTTGGATACAATATTATTCACATTCTTTGCTATTAATATCTATGGCTGATTCTTGACATTTTATAGGATTGTTGGTTCTTGTTTTTTTTATTTTTAAAAACATGTCCAGATTTCTTTATACAGTTCTTTTTTTTTTTTCATTATAAATTTCATCTTAGCGAGCAAATGCTTGCTGAATGAGGTGACCTGCATTAGAAGATCCTTTTTTTATTCTCATCCATATTTTTGGATGGTTCCTCAGGTTGATCCAATTCTTCTGTTGTATTTTTTTTCTTGATCTTTTCTTGTAAACTTATCTATATCTTCCAGAAATTACTTTATATCTTCCTTATCAATTTCCAGGTTAACAAATTCAATTGTTGAGAAATTTGTACAATCAATTTTTTTTTTTCCACCCTCCTTCCTCTCCTTTTAGGCTATGCAGATTTGTTTTCACGTTTAAAGATGATTGCCAGAGTTAAAAGCTCGACCGGGACTGTAGCTCATAATTATTTCATTATATAAACTTCGGTTTACAGGTTGCAGGTTGTTGGGCGACACATATTTGGCACACATGTGAATCCGCTCGGCCACCTCGCCCCCATACAGAAATAAGCTTTATGAAAACACAAGAAAACTTAATATTTAAGTTTCTACTAAACGACAACCACACTTAAACACACACAGTGAGAAACATTTAGAACATGAACTGCCATTATAAACTAGATTAGATGATCCAGATGTTAGTTGAAATCAATCCCATCCTCTTGTTCTAGGCCTGGACAACTGAAAGCAAGAACAAAAATTCTCTCTTTTTTTTTTTTATTTGGAATATTTTAAGTCCAAATGGTCACACAAGTCGAGGTGGCCGTAACTCAAGAACTGACTGTACTATATAACAATCTTAACCTTGATACATCAAATTTTAAAAACAAAATATGTGCTTAAGGTAATATAGGTCTGAAAATATTGGTTTATATCATTATTTTTGTTCATTTATTTATTCGTACATACTTAATTTGGTTACATCAAACAAAATAATAAATTATTAATTACTCTAAAGATGCTAATTTTTTTTTAAATAGCCCAGGAAACATATGTTTCTTTTATTCTGCCTGTGTAAAACTACTGCTAATTCTGAAAATGAGTAAGAATACTGTTGTTATTATTATTTATCACAGTAAAAAAACTAATGTCGGCAATATTCAGAGGATGCCGTTACTCCAGTTCATAAGCATTTTTTCTGTCAGATTTTTCATCTTTGATGTAGTAAACACTAAATATTTACAGATATTAATGAACATTACTTCCTGCTGAACCCAAGACCCTTCATGGATTATATAAGTTAAACAAAAAATAAAATAATATCCATTTTTTAATCATCAATTATATTTATTCAATAAAATTGTAATGTTGTTTAACAGTGTTCAGTTACTAACTGACACAGTATACTAAGTCCATCTGATTGACAATATCTAGTTAAAGGACAGGTGTAATAATCCTGCAATTTATCACCCTAAAATCCCTACCATACTTCTAGTTAAAATTCAGAAAGGTTAAAAGTTTTACGGGCCTTTCATTTTAAATACCAAGAGCTTTGTATATAAAAATGTCATTTATTGTTTTCTTTCTTTCCTCATCTCCATTCTTCTCAATTCTGTCCCCAAGATACATAAAGCAATAAAGGATAAAAAAACAAATAAAAATTATTATATCTGTTTTTAAAAAATAATGAAGCTATGCTTTTGTTATTAGTTTAAGTAAATAATGCATAGCTTTATCTGAGTTCAAAGGCAAATCATATATATTTTCTAACCTTAGATGCTTTTTTCATATGTATTAACATTTTTTTTTTTTCATCTTTTCTGCCATTTATTATAATTATTCCTAACATAAACTTAATTTTCAGTATTGTTTTAGAATCATTTAATAAATATTATATCACTTTACTTCCTTTGTCACGAAAACAGTCTATTTCATAAAAATGAATTAAATGCATAAAATCACAGAAAAATAAATTGTATTTTTCAAAGCACTACTTTTCCATGAAGCAGTTTATAGATATATATTTAGACATTATAAATAGAAATTTTATTGACTAACATCATTTCATATATTTTTTTTTTTTTTTTGAACTTTTTAAAATTCAATAATATGCATTTTATCTATTACCTTAAAAACCTCTATGAAATTATGTTAGTCTATATATTAATTTTAAGTATATTAATTTTCAATTACAATGTAAACAAATATCTTCATATTTCTTTGAATCCTTAATTCAATTTCATAAGTCTTGAGTAAATCATATCCATCTCATCCTTTTACCTGCCTTTATATATTCTTCGATAAGATTAAACATATGATCATAGTCATAAGTAAAAAATTGAATTTTCCGTTACTACTTCCTTGTAATTCACCGTAAAATCCTAAAAATGCAATGATTTGGTTCATAACAATATTTCAACCTCTAACCATAAAAGTAAAGGGCTATTGTATTTAGACTTTTATTTTCACAACAGGTGTAGTCGGTGGATTAATTAAGACTTGTTTTCCTGTTTCCGTCTTCAAAAAATCTTGTTTTAGAGGTTTCTGTACAGGCTTCTTTGGAGGATATGAAATATTACATGGAGGGGCACAAGTAGTTTTACGACCTAAAGCATTCTCCGTTAGCCAATCCGCTTTAATCATATCAGAAGCCTTTTCAGCTATGGCAACTACTGCTGCCATAATATTTCCACTTGGAATCAGGGGTATAATTGATGCATCGGCAACTCGCAAACCTTTGACACCATAAACACGCAACTGTGGATCAACAACTGCTGTTTTATCGCAAGATGTGCCCATTTTAGTAGTGCCAACATAGTCATTAAAAGTGGTAGCCAAGTGACTTAAGGCGCAAGTCCAATAACCATCAGTGTTAAATTCTTCATCACAACACCCAGGGAAATTAATGCGCTTCATTTCAGCTTCATGTCGACGAAGTGCAACGGTATCTGCCATAAGTGTAACAAATTTGATGCCCGACAGCATTTGATCTACATCTGAATCTTCTCTGAGATGACCTGAAAAAATGACTGGTGGATCAAAGGGATCACAGCTCCTAAGCTGTACTAATCCCCTACTTGCTGGTCTCAAAATTATAGGCATTATTATTAATAAATCATAATCCAATATTAGTTTTATAAACATCTCTCTTACATCAGGCGTTAAATTAAGAGTTGATGCCCACATGTTAAAAGTTGTCATGTCATTTTGCCTAATAAATAAATGAAACATTTCTAAATCTGGTTCTTCGTCATCATGTATACCTACAAGACCTAAAACTTCTGATTCGTGTATAGAAGCAAAGTGACCAGAGCGCCTCGAAAGATATTCATAAGCTGAATCTAGATGCTGAAAAGGAGAACTTGCCTTTTTTGTTTTATTTAATGTCATCACAGCACCACCGAAAGTTACATGATCCTGAAGATTACAACCCACTCTTAAATCCGACAGGACTGGTATACCTAATTTGCCAAGATGTCTCGCTGGACCTATCCCTGATAGCATCAAAAGCTTGGCTGTGTTGATTGTTCCAGCTGTAATGATGATTTCTTTTTTCACCATAGCAGTTCTTAATTTGGTTTCATTCCTCCATTTATACTCAACACCCACTGCTCTTTTACCATTAAATAATATCTTTGTTACATGTGAGTACTTGGCAACAAATATATTAGGTCTGTCTCTAATCGGTGATAAATAGGCCTTAGCTGTACTCAATCTTTCTCCATCTTTTAATGTTGCATGGGCTGAAAAGAATCCAGTAGCAATAGGACCATTAGAATCTCTAATGTCTTCATAGGTTAATTCTCTAGCAGCATCTTTAATATGATCAACCAGTACTTCTCTGCTTCTAAATTTGTCTAGAGATAAATACCCACCTATACCGTGATATTGGTTTATTTCAGGACAGGCCATTACTTCTTTGTCTCTCATATCTTCAGCTTTTTTGAAGTAATGAAGCAGTTCTTGATAAGACCAACCAGTGTTACCAAGTCTAGCCCATAAATTATAATCTGAAGGATGGCCTCTGTGATATTGCATCCGCCCTATTGTACTAGAACCTCCTAAAACTTTACCAGCTGCCCATAGATTCCTTTGTCCAATCATAGCTTGATACATACCTTCTTCTTTTTCTGTCTTGAATTTCCAATCTATACATGATAACTGTTGCGACATATAGAACTTTGGCACATCCGAGGAAATAGGTGGATCCCCTCCAGCCTCTAACAATAAAATACTCCAAGTCTCTATTTCAGATAACCTATTTGCTAAAATACACCCTGCTGTCCCTCCACCAACTATTATAAAATCGAACTGTACACAATTACCGCCACAAGACTGTCCCATGAATGGTCCAAAGTCGTCTGGAAACATGCAAGGAGAAGCAAGAGCACACTGAGATACCATAATTGTGTTTATAAGATTTCTAAATACAACTCCAGCTCTACCTGTTGTGTGCCCAGGACAAGGGTTGGCAATGTACCAATGTTGCAAAGAAACTTCTGATGTAATATCAACTAGTGCCATTTTTATAGAAAAATATTAAACACAAACAAAAATAATAATAAGGGAATTAAATTATTAGGTATCTACATGTGTTATATGATTGATAAGATTGGTTATAAAACACATGGCTTACTACTCATTACACCTGCTCCTTATTGGTGTAACCTCTCTAAATAATATTTGTTCGCAAACCCATTTACTACTTAATATTTTGTTGTTTAAAAAAAAATCATTTCTAACAAAAAGTTGTGTATATGAATAAAGTTGAAATTTTATTTTTCTCTAAGCATTACAGACCTTATATAACGCAGACTTTACATTTCAATTGGGGAAAGACCAAAGAAAAAAAAAATCACTGTAATTCTTATTGCCTGTCAAAATTCAATGTAATTATTACAAAACGAGTAAATATAATATTGAATATTTAAAAATAAATATATATATTTGTTTAGAGGTTGTAGAATTTTTTTATATGCATATAGATTTACTTGAAATCATCTTAATAAAATAATTGGATTTATAACCACTAAACATGGCAGAAAGGTGGACAGCCTTCATAATATAGGTACAGTTTTACAACTTCTCCAGCTGAAAATGAATAATGTTAAAATACCGAAAAAAAATTTTGTGATTTCTTAATTTGTACGATCTTAAAATAAAAATATAATGTTTTCACAGTCTAACTACTAGCTATATGAAAATATTATCTATAAACTATTTATACTTATTATTGTTATTTTATATTTTTAGTATTGTTAGTTATAATATATTTATTATTATTGTTCTATTATAATTTTAAGCATCTTAATATTGTGTACATAAGAGGTGTATAAAGAGAGAGAAAGGGAAATTAAATTTTACCAAAAAGGAAAAAAAAAAAGCATGAACAGTGAAAGGAAAGAAAAAATATATATATTTAATATACTCATATAAACTAACCACTTTTGTATATTTACATACAAATTTATTTATTGTCCAACGGATTAACGAGTATGCTGTGTGTATAGCAACCCAATATAATTAGGCAAGCTTTAATATTTTATATGAAAATAAAGTGTTTCTCTCTACTTTTTCGAAATTTATTGTCAAAATATTTTAAGAAAATCGTGTGGGAATAGAGGGGTACACGTGAGAGGTTTATGAATCATAAAATCCGAGGAAATGTTTCTATATAATCATCCCTGAATATAAATGAAAATTTAAATAATAGAAATATTTAGGTTTTGATAAAATAGTTACGTACCTACTTGCAGCCTTAGCCTAGCCTACAAGTCAAATTTTCTTAATTGATTTTAGTTTACATATTTTATTCATTCGCGAATCTTATTTGTTATCAATTTTAATAAATTACTTGATAAAAAAGTTAATAATATAAAATCAAAGAAACAAAAACTCATTGTTTTATTCTTTCAATGTATTTAACACGACTGATCTCCAATATGGACCGATTATTATGTTATCAAATGTATGAATTTATTTTCAGTATATTTGATTTATACCAAGCTATCCAGAAGCCTGTTGCATAAAGCATAACAAATTTTTGAGGGGGGCTAATTTTGAATTTTAATTAATTAAACTTATAACTATTTAAAATGAATATAAAACAGCAGGCTTAGAAAACAGTTTTTTCTATTAAACATAAAAATTGTCTATTTACATCATTAACATAAAATACAATAAAGAATATTTCTATCAATAAAAAAATTCTTAAACATCAACAACATAATTGGGATGGACAACTAAAATAGGATCTGCCTCTTCGGTAAATGCCTTCTGTTGAGGTTCTTCTATGAGAGGGATTATAACACCATCCTAAACATAAGGAAATCAAATTCAGTTAAGTGGCCTTCTTGAACAGTTTATAAAATCAACATAAACCAAGAACAGAAAACAAAGAAATAAATTCATGAAGAGAACACTTACATGATGAATAAGTCGGTCCAATACTTTTTCAACTAATGCTTTCTTTTCAACAAGTTCTTCTTCAGTATCTATTTTATGGCCTATCTGTTCCAGATACCAACTTATAATTTCACTACGACGCATACCATCCACTAAAACATTAATTTAAAAATAATTTTATAAAAATATCTATGATTAAAAAAAGATATTCATAATTTCACAAGGGACTTTTAACATAAAAGAAAATAATAACATGATATATTAAATAATTAAAAATATCAAAAGTTATTTTATAGTATAAGAGAAGGAGATAAAAAACCTACTATCATCTTCAGTACTCCTCATATGTGTTATAATCATATTTGATAGAGTCCTATATTCTTCAAATGAAAGAGTAAGTTTCTTTTTTGTCATCACATGAGAGGGTTCACTTGACTCAGTTTCCATGGCTTCAGCTATAATCAAAGTATATATGTATTTACAAGACAATTGTGAGCATGATTAAATTATAAGTTAAGTAATGCTTACTGAAGACAGCTAAAAAAGTAATTGGAAGTGCTATGCAATTACCTGCTGATGATTTTGAAAAGAGAAAATGAAAACTAAGACGAGTAAGTAAAAGTAACAAAAACATTCATCAATTTTTGTGTTACACCTCATTTGAAATGTTTTGTTTTTAGAAGTATTATAGCAAATAATGGATGAAAATGTAGGCTGCAACTGCCATAGCTCGGAAAACATATTCTTTTAATAATCATGTGAATACTGCCTGTAGAGCGGCAGTATTCGCAAACCATGTCCCCATAAACAGAGTTACAGGAACGTGGTACACCGTTGGTTGGAACATAGTGGATAGCCGGCTAAAAGTATTTGAACAAGGTTTGTTATTGTTCACATTGTTCTGTTTTTTTTTTGTGTGTGTGTTTTTTTATTGTGTGTGTGTGAAAGAAGTAATATTGTGAAGTTTATTTATTTCTTGATATTCTGTATTTGAGCGTGATTGGCATCAAACAAAGGCAAAATGTCTATTGCGATTATAGATATAGATAATTATGTTTAAATCAGAAACAGTATAATAATATTAAAAATTTCTCAATGGTTTGTTATATTATTATAAGGTACGGAGAGAAAGGAACTACCTCCAACAAAGTTTGAAAAGGACACACCAAGGTATTGATGCCTCGAGAGTGCAGAGACATTAAGACAGAAGCTACAAATAATCCATCTACTAGTGCTTGGAGTAAGTAATTTAATTGATATTGGTGAAAGGCGTTAAATAAGGCAAAAATCAAACAATCTATAAATGTTTGATCCATGGAAAAGGTCATATTATGGTTTGAGGAGGGATGTCTCGTTTCACAGAGTAGGAAAATTTGTTCAGATGAATAGTACTTGTAATGTAGACAGTTATTTTGACATTTTGCACAATAATCTAAAAAACAGTAATCAAGATTTATGGATTGAAATTAATAGATATTTTCACATAAGGCTATAGAGTGGGTGTGGTGAAATGCATCCAGAAGTCTCCTAATCATCCCTTTAAATCCAAATATTAATGAAATTGATGAAGCACACCACATTCTAAAGCATAGGATCTGAAAATATAGCATTATCTAAAAAACAAAAAGTTTAACAGAAGTTTTGTAAGAATGATGGGATGAAATCGGGGCAGTGGTTTTTTAAATTATTAGCTGTCTCAATAACCAATTCAACTAGTTTTCGTATCATTCATTCATTACAATTTCTATTTGAAGTCAAAAATTTGGCTTGTGCAAATACTTTTGACTGCAACTATGAGGTGTATAATTATTGTAGAAGATGAGAGCTGTTTTATTGTCATCAATTTTTACAAAATAATCTTGAATTATTTTATCATTTCTGATTAATGTTTAAGATTATATCTGAACAAGTTTTTTAGAAGTGTTTATAAAGGATGCATTGTTGTAACTAAATTCAATATATATATATCAATACTATACATTTTACTATTTAAATTAACTATACAGTAAACCTCCATCACTTCAATTGAGAGAAAATATAATACAACATACTTTAAAATAACAATAAGGTCATATGTTCTAAAAGCATAAAATAGATAGTTTTATATTTATAAAATAAAATAAAAACTATTTAAAGGGTGAAGTGATCGCGTCCGGACAGTTAGTCCACGTGCCCCCTGGATAACCCGTAAACACGGTAAGTAAACGATCACATTTATCGCCAACTCAGTCCAATATACAAAGCAAAACATGCCCAGGCCCTATCAAAAACGGTCAAATGCTCGCAAGCTTTCTAAAGACTTAGGCAAGGCTCAACTCAAAGCTATCTTTTGGAACGCAGGCGGATTAACCAAAGATAAATTCACCGAATTGAAACGTATAGTGACAGAAAGTGATGTAGACTTATGTGCGATCGTCGAAGCAGGAGCGGCAACTGAAAAACCTGAGATGCACCGAATTCACGGATACCAAACATATTTCCTCCCAAGAGCAAGACAAGTTGCATCTGGTATTATGCTAGCTGTTAAGGCATCCATCGTTACGGATATGAAAATTAGGAAACGGCAAGATGCAAGTGATAAATCCGAGGCTCTGGAAGCAAATTTGTGGTATGGCAAACGGCACTTCCGAATATTCGTAATGTATAACCCTCCTCAAAACAGACCGGACCTCACATGGTTGGAAAGGAACTGGAATGGAGAGAGTATACTATATGGAGACCTGAATGCCCCTTCCACTATATGGGGATATAATAACACTGATACTGTAGGCAGAATATTTGAAGATTTCCTTAACTCAAACCCTGCACAATATATTCGAAATGAGACAAAACGTCCAACCTTTCTTTCTTTCACTGGCAGTACTTCCTGCCCTGATGTTGTATTGGCGCACACCTCAATCTCTGATAACATAAAACATACCCTACTACCAGCTATAGCAGGTTTCGGACACAATATCCTTGTGGTTAACTTTAACCTGAATCAAAATAATAATAGCAAGACCAAAGAACCGCAACTGCCACGATGGAATTTAAAGAAAGGAGACTGGAAGCTTTTCAGAAAATTGACAGATGAACTCATCACTGATAAATTAATCATAAACGGCAACGTAGATAAAACATATACTAATATAAAAGGATATTTATATAGGTGTGCCCTGAAGTCTATTCCCCGAGGATCGGTACGAAAATATCGTCCTTTCTGTAATGAAGAACTGCAAAAGCTAAAAGAAGAAAGAGATGATTTTAGAAAAAGAGCTGAGAGCTCCAAAAATCATGCAATTATAAGTTTACTTAAAAGGAAAACAGCTATATTTAAAAGAAAAGTTATTTCAGCTAAACAAAACTCATTTAGAACGTTCCTACAGAAAATGGACTTTAGAAAAGATGGAGTTAAGGCACATGAATTTCTTTCAAAAATAAATAATAAATCAAACTTAGCAAACCATCCAATAACTTTCGATGGGAAAACAATAAGCAAGCTAAAAGAAATAGCTAACTCCTTCTGCAAACACTATTCAAAAGTAAGCAATTACAAGCCAAAAAAAGAAAACGGAAATCCAGTCACAAACTCCACACATTGTTGTGTAATGAGTGAAGAAGATTATACACTATTCTGGGGAGATATCCAAACGCAAGAACTAAATGATGCTCTTACTAAATCTAAGAAAGGTAAAACCGCAGGCCCAGATGACATACTGTCGGAATTTCTTATACACCTGGGGGATATGGCCAAAGAAACAGTACTACAATTTTTAAATGATGTCTGGAAAACACATATTCCGTGTGAATGGAGGAAAGCAGAAGTGGTACCAATCTTGAAGAGAGGAAAAAAAGGAGACATGCCGGAAAATTTCAGACCCATTGCATTAACAAGTACTTTCTCCAAGCTCTACGAGAGAATCGTTGCAGAAAGACTTGAGAAATGCATAGAGAAATATGATCTAATATCTTCTAAACAAGCTGGCTTCAAGAAAAATCGAAACACAATTGAACAAGCTGGCTTCAAGAAAAATCGAAACACAATTGAACAAGTAGCTCGTCTAACACAAGAAATAAAAAACGGCTTCCAACGAAAACAGAGCACCCTAGCAATATTCGTAGATTTTAAGACGGCATATGATAGAGTTTGGAGAAAGAAGCTAGTGAGTAAGCTTGTTGACAAGGGAGTCACAGGATATCTGCTCAAGACTATATCTTCTTTCTTACATCAAAGGTTTATAAAGGTGCGATATAAAAACGTTGTCTCGACATATCGCCAAACAAAACAAGGCCTCCCACAAGGCTCGGTGCTGAGTCCCTTCCTGTTTAACATCATGATTGATGATATCACGGAACTCACTGAAACTATTCCGGGTACAAATGCCCTGCTGTACGCAGATGACCTCGTCATTTGGGCAACAAGTAGTGACTTTAAAGGGCTAGAAAATCACATGCAACATGTACTTAAATTACTAGAGAAGTGGGCCAATGAAAACGAGATGATCGTTAATTCCGAAAAGACGGAATTCCAACTTTTTACCCTCTCTACCAAATCACACGAGATCAATTTGAACCATAATAACGAAGAGCTCAAACGCACAGAAGAAGCTAAATATCTTGGAGTGAAATTGGATAAAAGACTCTCTTGGAATAAGCACATTGAAAAACAAATAGAACAGGCTTCAAAACGACTTTCGTTAATACAGAGGTTAGGTGGCTCAAAATGGGGAGCAACGGGGGATGTTATGGCTCTTACCTACAAGACATATGTCCGCCCTGTTATTGAATATGGAGCAGAACTTGTTATCACTGCTTCGGACGCGATATTACACAAGCTCGACATAATCCAGAATCAAGCCCTTAGACTCGTGACAGGAGGGAGCAGATCAACCCCAATATCTGCGCTAGAATTACAAACAGGCATAGTACCTCTTGAGACACACCGGGAGCAACTGGCCATTACGCTCTATGAAAGGCTAAAACGTCTTAAGATCAACTACTGGAGTACCTATGAACCCGCACCTGAACGCCTTAAAACTCAAATTACTTTTACTAAGGCAGTGGAAGATTTGATAGAAAGAAAAGGACTAGAATTAGCTGAAAGGGAGCCACTCCCGTCATTGACACAAGTTCCATTCACCAGCCAATTTGTTGTTCACTGTGATCTTCTTCAGAATGTTTCTAAGGATACAACACCAATTTACGAACAAAAGGCTATAACCCTAGAAACCATCGGAAAACGATTTCCAGAGACAGAATGGCTCCATGTATATACAGATGGTTCTGCACTGGAAGCACGCAAACATGCAGGAGCTGGTGTTTATTCAAAGGAGTTTCAACTTGCCGCCCCGGTCGGAAAGGTAGCCACAAACTTTGAAGGGGAAGTGAAAGCCATTCTCTTAGACCTTGAGATGTTAACTGAACGGAAAGACAAGAAAGTGGCTTTCTTTGTTGACTCACAGGCAGCCATTTTGTCTCTAAAAAATGGATATAGTATAAATCCAAATGTTCCTAAATGCCATCAATATTTGAACCAATTAAAGGAAAATGGGACAGAAGTCGCTTTCCAGTGGATACCAGGCCATTGCGGGCTCCACGGAAATGATGAAGCTGATAAACTGGCCAGAATAGGTTCTGGAATGATCCAACCCGATATTCCTCTGACCATGGATTCAACAAAAAGAATCATAAAGAAGACCCTCCAAAGTTCACTGAAAGCGAAATATGTACAAATAATTGAAGGGAAACAATGGAGTGGATTGCTGGAAGAAAGTGGCAGGATTCCTAGAGACCTCCCTAGAGGGCAAGCCGTGGCATGCTTTAGAATGCTGACAGGCCACGATTTCCTTCAAAAGCACCTTCACCGCATCGGTGTAAAAGATAGCCCGACATGCCCTCTATGTTCCTTAGACATAATGACAGGAGAACATCTGGATACATGCCCTGCATTACAGGACATAAGATGTTGCTTTAATGAAATGGACAGCTATTATACACGGAGAGCAAAGTTGTACTGGACTGCAAGAGCACGCATGGCTAACGAAGCAGGCGTTACTTAGGCGTAGGAAAAAAAAAAAAATAATAAAAAAAAAAAAATAACAATAATATAAGCCGCAACTTAGTAGAAAGTCATTATTACAATATGAACAACAGTGAAAAGTAAGCTATTCAATTAAAAGTATTGTCAATATCAATGTAAAAATATTGCTATATAATGTTACTACTACTTTTTAATAAATTTAGTTTTTAAGGATGTGATTTTTTAACAACAATAAAAAAAGATATTCAACCACAATTATTTAAAAGTGTAATGAGATATTTACATTTCAGTTTTTAATTTTGTTTTACTTTTTAGATATCCATTCACCAATACTACAGTAATAATAAGTAGTTTCACAGCTAGTTAAATACTGTTCAACTTTAACAGATCAAATTTCAGTTTGTATTGGTAGTTATACTACTATGTGCAGTATTTATCATCATGATAAGGTCTAATGTTTCTCACAAATGTTATACCATCTAGTAGCTTCTTCATTAGGCTTTTTTAATATAATTAATCTATGGTCATTTAAGTGGCTGCATAGAAATCATGAAATCTCTAAAGGCTTCTTGGATCAAAAGAAGTTGAGAAAACCATGTTGACAGAGCAAATATAACTAGATTTAATAGAAGAAATATCTATGATTATTTTACCTTCTTTAGGCTGCTCATTTTCAGCCAATACTTCATTTTCTTCATCTTCTTCAAAATGAATATCAGGCTGCTCCACCCTTATAATAGATTTGTTAAGTAGGTTATATGCTTCTTTGACATGTCTTCCCAAAACCTAAAAAAAAAATGTTAATTCTTAAAGATAGTGAATATTGGATAGGATATATTAGTTTAGACCAAATATTTTATACATAGCATAACATAAATTAAATTTTCTTTGTGGTGTAGATTAATAAGAAAAACATCAGTGACTCATGTGGAGTACTTCCCACAGCACAGCCCAATAGTATTTTTTGTAGTGATGGTATTAACAAACTTTAAACATGATGAGAAAGATATGTTGTCAAGTGGATTTTTTTTCTCAATATTTTCACAATACTATAATTAATCTCCATTTAAAAAAAAAAATGGATATACTAATTTGAAGGTTTGTTATCCTCTATTCAATCATAGGTTTATTTCTGTGACTAAAAACTTCAATCTATTTTTGAAGGGAGATAATTATAATAATTAAATATTTGAAGCAGACCAATGAGGAGTGGTGTTGAATCAGCGCCAGGCTTAGATGTCGGGCATGTGCACTGGGTTGAAATATCACCTTATCTGGCAGCGAGAGAAAATGTAGCTTATGGCAATTATGTACAGCTTGACTGCCACCTGATTATTCAAAACCAGACACAGTGTGCTACAGTATTGTTTTTGAACTTTTTGTATTTTATTTATTCTTATTTGATCTTTTATAGGTATTTGACATTAAATAGTGAAGGCCCAATGGATGACCCTGCCACACAGAGTAGCTAACTCAATACAATTATATGCAAAGGCACTCACTGGCAGTCAATGTGTTAAGATGTTTTTCGAATCCATCGATGTCTCAACAAAGCTATTAATTTAAAAAAATTATTTAACGAATTAAGACATTTTTTTACACATTTTATTAAAATTTCCATTTTATAAAATCCAATAATAATTAAAACACCTCAAAGACATATAAAAAAAATAATTGCATCACATACTGAAGAAACATCTGTTCTATTTCATCCCTAAAAAGTTAGAAACTAAAAGAAAGAAAAACATACTTCGTCCAGACATTCCATCTTTGCCATAGCTTCAGACAATCTAATGAGGCTTTCTAACTGTCTAACAGTGATTCGCCAGGTGGATTTCGATCCAGAACTGCCATCCCGTTGCCTCAAAAGAGTATATCTCTCAACTAAAACTTTGGCTCCTTCCTAAAATTAAAAAAATGGGAATTCAATTTTAAAACTAAATTTATAGATAAATAAGAATTAATATTTAAGGAAAAACTAATTGTATAATATGAGCTCTTAACTGGCTTTTTTACTCAAATAAAAACCAAAATCGTGCTTCTCTAATTTTAATACAAGATTTCTTTTTTTCTTTAGTCCTAAATGATAGATAATTTTTGCATAATTAGGCCAGTCAATGAATGATATTTTTGACTTTAGGACATTGTTTAGACTAGTAAAAAGGTACACATACTAAAAGTCCCCAATCCTAGGTAGTGAGCCAGATGTGGAGGAAGGTCACTTTTTTTGAGTTTATGCTTATATCAGGAAAACTATCCATCGCATTGGCAGAGATGTTCTATATAAAATTAAAGCTGATAAAATTGGAATATCATTGATTAAATACCTTTTTTTGCTACCTCGCTTAGTTTCCGAGATATCTGTCTTCAAATATAGCTAATCTTGAAAATAAAAAATTTTGGCTCGTGTTTATTGCTGTTTTTCGAAATTTCACTTACATCAGGAAAACTATTCATTGCATCGACACGGAGGTTGTATACAAAATTAAAGCTGACAAAATATGCAATATGATTTTTTTTACCTCATGTTTTTTTTTTTTACTGTATTTGAATAGAGAAAGATAATTTTTATCTCATGATTTTTACTGTATTTATTTAGATAAATCTTGATTGCTTCTTTCTATGATTCTATGATTGTATATAATTATTGTATATTAAGTCGTGAGGAAGAACGTTTTTAATGATTAAATTTTCTTCAAGAATATATATTATTTTTATTAGTTAATCTCTAACAGTTCAAAAGTTAGATCACTTATAACTTTATATGTTAATTCCGATAATTTGCAGAAAAAAATAATTTTTATAATATTCGTTATTATATGTTCCTCTAACTCTCTATGTTTATACATATACATATATATACATACAATAACGTTTATTACAAAAATTATTTTTTTCTGCCAATTCTCCCAATCACCGTATAAAGTTATAACTGATCCAACTTTGAACCGTTGAAGATAAACTTGTAAATTAATATATATTTTTGACGGAAATTTAATTATTAAAAACTTTCTTCCCCATGACTTAATCACAAAACGAAACAATCAAGATTTATCTGGATAAATACAGTAAAAATCATGATAAAAAATTTCTTTTACTTCATTAGTGATAGTTGAAGACGGATACGTCGGAAACTACGTGAGATAGCGAGAAAAGGTATATAATTAATCATATTGCAAATTTTTTCAGCTTTAATTTAGTATAAAATGTCTTTGCCGATGCGATGACTACTTTTCCTAATATAAGCGAAAACACGAAAAAAGTGACCTAATAGGTGCCCCCCCCCACATTTGGCTCACCACCTAGGAGTGGGGACTTTTATTTGTTTACCTCCTTAGTCCTGATAGTTTTTATTTTCACATTTAGTTTTTTATTAGTATTAATTTTAAGTTAATTTCTAATTTTCAATTCATTTACACTTTTTTAACTTTTTAAAAAATATTTTCAGTTTATCATTTTTCAATACAATTACCTATAGCAGTTTTTATTTTTTGCTAATTAGAACTTAGTAATACTACAACATTTTAGTTGTGAAAAAGTATTTCATATTATCTTGTTAACCTTTAATTAATATGTATTTTTATTTATCCCATTCTGTTATAATAGTTTTGGTATATAAAAAAATTGATATTTCATTCTTAATCCTTCCTTTACTTTTTTATGTAATATGATAATATTGTATTATTTAATAATAATTATTGTATATTTGAATTTTTTAATTGCACATTGTATGGGCATATTTCGTGTTTTTTTTACTGCATGAAAATCCGGGCTCTGGTTATAATATATTTTGTTATTGAGATTAAATGTTAAGGACTTAAATCACAACAAGTATACATTAACATGTCGAGAAAAAATAAGACAAATAAGTTTGGTTACTTGAATTCATGTAAAGAACTGGATTTAAAAAAAAAAATAATAATAATAATTTTAATGTTTTAATTAAACTAGAACAGTCTATAAATATATGTTTTAGTGACTGCCTCTCAAAGATTTTTTTTTTTTTTAATAAACAGACAATTGAGTTCTCATATGACTTTTTTTCAACAGTTGTTCAAAAAGAAATATAGCAATAAAAAAATAATTACTTCACTAATAATTGGCTTGAATTGACGAGCAAAGGTAATATATCGAAGAACTTCTTCTTGGGTGTAAGGAGATTCCTCACTATCGTCTACATTGTTATGCAAAGCAACTAATTTCCGTGCAATGGCATAATCAAGAACCTAAAAATTCAATATATCTTAAATTAATCACATTTATATAACTACATATTTATATAATTCTATGAACATCTGATATAACTCATTAAACATGAACTGATTAATAAATCCAATTGGTTCAAATTGTATAAATAAAATTTAAATATATGGAATTTTTAATTTCCTTCCAATTAAAACAAGAAGTTTATAAGAAATGAAGTTTTATGAAGTCGTTGGTTTTGTTCGTTAAGTTGCTAAAATAGAGTTTGGCAATCAGCCAGAAATTATATTTTCACTTAATTAATATATTTTAATTTCAACTAAATTAATTAATCAAATTATGATTTATAAAATTTGCCTGTGGTCATCCATCATTGAAAAATCTGGTGTGTGCAACAACCAACTTTTACTTAACGCTCTACTTTGAATAGAAATTATTTTCTGGCATTGTTGGACTATTATAAAATTTCAGAAGTGCATTTTAAACGGAGCAAAAGCTTAAAGATTACAGATAACAAATCTTTAAGAGCATTAAAATTACAAAAAGTCAATTTATTATATCGATATACCTATCTTAAATACGTAATATTAGTTTCGTACGACTTTTCGTTCTAGACTGTTCACATACACACATGAGCACAGACAGTTTTGCTGGACTTGGTTATTTGGACTCAGAGAACCTCTAAACATGTATTTCAGTTGGAAACTCGGATTAGAAAATTTTCACAATTGCAATACTTTCTCTTAATATATATTCCATATATAGATAAGTGAAAGTTAAAAATCTGGTATAGTACATGTATCACACAACTTCTAATTACCACCCACTTTATTTTGAGAAGAAATAGCTTTTTCCCTATTTTTGTGTAGAGATTCTTTTCTATGTAAGAGAAGATAAAAATCTTAAATATTCACAACACACTTAAAAGAAGTATTTACCAAATATTTTCTCCACATATCACTAATCTATTAAATGTATTCAAATATAGGTAATCAAAAGTAAAAAGACAGTTATACAGCCAAATCCTTCAACAAGTTTGGAGAGTATGGAAGGTAAATAAAAATCTCTTACTGAAGTTTTAGCTGAAATGTGAATATAAGTATCATCATTTAAGCATAGAAACCCACTCCAAGACTAACACAATTGAAGTTCTTTAACACCTACCAAAATCATAAGACCTATATCACCCAAATTAATACAAAGGTGTTTTTGCAAAACCTTAAGAAAAATAAGCTTTAAATACATGGAAATGTATGAGGAAGGAAGTATTATACATTTTCAGATCAATAAATTATTATATTTACCTTAAATTATTTAATATTACCCTATGAAATAAAATGATATATTACTGAAAATCAGATAATTCGATTTTTTCATTAGAGAGGTTTAATAGTTTCAAATCTTGATAATATTAACATGTTAGCTGTGGTTATGGTCCCCAGGTTCCGATATGCGTCTCGACTTCAGCCAGAATAGTTTCAAATTTTGCCTATCTAACGAAGTCTTTAAAATGGTCATTTTTAAAAATATTTGAATGGAAGTTGGATGGATGTAAAGATAGAAACAAACGTAAATAATGATTATATCTGATAGACGTCAGGGACCGTAACCACAGCTAACAATTAATATAAGAAATTCATTCATATGAAATTTTTAAAAAAATTATAATTTAAATTCTAAAAATAATAAAGGTTTACTAATTTTAAATTGCTCTTGTTCTGAAAAAAAAAAATTGGACTAACAGTTTTTTACCAATCAGGCATGTAAATACAATTCAATCTACCTACCTCATTACATTCATCAATCAATACAAAAAATAAATCAAATCTTGACATAATGGGTGCAGTGAGAGTTATGTTGTTTTGAAGTGACTTGGTTCTATCGTAGTGTCCTCCAATAGGATTTGCAGCAGCCAAAATTGATGTTCTGGCATTTAAAGTTGCACGTACTCCAGCCTTAAAAAAAAAAGAAATAGTAAATAGGATATATTTATTAAATATGTTAATATTAACAATACTTAACTACGTAATCAATAAATTCTCAGACGATGAAATAACAGGAAATATACTAAGAACAATTCCAGACAATGTTTGGCTATCCTTTTATATCATACACAGTAGTATAGGTCAAAATTTATCTTAAATAATAGATAAAGAACGATTTATTCCTATTTTCAACTATGAATAATGAAAATTTCTGTTTATCTTTCATCTAAATAACAAATAAATTCAAGTTATCTGTTATATTTTTATTTTTTATTCGAATTTTTCAAATAAATTTTGAATATTTTTTTTTAATTTAATTTTATTGAAATTTACAACTGTATTACATGGAAAATACAATAAGTAAATGTGACATTGGTAACATGACATGTACAGCATGAAGAGAAACTACCCATTGGTAGAACTCAATTGAATAATTTAAATATCTTTTAGCAAGACTGCCAAAAAAGAAAAATTATGATAAAAATTTTATTTCATGAATGGATGTTCGGTTTTTCATTTCATCGCTTTTCCTCTTTTATCTCGTGAATGGATCCTTGATTTTTCACTGTTTTCAACAATTTTACAGCTATTTAGAGGTAGGCGAAAATGGGAAATAGTGTAGAAGATTTTATGGATTTTCATTCGCATTTCCACCTTGACCTCATGAATGGACGGTCTGTTTTTCACTATTCCAACAATTTTCCAACTGTTTAGAGTTAGGTCAACAGAAACAGAAGTGGTACAAATTTTATGAATTTTCATTCGCTTTCCCTTTTTATTTCAGGAATAAAGGATCGTTTTTTCACTTACATATTAATATAGGAATATATAATAGTATCTGATATATCGTATTAGTGGACCCATATATTGAAGAAATCTTAAAAGTATCAAAAGCTCGATGAGTAATGGTGCAATTTTAAATCCGACAGTATTTTCATAAAGAGACCCCTCCCCTACAAATCATATTAGTGGACCCATATCTTGAAGAAATCTGAAAAGTATCATAAACTTGATGCACAATCTTAAATCCGACAGTATTTTCATAAAAAGCATTCCCGACAAAATAATAAATGAAAAAATGATTTTATTTAGAGACAAAAGTCCTCTCTTAGAATAATAACACGAGTTCAAAAAATTAATTCTATCTGGCTTGACATAAAATAAACAGATACTTGTCATTTAATTACAATTGTGATTATACGGTATACAAAGTAACACAACTGAATTTTATAAAGTTTAAATCTAGACAAGATTGCAAAAAAGAATAAAAAATCAAATCAAATGGCACTTGTTCGTTGATGGCGATTAATCATTGATAATTGTAATTACAGAATCCAATAAATATCACATAGATACAGAAGTTTGAAAATGAAGGTGGTGGAATAAGAGTTGTTTGAAAGAATTTATGGATGAGGATTGCCGTATGGAGATGGGTAAGCATTTGGAGACCCTTATTACACAGAATAGTGAAGTTTTGACAGAAAAAATCCTTAAAAATTTTTAACTTAACAGTAATGTTCTATAAATAAAAATTGCCAAAAAAAGAATAACAATCCAGATACTGAAAGTAAAAAGGGCCACAAAATCAAAACTACGAGAGAATTAAAAAACATTTTAAACTGTTTAGCTGGCATTTTCAAAACTAATTTTAATGTTATAAAAACAAATTGTGAATAATCACCTAAAATGAGACACTGCTTTTAAAAAAAAAGATAGTTCCATTTTTTGGAGGACTGCACCAATTGACCATTCTACCATTGATATAGTGATGTGATTTTTTTTTCAAATATTAATCTTTCAATTGCCTACACAATTATTTGCATCAAACTTATTCCAAGTTTAAGCAATGGTTAGCTTCAGATAAAAAACGCTGCAAATTATTTCACAATCGTTTATTATTTCCAAACATCTATACATCTAAAGTAACATTACCTTCCTAGTCACAAAGAAAAATAAATAAAAGGTGATTCCAATTATTGGAATAAACTTTTTTTTTTAATCATTAGTAATATGTCAAAAGAAAAATAGCATTACTTCAGTAACGCATTCGAAATTTAAAACCAAACAAATGATATAACATTTGGAGTAGAACATATAAAAAAAAAACTGGAGACCATATCTTTGCTTCTAATTGTCCGATTTTGACAATTTTTCTTTTGTTTTTTAGGAAATTCCATAAACTTTTGAAAAACCATCCACAAAAAAGTGTATACTTTTTGAGTTATTCGGAATTAAATTTAACCATCCCTCGTAACTTTTTTCCAGCTTCTTTTCGTTGAAGAATGTTATGTAGATAAATTTAAAGGGCGTCAAGAAAATGACTTTAGCAAAGTTTCATTGAAATCGGTACATTTGTTTAGGAGCTACAGTCTATAGCAACGCAGGTTTTTTGGACGCCATTTTTAAAGTAAAAGGCAGATAGTAATGTCGATGAAGGAGGATCATCCTCGGGTGACTTCTGATTTTATATCCAAATTTGAAAAAAAATCGGTGTAGTAGTTTTGGAGAAAATATGCGGACGATGGACGGACAAAAAATCTTTTATTCATTATTACTATATAATCATTTTTCAAACTCTACGTATCCTGAAACGTGAAACCTCAAATTTTGAGAGGGTTAAGTTTTTGAATTTATTGGTCGATCACAATGGTCGATTATTGAAAATAATAAACCAAAAGCAATTATATTCAATTAACTATATATTGATATGATAGAAACATCTTAAAATCTAGATATAATTAATACAATGAATAGGCTATTAATTTTTTTTTTTACATTTGATCTAAGTTATTCTTTTGGCTTTCTTCCATTAAACAAGTTATCTTTAAGAATGTTAGTTATCAAGAATATGTTTATACATTTTATTTTATACCACTTTAAAATGTATGAATACCTTAGCTAAGGAAATAGTCTGTTGTTCCATAGCTTCATGAATAGCAACTTGATCATGGGGATCCATCTTATCAAATTCATCTATACAACAAATACCATTGTCTGCTAACATAAGGGCTCCAGCTTCAATAACAAAGTCTGGAGATTCTTCATCTCGAACCACAGCTGCTGTCAAACCTGCAGCACTAGATGCTTTACCTGATGTATAAATAGCTCGAGGAGACAAGTCAGCGACCTGCGAGAAGGAAGAGCACCATTGAAGAGTTGAGAGAATCAACCGTTTAAATTATGTAAAAAGACATAAACAAAGAAATTAAAATATTACTTATATTTCTTTCATTATGATAAATTTTAGAGAAAATCCATCAACATTTAAAAAATAAAAATGAATACAATGTAACCTCTTACAATAAAAATGTGTCATAAGAGACAGTTTCAAATAAACCTAAGAAAACCATAAAGGAATACAGACAAGACAGTCAATTTCAAATCTACTAATGAATATATAAAAAATAAGTTGATAGTAATAAAATTATTAATAATAAATTTCTTTTGTAATATCAACAATAACTAACGATATACATAGTTTATTTTTGTTCTTATCAAGATGCCTAATTTACTTAAAATAATACCATCAATGAATTATTAATATATCAAAATATTGTACCTGTTTTAATAATTGTGATTTTGCTGTGCTTGGATCTCCAACAATACAACAGTTAATGTCACCTCTTAATGTTGTCCCTTCCATAGTAGTCTTTGGAACCCCACCAAACAACATCAGTAAAACCCCTGAAGGAATACTTTTAATTAAAATTTAGTAAATGTGAAAAATGTTTCTAGGTGATTCAAAACTTTTATAGAAAAAATTTTTCCTCATTTAGAAAAAAGATTCTTGTGTTCAACAAAAAGTAATTTTCAATTAATTTAAAATTAACAAGCATTCTAGTTATACCTTTTCTAATCAATATATATTTGGGGTAATTTGATATGAAAAACTGAAATCTTCTGAGTATTGTAATTATCACAAATTTTTAACATTCTTGTGGAGCGTCAAAATAAGCTTATAAACAAGATCAAACTTAAAACATGAAAAAAGTAGTAAACATAAGACAAGAGATCCAGACGAACAGAAAACTAATTCTATAACCAACTTAAGCGAAAATAATATATAAAATAGAAAGTTTTTGTTGAAAAAATGTATTAAAAAAATACCTTTTTTTACTTGATCGCAACCATGGATAGATGGAAATAAACTCTTTATAAGATTTTGATATAAATTTTTATCTTGATTCATTTCATAAATTTTAGTCCATTCTGCTTCAGTCATGTTTTTTCTCATTATTTCAGGAGTCACTTCTTCCATCAACAGTTCTCCACTTCCACCAAACTAAACAAAATGAATTGCACATATATTTTTTTTCAAGTGACTACTTTTCATTCAAACAACAATAAATCAACCTTAAATCATAAAACAATACAAATAAACTATTATTTCTTAATGCCTTCAAAACTACAAACTATATAAAGGAAAAACTATCGACTAAAAACTATTTATCTAAAATAAATGAAAGAATTGTTCATAATCACATACACGAGGGATTGTTGGTGTAACACTGCAAGCCAAAAATGCCAATCTGTAATGTAAATCTCTAACGCCAAGCGCTTTCAAACCTCTAACTCCTTCATTATTACTTTCACCTAAAAAATAGTTAATATAAGTATTTATATTTGTAACAAAAATAAACTTAATAATAAATTCTAACTGTAATTGATACTTTGTGAGAAAACATCAGAATTAAAGTTTATAACCACTTTTTCTAGTATGAATATTATATTTTTATATAAAATATGCTAACAAGAAGTTAAGTTAGGGATCTCCAAACAATAGCCCGCAAAAATTTTTGTGATTACAAGGTAAAATTTTATGAACTATCTAAAAAATATGAAATTTAGTAAATAACTCACACACGAGGTTACTACAATGTTTATTGCATGTTGTTTTTTTTTTCTCAGAAAGCTCATTTCAAAGCTGGTGTCATTTATAGAACACGATTTTTTTTTTGACACAAGCCATGGCCCATAGAACTTGGGTGGAGGTCTAAATACAGTCTATGGAACTTAGTCGAGGTTTCAATATGGCCCTGCAAGCGAAAAAATTTGGAAATCCCTGGGGGTTAAGTGATCCAAATGAGATCAAAACATGAAGTTTCCAACCGGGTACTCAGGAACCCCCAACATACTCAGTCCCATCAAGTCCTTCACATACGATGGTAAGTGAAAGTTGTGTAATGTGCATGTCGTATCAGTTTTTATTTTTTAATTTTATTTTACAACACAGAAATTTAGTACTTAAAATTATTATTAAGAATGTTTCCTACAATTTTGGAGTATACTTCTTTTAAAGACTTATACATAAGTCTCTGAAGAAGTTTCCTTGAGAAGATGAAAAAAAGTTTATTCTGTTGTAGAAAAAACATAAGCATAAAAACAAAGTTAATTCACCTGGTTTATGATGAGCACCACTTTCTGCTTTGGCTCCAGGGAGAGCTAAAGATCCGACATCTGGTACAACAATCAAGGTTCCAGTAAAGTCATACCTATCACCTGCTTGGACTAATTCCACAACTTCTCCACGTAAAATTACTTCAACACTGAAAAAGAAAATCGATTTAAAAATTTAATTTTACCTACAATAAAATTAGTTTTTTAATAATGTGCCGGTCATGACTCATCCATAAATGAAATCGGAAAGGAAACGTTTAGTTATGTCACAAGAGTAGCACTTAAATATTTCAGTCAAATAATGTTCATAATTTAAATTGTCATAAATACATCTCAATAAAATATGGACACTATCATTACCTTCTAGGGATACAACCTCTAGGTAGTTCAGCCTGTGTTTCTTGAATTCTAATTTTTTGAAAGTCCACAAATTTAGATTTATCTACGTCCAACATAAACCTTCTCCTGTTAGCACATGCAGCATTTCTGCAAATAACTGGCTGTGTATACTGTAACAAAATAAATTTGTTATACCTTCGGAAATTCTGAAGAAAATTAAATTTAACCAAGATCTGTTATAGCTATTCTAATTTATGAACATAACAAAAAAAAATCTAAATCTAATTACTTTAAATTGTTGTAGGACATCTTTAATTACTGTTTGGCAGTCTAAACAACTAAATGTTCCAGAGACCAACTCTGGGTGGACAGGATGTGTCCTAACGACTTGTCCTGAAATACGAATTAATGTGCCTATTTTTGATGTGGATAATTCACGAATTTTATGCCTTGTAGGGACTTCAGTAAAACCAATATAAAATTCTTTGTTTCCTAATCCTTCACCATGATCTTTCACAAAATTTCTGACAGCACGACACAAATATGGGTCTATTCTGAAAAAGTTAAGATAAGATTATATTATCAGAACAGAAAAAAATAAAGAATTGAATCCAAAAACATGACAACTGATAATTTACCGATAGTATTCTTCAATTATTGCAGTGGCGAGATTCTGATTGTATTTTTCAATATCTTCAAAATTGACTTCAAGGGTACATCTTTCTAAAGACTGTAATTCCTTGGCAGCTTCTAAATATTTCACTTCTCCATCTTCTCGAAACCTAAAAGATAGTTGTGAATAAAACTAGTGAAAGTATTATCAAGTGCAATTAATCTATCAAAACAGAGCATACTCTTCCAAAAAGTCTTGAAACAATTTCTGACACCGAGCACCAACTTCATCTTTAACTTTATTAATACCTTCACGAGCTTCGGCAATATCCATAATTGAAACGAATAATGTATGTGACAAGTACAAATAAATATAAATATATGTGATAAAACTGAACAAACTTTCAAACTACACTAACTTCAACAGGTACAAAAATACGTATGATTACAAACTTCGCTCAACTAATAGCGCGGGTTTTTATCAGAACGTCCAACTAACAGAAAATATTGAAGATTTGGTCAATTTAATCTATTTTAATTACAGTCTACCTTCATTAAATTAAAAATTAAATACCTTGACTGTTATTATGGTTATTATATAATTTATTCTGTTGATATCATGATGCATACATTTTCTAGTGTGATTTGGATTCTATTTTTAATGAAGGGGGGGGGGGGTGACCATAGCTATGTGATGCATTTAAGCATTTATTTACTCATACCTTCACCTAACAAATTACATTTAAACTAGTAAACATTTATTCAGATGAAATCATAAAAGAAACAAAACAACATTCTATGGATTCTTCTGGAGAGTGTCTCAATTAATTATATTGAAAAAATAAATTTCTGAACAATTTTGGTGAATTATTCATTGTTAAATATTTCTCTTCCATCTCATGAAAATCATAGTAATTCCAATTTCCTACTAACTTGGCATTAACAAAACCATAAATTGTTATTTTGTCTTTCCTTTTTATAATGTTATAAAACTGTAATGTAAGGAGTACCTTTATTTAAAATTTAAATTGTTACCCTCATCTTTACTGGATTAAGCTTACCCAATTGAAGATACAAAATATTTCATCCTTATTTTATTTTATTTTTTGTTAATTTTAAAAATTATTAAATATTTATATTAAAAATCATAATTATTAGTAGATAATAATAATCTCTCAAGATCATCTTTTATGAAAAATTATAATTTAAAAATTAATAATTAACATTTAAAAAAGAAATTCCCATATCTATCTTGGATGTGTATCTTTTTCAACAAATGAGCCTGCCTTGAATAAGGGAGTAAAAAACAAACCCAACAATGTAAAACTATTATTTATAAATTCTTGGTGAGGATCCTCCACTTTATCATCAACCCAGAAGGTCCAAGTTTCTCTTTTGTGATGTAACTCACCAAATAACTGACTGTTAAAGGACAATGTTTTTTCTGTACTAGCTCAGAATATATAAGATAAGATCATGCAAGTAATCAGTCACTTGTTTCTCTGTTTGTGGATTTGATATCAGTTGCTCACCCTTTTTGAAAATCTTTCTTCTTATAAATTACTTAATCTAGTCAATTTTTTTCTATAGATATTTATTTGTAGCTCAATTATCTACTGAAGTAGTTCATTCCAGTCAACCAAGAAACCTTTCTTAAAAGTGATCTGGTGCTTTTCTGCCATATAGGAGTAAACTAAACTTAAAAAAAGAAATCATTAGTGTTACAGAGCCAGAAATTAAAATTCTTGTGCAGATCACTTCTACTAACAAATTAGGGTAGTCTGGGAATTAAACTTTAATCCTATGCCTGATACATTTCGCCAATCTTGTTCAATGGTAATATCTTTAATTTGATTGACTTTTTTATATCTTTAATGCAAAGCTTTCTACACATTAGAATAGGTATATCATCTAATATGCCTAGATTTTTAAATTTTTTCTCAAATATACAAATATTTCCATGTGATGCTGTTATCTATCACCATCTACAAGATGAAAAGAAGTTGAACAACATTGGTGAAAATCCATCTCTATCCTTCAAACCTGCCCCAATTTAGAAGGCTTCTGATAATGCTCTTTGTGTCAGGACCCGACATCAAAGATCATTAATACTTTTTTTTTTAATACTAAGATCACTTTTTTTTTAAATATCATCAATTTTCCAGCTGTCATGATTTTTCAGTTTTTTTTCCTCAACCTAATAGGCCATTTTCATATCGACAAATAATAGTGCACATCCTGAGCTAATGTTCCTATTGTTTATTGAGTGCTTGTTTAAGCCTGAAGAACTGGTTTAGGCTTCCTCTTCTGTATCCTCCAAGGCAGTTTTTATACTTCCACAACACAGATAATTCTACTTGAGCCTAGATTGGTCATAATCTTATAAGCAACAGAAAGGAGAGCTATACCTCTGTAATTAACTAACTCACACATAGATCCCTTATTTAGGATAGGAGAATAATATACACATGACATCAGAAATTCCTTCCAGTGTGAATTTTCTTGTGTATCAATAATATTACTTTATCTCTGACTGACCTTTTGGTTAAATTGAAAAAAAATAAATTAAAAATATTTACTATGACAAATGACTGCCAGGGATACAGACCTGATTAATTTGTTGAAGATGCACCAAAAAGTTTAATTGGTGAGCTACCATTTCTGTATTGAGTTATAAAATATTGAATATCTCAGGAAAGGTTAATCAGTGCATACACAGCAGCAGTTTTAATATTAACTGTATTATTTTTTTTTTCAATTACAAAAATATCAATATATAATAAGAAACAATAAAATCAGAAAATTTATAAACTAATGAAAATAGCTAATAACATATTTTCAACAATATAATTTTGTAAGGTGATAACAATATATATTCCTTTAATTTGATTTTAATCACGATAATTTAAATATTCAAATATTAACATCAAATAATTTCTTTTATCTTTAAACTAACATAGAATTTTCAAACAGTTTTATATCTTTACTCCAATTGATAAAGTAATCAATTTTTAGAAATTTAATTTTTAATTTAAGAATATTGGCACATCAGTTTGGCTTCAATCAACATAAATCAATAATAGATGGCAACTTGAATTAAGAAGTAAAAATAATAAATCTGAATTAGTGATGGAATAAACGAAGGTTTGTGTGTGCTAATACAATATTGTGCTTGTTACAGGCTTCAATTACCTCTGCATCATTTGTTGAACCAGAAGGACTGCCTATGTAGCTAACACCACTCTGGAAATTAAATATATTAATTTCTTATTAGATTATAAAAATTATATTAAAAAACAAAACAGAGCTTTTCTAGATAATTATTAAATATTGTATTTCTTCATAGAAAAATGTAAAATAAATCAATAGCCCAGGAATTAATACCTCTTTCAGACCTCTGGCTAAGAATCGTTCAAAAGAAATGGTTACTAACATATTAACCGTTTGTACGAAATACTACCAAAACTAGTTGTTAATTTAATTTACTTACATTTTTTTTTCATTATCCTTGTTTGATTTCAATATAATGCCCAGTGCCATTATTGACAGTCAAAGGTGGATGAATATAACAACCATGGTCGTTTATAACAATGAAGTTTACCCATTCAAGGTCATTATAAACGATATCCACTGTATATTTATTTCTAATTTGACAAAAATATTTATGTACTTAAAAATTCCCCAACTTTAACAATCTTTCCCTGACTTCTCCCTGTTTTGAAAATTCCCCGACTTTTTCCTTTTTTCCATTTATTCCAGATTGGTCGCCGTTCTATGAAAGTATAAAGATAATAGTGATTTCTAAGTTGTTCACATTTTATCTGTGACCTTACTCAAGAAGTAAACATTGGTTCTAGTAATAAATCTCTTCCCTAACAGTAATTTCACAACAGAAATTTGAGATACATTGTCACAGCAAATGTGTCTTTACAAGTGTTCATTGTCCCGAACATTAAAATTGATTTATCTTACTTTGATGGTAATTACAGTAAAGTTAAAGAAGTTCTAGATAAATAATAATCAACTGATGTATTATAAATGGCAAGCTTAAATAAACTTAATATAATCTTACCATATGTGCTCTATTTATGTTATCACTGAACGGGAAAAATGCATCTGAGGACAAGCTGACACCACTGAGTTTAGAGAGCCATTCCTGTTTGTCTTCATCAGTCAAAAGAGCTGGTATTTCTTCATATTTCGATTCCCATGTTTTCAAATCCATATCTTTACCTATAACATAATAATTTAAAATTAGAGACACAAACTGTCAATTAACATATATTTTTCAATGGATGAATATTAAGTTTTGATTCTAATAATAATTGATCCTTAATTGAAAGCCTTAATATTAATATTGAACACCTTTAATATTTTATGATTTATTACAGCATAATATACACTTAAGGCTTTAAAATGTTTTACCTAAAGAACCATTAACATAGTTATCAATAGCATTTGATATTTCAGCTCTTGTAACGCCCTTCTTAAATTTCATTCCAATGACACGAGGGTGTTGTCTCAGCCACCTATAATAGAAAATAAATTGAATGGCACAAATTGATAAACATTCATGGCAACAACAAATTTATACAAGTTTTATGTAAATATATATATATATATATATACTTGTATTTGTAATGGTATGCTCTATAAAGTAATCTGTTAAACCCGAGTATCATTGAATCCTCCAGGGCCTAATGATTTTCTGATTTTCGAAATAACAATTAACAACAAGAAATTCTTTGACACCAGGAATTTCGGTATGAAACTATAGAATATTCAGAAACAAAACCAGAAATATTAGAATGGCTTAAAACTTATACAAAAAATGTTTCCTCTGTCAGAAACATGGTTCTTTACTTATAATTAGCTAGATTTGAGAAATATTTGATGTTCTAATCATGAGTTATAAATTATTGAAAAAATAATTATTTATCAAAGAGCTCAAAATACAAGACGAAAAAACAAGATGCTATTCTTATTCATTTTTTGGGAATAGGAAAAAAAAAATCAAAAAACAAAGGTTAAATTTGTTTTTAAAGAAAAGAAACATGTGTAAGTACCGAGTTTTAACTTTATATTAAATAATGCAATGTTAAATATGAAAGAAATAGTTTGAAATTCCAAAAGGACCCTCTTGGTACTTAAGAGTATACCAAATAAACTTTTTAACTTTGAAAATTTATGTCAAATAATGGCATTTGAATACAAAATTTATTGATTAATAAAGTATATTAGTCTTTTAAATACAAATATTTTTTTTACCAATTATCTGCTTTGTCACCAGCCAGTCTTGTGCAGTGGATCCTGCTCTGTTGACCTGCTCCAATTCCAATTATTTGCCCATCACGTGCATAAGCTACTGAATTACTTTGCGTATACTTCAGAGCTATTGTTGCTACCACAAGATCACGTACAGCACTTTCAGGAAGCTTAAAATTAATTTTAAATCTTTGTTACTTAATTCATTTTTTTTTTCTTTTATGATTTAGTAGGGGTCTCTAAACTATAGTTCACAACTACTACCGATCTGGTCTGCCATAGTTGTTTTCATTTACATTGTAAATAAGTAAACAGTATAATACAATACAATATTATTTTAACAACCAGTTAGAAACACACAAAGTGATAAACAGAGAGAAACTAAATATTTTAAATTGCTAATGTTATCATGGTGAGCTAATTAAGAAAAACAGACCTGTAGCCCTCAAACTTAAAGTTTAGAGACCCATGGTTTAAGTTTTTCTTTAAAATTCTTAGTGTTTGATCATAAACTATAATTATTTTAAAATTAACCACAAAAATGAAATTGTTGTTATGCTTTTAATTATAAACAACTCTAAAAGTCTTGAACAGAAATGGGAATAATATCTATGCTGAATAATACAATTTAAAATGTTTTACAATGAATTAATAGATCAATGTTTCAGCCATCAAGGTTATTGAAGTTTTAAGCTTTTACCATCGCCATTCACCATTTAATTTTCTTTGTTACCTACACTATAAAGGTAGGCTCAACAATTAAAATGAGGTGTTTTTTCCTTATAGTTTGTATCTTATCTTCTTATAGATAAACATCGGCTATAAATTATAACTAATAGTAATTCACTCATTCATGCAATTATAAAAAAAGAAAAACAAATTGTGCACACCTCTTTATTACTTGATACTATATTGTTAAATAAATTTTTATCAATCACAGCATCATTTCTACACTGCTCTAACGTTAGGCCAAAAATTGTTTTCCTTTCCATTTTACTAGGAATATATGCTGGGTCTATCTGCAGTATGCAATAATTTCCACCTTTTTTTTTCTTTAAGAGGGCCAATGCTGCTTCTGAATATCCAGGAGCAATTATACCATCAGAAACCTGGAAAAATTAATCAAACAATACAAATCATTCAATATGATGTATAATTAAAACTTATGACAGATAAGAAAATAGAACAAACATTTTAAATCAGTACTTCATTTACTGAGCATGGATTTCTATGCAATCCAGTATTTCTATTGCAGTCTTACTATAACATTGCAAGAATAAAGGAAAGTTTTAATGGCGAATATAAACTGATGTTTAGTTTAACATAGTCCACTTAGAATCTGAGGGTGGCTGGATCATAGAGAATATCCTTACAAAAATCATATCTTACTTGTATTGTTATACTTAATATTGTCTAAATTACACTTGATAATAATGTCATAAAAAAAACAAAAATTTTTTTACTGACAAAATTAACCATAACTATTGAATAATTAGTCGACTATTCCTTTCATGAAGTCATACTGCATAAATTAGATATAAGATTTTTAGATATCAGGTGTACATTGTTTTCTTACATTCTATGCATTTTTTGATGTTTTAAAAAATAAGAAGTCTTTAGACAATTTTTATTTTACAAATGAATATTTAAAATTTTTAATAAAATTGTTTTTAACTTTCTTCACCGCTATCAGAAGTAGTGAGGATAAAATATACAACCTTATTCAGTTTTCAACTTCACAAAAATTCAACATAGTTAGTATCCTGTAGTGGAAAAAATTAATCATAAAAAAAAAAAAAATTAAGATTTTACCTCTCTTGAAATTATTTTGGCAGTGATTTCATCACAAGGCTCAGATAATGCTATGAAGTCACCGAATGAAGACATTCTATCAGCTCCACGAGCCCTAGCATATGCAATAGCAAGGGGAGTCAATTTCTCAAATAAATCTTCAACCATACATAACCGAGCCTATAGAAAAAAAAAATCAACAATTAAAAATTAATACGTGTAATAAGCTTTATAATTAAAAACAACTTTTCTTCTGAATGTTCAGCTTTTGGTAATTAAATACAGAATCTAGTTCAATGCAGAAAATAGAATAAATACAGGAATGCATTGGAAATTCTTCAGAAAATTTGAGAAGTTTAAGTTCATAAAGAAAGTTGTTGGTTCCTAAAACTATAACATAAGGACAACAATGGGAAAAACAGCTCAAACTGTAAACTATTTTTTCTCAGAGTATTAAGCTGAAGTTGTTTCAATGATGTTTAATTTATATTCTATAAATCTCTATAAAACCAAAATAACCTGTTCGCGGGTCAGAGGTGTACTAACTGATGCACCAGCCGGACTAACATGTTTGAATGATGTTGCAGCAGGCAAACCAAGAGCAGAAGAGAGCTCTTTTACCAACTGCCATCCATTTAATGCATCACAAAGATTAATAAAACCTGGAGAGCCATTAACAACTGAAAAAAAAATTACCAAAAATCATTTCCAGATATACAAAAATACAATCAATAAATAAAATTTTAAAAATACAGTCAATAAATCCTACCATCTAAGGGAAGTTTAGAAAGAGTAGTAAAGATTTGAGCTGGTTTCTGATGAGGATTCATGCCATATCGCAAGGTAATTTGAGATACATTAGAAGAAAACTCCTTACGAAAATAATTGCTGATTGCTGAGTCATAATCTGCTGTGCAATTGAAGGCTTTAAGGGCCAACTGTTTTCTGAGAAGAAAAAAAAAACAGAACATTACATTATCTAAGTGTTATAAACCATTTAAAGTAATTATTATTAATGTCATGGAATTACATCAGCAGTACTCATGAAGTAACAAGCTTTTCTAATTATTTTTTTTAAAAAGAGTTCCTTCTCAATCGAGAAAATATTTTTTCCAGCAGTATTACAATATTCTGGAAATAACTTAGTTTTATTTTACTTTTGGTTTATTAATTTATAATATTCAATTAGCTAAGAAAAAAAAATTGACTCCATCTAATCACATATATATAAATCATGTAAATATGAGCTGCGATAAAATTCAAGTGATAAAGAAAATATATAACATTGAGATTTCACTTTTAAAATAATTTTTAAAAATCCATATCTAACTAAAAACTTGAAATAATAGTGTCTTAGAGGTATAGTGGAGACTGGGCATGTAGCCTGGTTCCTCTGGGTTGTGACATATACTGTGTGACAATTTTTTAAAATAAAAAATAAATAAATAAATTTAAAAAATCTTGATTTCACATCATAGTGCACGTTAATGTGTATTATGTTTTTCAAATATATACTTTTAAAATCAATTAAGTCAACTTCTTGACCCCGAATCGCGGACCTAAGTCTACATTTATTTTAAATACTATTAATGAAGAAAACTGTTCATAAATATTTCTTAGAACAACGGTGTATATTTTTCGATTAGAATTATGCTAAACAAGATTGCTATAAAACATCTATTAGCTCCTCCATTAAAAACATGCATTTATAAAAGCTTTTGAAATATATTTTAAACTAAATATTTCTACTAAGATGAGAAAGAAAAAATAAACGAAAGATATTACATAGGTATATATTTCTAAGCTAAAATGATAAACAATGGTATGAGCAAGGCTCTGATACGGCATGATATAACCAAATATCCACTTTCATGATGCAACTCCATCCCCACTACTTTTCATCAACACTAATTATCTTTGCAAATATACATCCAAAAAATACTACTTTTATATATAACCATTCATATACAAGCGTTTTTTTCATATCTTAATCTTCACCGATGAATAAAAACTGAAAACTCATGCAAGTAACCAATTCAAAAAGACAAAAAGAACATTTGTAAAATGGACAAGGTTATTGTTAGCAATTGATTAATAACTACAGCATTGAATAAAACATCGTTAATTTTAGTTCAAAATTTTAATAACTTTTTTTTGTTAATAAATCCATACCTTGTCTGCAATGATGTGTCTTTGTCCTTTGACTCGGATATTTCTGAAATAACACTGTTATAATCAGCAGGATCACAAATGACAGTCACTCGGTCATGATTTTTAGCTGCAGCTCGGAGCAATGTGACTCCACCTAAAATAAATTTTAATGAGCGAGTGTGAAAGTAATAAACAATGGATTAACTATTAATTAGTGTTAAGATAAAAAAAACTATAATAGGTCAGCTTCATATTTTTGACAGCAGCCGTAACAGTGATAATATCTAATTGCAAAAAAATTATGAAGAACTATTATATAATTTAATACTACACAACTTAGATTAAAAAAAAAAAAATATATATATATATATATATATATATATATACAAGTTAAATTTATTAATATAAATGGTTTTTCCTTTATATTAATATTCCTTGTGAACTAAAGTATATTTAATGTAACTTTGAGTATATTTAATGAACTAAAGTATATGTAATTTTCTATCTATACCAAAGGAAACTAGGAAAGAAAGGTATTGCACAAAAGCCAAATTTCCAATATCCAGTTTTCAACTGATCTTTATGTTACAGAGAACTCAGACCCTATAACACGTATTGATCTGTTTCTGTTTCTCTTTGGCATACTGATTTTTTTGCTGCTTTCTTTTTCTTGTCAGGTTTCAGAACATATCTGTGGAACATAATGGCCTCCCTGCGTATTATAGAATGTAAGAATGTATTCTATAATCTGTCACACCAAAATTGTTCATGGATTTCGCTAAAAATTTCCCAAAATCTTCTCCTTTAAGTCTTTAAACTGTTCAAATATAGAACAATTCTGAGAAAAAAAGTTATGCCCAAAAGTAATTTTGTTGGTGCTTGGATCAAAAAGTATAAATTTTATAAAAATAAATATAGGTAATCACTTGAAAAATAGTAGAACTCACTACAAAATAAAAACAAAAAATTTAAATCAGGTAAGTATTAGCAAAGATTGAGTGCATTGGATTTTTTACACACGTTTTCTGCAATTTTTTTAGTTACTTTTTTGTCTAATAAATCAAAAATTGAACACCTTTCAGATGCTCATCTGAAAGATGATCAAACTGTCTGCACAGCTACCTTAAACAAAACAACTAATCTGACTAATATTTACAAGATACAACTAACATATACAAAGCAGAAAGGAATCTTATGAATGAACAAAACACGAGATTTTATTATTCTCTGAATAAATTTCAATTCATATGATCCATGTTTACTATAAACCATATACTGATTTTTCTGCTTTTCTTACTGGCATTTATGAATTTATTAAATAGCATAGCTGATAGTGTGCCTGTGATAAGTCTAGCTCAAAAATCGCATGAATGTGAAATTGCGCATTTTAGGTATTTATACTTCAGGTATTACAGCAACTTTTTCATCAAAATCCGCTAACCGGAAGTGACACTTTATCCCATTGATGAAACACATTTTTACGATTTACTCGAAAACGGCTCCAACGATTTTGGTCAAAGTCGATATATCAGTGTAAAATTAAGCAGTTTTTAATATTATTTAGGTTTTATTCTCACTGATGTTCTTTAACAGGGCTTAAATGGCTAATTTTCAATATTAGTTTCCTCTAAAGTACCTTTATTTTTTTTATTTGAAACAATTAACCATTTCACATTGATCTGTAATATAAAAAATAGTTAAATATAAAATATGAAAGAATTTGAGAATTAAATAAAGGAGAAATGTGAGATCATAACAGAGAATATTTGTAATGAAGGAACCAAAGGGATACGAGAGCGCGCCCGAGCTAGTTCAAAGATTAGAACAGACTTCCATAGTAACATGAGCTTAATACAATACGGACTCCGACAATATAATGTACATATACATATGCAGTTTTCCTAAATGTTTTCATTGGCAATATTTAATTGTATAGATTACAGCAATATAAATATTAAAATTTGTATATACAAGGGTACTTAAACAAATAAAAATATCCACAATGAAATATGAATCAATATAGTGTTTCTAATTTTTACTTTCACTTTCCCTTGTCTGAAAATACTTATTTTTGATAAGAAGAGGGAGGTACGTGAAATTTCTGTGATGTGCACCAGATTTTTAATATTCGCCATAAGGAATGGGTTACATCATTACAGCAAAGTGCTAGGTTCTATGGGTGGGGTAGCCGAATGGGCTAACGCGTTGTGCACAGCACCACCGTTGCCCAGCAACCTGATATATGACAATTGTGTTATAAAAATAGTCATGAGTTTGCATCCCAGTGCCAAGGCGTCTTTTAAATCCCCTCCCACACTCCCTGGCCCGGGAAAATCCCGTATAGCCTTAATGGCGAGGAAGGGGAGGACCCAAAAAAAAAAAAAAAAGGTGTTGGGTTCTACTTCAAAAACCTCTATTTTCTATTCTGCAGAAAGTCATAAGGCCTAAGCTTTTTATAAACTGAAAGTCCTCCTCTATGTCTGAATCTATAAAGAGCAGTATAGATGTGCTTCTAGGTGTTATAAGTATTTTTGTACAGATACACAGAAGTAATTATTCCTATCTTATTTCTTTTTAATATTTCATGTATTCACTAAAAACACTACTGTTGTTCCTTTATCAATAGTTAACAAAATGGTCAGAAAATCTGCTTCGGTCATGAATTTTTTAAATGCATTTGTAATTGAAAAAGTACTTTCACTATTAAAACAAAAAAAACTCTTGAATTTAACATTAGAAAACGGAAAAAAAAATATTTGACTAAATAAGCTCTAATTATAATTGGTAGAAAAAAATAGAACTTAAGAAATAGTAAAGAAACAATGTACTCAATCCAATTAGTGGAAATTATAAAGCAGAGGTAATTACAATAACTGATAGTATTAAAATATATGTTGTCAGTTATTCCAAAAGTCAATAAATACATTTTTGATGGAGTTTAACTTTTAAGAACCTTGTTGTGAATTTTGATCTTATTTATCAATAAAAACACAGTAAGAGTACCAAAATGATAAAAATCTTTTTCTACATCAAATATAGTTATAAAAAGTAAACAATGTTCACATTTCACAAATTTTGATGGTGAGATAGCAGCAATCCTCAAAGCCCTAAGAACACTATCAGGAAGGCAAGTTAAGAGTGCTGTTCTCTTTGTCTACTCGCAAGCAACAATCCTCGCTATTAATGATGTGAATAAATGTCTGTCGAGTGCTATCTTGGAGTGCAAATCCCTTCTCTTAGATCTAATACTCCGAGGCACCGATGTGGTCCTACCGTGGATTCCGAGCCATTGTGGTATTCCAGGAAATGAGGCAGCCGATAGTCTTGCCAGGAGAGGAGCAGAATTGCCTCAAACAATCCATCCAAAATCTTATGATTCAATTCGACGAATGGTAGTGAAGGAGGAAACAAAAAATATGCACAAAGACAAAGTGGAAGCGAGACGTTATGGATGTTTGGTGGAAAACCCGATCCCAGCAGACCTACCAAGAAGAGATACAGTAGCTTGCTTCCACTGGTCACGACTATCTACAAAGTCATCTCCACAAGATAGGCGTGGCTGAGAATTCTAGGTGTAAATTATGTGAACAAGCGAAAATGGATGCAGACCACCTAGACAAATGTCCTGCTTTGACGGACATAAGAAATAAAACATACGTGAATGATTATATAAAAAAATCAAACTTATACTGGGCAGTAATGACCAATGACTATGGCATTAGAAGAGATGATTAATCAAAGTTGTTAGTGACTTAAGGTTATGTCACTTAATGATTTTTTGCAATAAACTGACGATATATACAAATAAAAGAGAGAGTTGATAAGTTATCATTGATAAAGATTACTTAACATTTTAACTGTTATATAACAATCAATAGGCTTTATACATTCAAAACAAAATGTTATGTAAGGTAATGGATAAAAGTATTGATATTGATAAAAAAAACTACTCAAAAATTCTACACATTTATTTTTATACTTTTAAATATATATATATAAAGTGTTTCAACATATATTTTAAATTGGTCTGCTCTGAAATGCAATTATCAGAATATGTATTGGAACTGGCACTGCTACTGGTGGGGGGAATTTGTCCAGCAAGTGGGCCACATGGTCCTTCTTCAGGACCCCTGATAGCTACCTTGAGGTTGCCTATCTCACCAGAGTGGAAATGTCAAGATTCATTTTCCAGGACTTATTAGAAATAATTATTAACTGACCCAGGTTAGTATTAAACATTCAGAACTGGGCACTCTGGATCCCATACCAAAACCTGCTCGGCTATCACATCACCATCGTAACATGCATAAATTTTGTACGAAACAATCAATAATCATATGAAAGTTTTATCATTTAATATATATATTTTTTAAACCTACTAAATTCTTTCAACCCTAACATTTTAACTGTACTATTTTTAAAATATAGCTTATATGTAAAAAAGTCCACGGGTGGCGGCCATAAACAGACTAAATAGTAGCAAAACTATTTTATTATATAGTTATAAGAAACTATTTTTAACTAATAATAAATAATAAACTAACTAAATATATGCAAACTAGTTAATACTAACTAAATAAATGAAAACTAGTTAATACTAACTAAATTAACTAACTAAATAATAAACTTTTTTAATAAAATAGTTTTGCCATTATTTAGTATATTTATGACCGCCACCCAGGACCATCTCCTTCCTTAATAATACAACAGTCAACTATTAAGTATTCAATAAAAAAGTCCACAATAAAATTTCTATAACAAGTGTTTTCGATTTCTAATTAAAGGGATTCATTCAACTGTAATTTGTATTTATAGGCACATAAAATATTACTCAATACAAAAATAAAAATAATTTGTTTAATTTGCTTCAATATGAAGCTTTTATGAGTGACTTGAATATAGCTAATAGATTATAAGGGAAAGTAATAAATAAATAAATAAAATGGTAAATATTCATACAAACTACTTCAACGAATCATGAATGTATCCAAATAAAATTGTTGATAAAATGTATACATAAATATACAGAAATTCATACCTATATCAATATTTTCAACTGCTTCAGGAATTGTAACATCCACTTTAGCAACAGTCTTCGTGAAAGGATATAAGTTACAAACAACTAATGAAATCATATCAAATTTCAATATTTGCATATCAGCACGGTCACTTTCTATGTTTCTAGCTAAAATTCCTAAAAAAAGAAAACTTGTATTACATATTTAAAGTTAATCACAAGTATTTTGGGTTAACTTCGTAGAAACCATCAAGAATGAAAAAACAAATTAGAGATCAAAATGAGATCAGAGATCTTTATTAAAATTTTTAAAAATATAACCACTGTCTGTTTTAACTAATATTTAGAAACTATATATTAGACACCAACTAAACTAAATGGATCAGACACCTAGTAAATTAGTATCTAAAATTGGATATGACTATAATTAAAGTTATAAAAAGAACAAACTATGTATATATCTGAGTTTGCATTTTCTACTTCAATGAAAATCTCCACAATAGATAGCCACAGTTCTGACAGATTTGCCTGCTGTAAAAGGAAGTCTGAAAGGTGTATTTGCTAAAAAATGACTACATTCACGTTTTTACTTAAATGCCCATTGAGAGGGTTTAATCTGTCTCCCAGAGACAAAAATTTGACCATCTGTGTCTATTAGAAAGGGTAAATTGCTTAGGAGGCTGAATTCTTATATTTTCAGACTGACGCATTTAAAATTAAAAAAAAAAAAATGTAAGAAGAGGTTCCATTAAAAGAGGTTTCACTGTAAGACCATTGTACTATTCATAAACTTTTACAACTAAAGTTATAAAATAAAAATTTGGTTAAGTGTGTCCTGAGAATATTTAATACTGGGTAGAACATTAGGTGAGACATTTGTGGAAAAAGACAATTATGAAGATCAAAACGGAGGTAGTTAGTGTGGCTGCTGACATGAGGATATTCAAGGGTTGGAACTAACTCAAGAATTGTGGCTATAGAACGAGACATCTGAAGGAGGCTCTTAAATGAGGGTTACCTTAAGAAACTACAGTGCCAATGCTATATCACATATCATCATTAACATACCTCCATGAATTGCAGGATGTAGGGTTTTAACTCTCCCACCTAGAATTTCCGGGGCTGAAGTTAAATCAGATACTTCTGAAACCACAATTCCGGCCGATTTCAAAACTGAACTAGTACCTCCTGACGCCACTATTTTAAACCCTAAGTGTGAGAGAGAGGAAGCAAATTCTATCAACCCAGTTTTGTCAGAGGCACTCAGTAAAGCTGTGAAAAAAAAAAAAAAGAATAATATATATATAAACATAAACATAAATGCAGACATAAAATATAATAGGTATATATCAAACATTTTGCTCGATTGTAAGTTAGTCGAATTATAAATTGTTGTCTAACAGAAATTAAAGGAAAAAACAAATGATATAACATCCTTGTTTATAAACATGGAATAAATTTAGGATAATTTAAAAATATCAATCCAGAGATTCAATTTTTATATGGACAGTTTAGATCTAAAATTTAAAAATTGATAATCAATGAAACTCTTGCCAAAGCACAAGAATATAACCAGTTACCTAAATTTGTGGTTAAGCATTTATTTATTAACTTTGAAGGATTAGGAATTAAAGAATTTAACCATAAACAGAATATATGTTTTTATGTATTCAACTAAATATCAAATAAAACTCACTAGAATATTTTTTTTTTTTCAAGGTTGGACATATCAATTTAAATTTCTATCGGAATAACAATTCATGAACTTTTAGTTAGTATTCTTGGAAGTAATACATAAAATTTGAAGATGTAAAAGAAGAATTTAAGAGAAATTAAAATGAGGGTATCATTATTAAATAAAAATTATTCTATTGAAATAATATTTTTTCAAACATATTGACTTATATAAACATTCAGATTCTAATCTTAAAACAAAGTTTAATGAACAGCAAAAAAAAATTGCCAGAATATTTGTAAAAGTAAGTAAAATAGCAACAGATTATTAGAATACTTAGAAAAGTAAGTTAAATAGCAACCTACATATACTTGATGTCGATAAGAAACATAGGTAAGGAACAAAATAAAAAATTTTTTCAAGCAAGAAGAACCACTGATATATAAACATTTGTACTTGAAATAGATTAATAATTGTGCATCATTATTTTGAATTGTTCATTAATGTCCTAATTTTTCCTTGGAGATTTTTTAAATTGAAAAATAAAAAACTATATATTGTTTTTAGCTAAAAATAAATTGGCATCCTCCTCCTTTAATGTTAGGCGGCATTGAACAATTACAACTTCTGATTTGGGCTTGATTCTTTATTAGATTGACATTTATTATTATATAAAAAAATAAGAAAACAAAAAGGTTTTGAGGAAGAAAAAAAATGTGATTGTTACTATTACAACCATAAAAAATAGAAGTTATTACAGTACATAGTCATTTAATTATAGGAGCTAAACCCTTCCCATGTTCCATGCATATTTATTTCATGAAAGTTATGCATTATAAATTGACACAACTTCCCTAGTTATGTCAGGGCACCCACATTCAAGTGACAGAAAAAGACAACAGATCTACTTTGCAGTCCTTGCTCTTCTCTACAACTGCCAACAATCTTTCTCTATTGCTTGATTCCGGAATAGATATACATTGTGGAATAGTTTTATATAAATCAGTTAGCAAGACAGTAAGTAGACAAAAATATTATGTTGAGTCTTGTGATAAAAAATTAATAAAGCGCCATATTAAAGATTTTATTAGTCCTAGAAAAATTGTATTCCAACTCTTGATTTGGCTCTTGAAATAATAAATCACTGATTCTTGATCAAAGATCATGCTAAAACATGCTTGAGACAGAAGCTTAACCATTAGGTCTTTATCCTAATAGGTTAAAGATGTAGGTAGGTTCTGCAGTGGGGTCCATCCAGAAATAATCTTTTGTTCATAAATGGAAAATAAACTGTCTTCAAAACCTAAACTTTCGCCTGTATAAATTATCATCAATAACAATCATCATTAAACAATCAGCAACATACATAAAAAAAAATCAAACTAATAAATAATACAAATAGATTATGATGTAGTTCATAACTGAAAGTAATCAATCATTTCATTTCATCACTTTAGCATTAAGGAATCAGGTTTCACACTTTTCAGTTTTTACCACAAATTCCTCAATGTAAAAATTTTAGTACGAAGCAATAATAAACCAAGAAATTATTTAAAAATCAAAAACACAATTCTTACCAATAAGTGGTTCCATTTTTCAAAGGTTTTCAAAGTTAACTCTAAACAAGTATTTTTAAACTGAGAAATGAAGGCACACGGTCTTATCTGAAAAAGAAAAGGTTATCAAATGATAAAAGAATATAATGTAATGATGAATGACATAATAAATACTGTTACCTAATAAAAATTAACGTAAGGTTTTTCGTAGCTTAAAAATATAAAAAAAAAAAAAATCAAAAAAAAGAGGCGAGCGAATAACAGTACTGATAAAAATCCTTAAATCACAAGCCATAATTAAAATGGAAAACTCTGTAAATAATTACAGTAAAAATACTAAGTTGCTTAATTGTCTAGCTACACATGAATTTCAAGGAAAAATAAATTATGGTAGAAAAGTTTCCCAGCAACAAGATGATAAAGTAGAGAATGTGTTCTAAACAACTGAAACTATTAAGGAATAGGCCAAGAAACTGTGAAGTAAAGTAGTTCTACTGATGTATAATAATACATCAAACAATAGTCTGATCATACATGCTACTGCGTAACTTAAATATTAAATTACTATGTTTTTTTAAGTTATGATCAGTATTAGTTTTAAATGAAATTTAGAAAAAATGTAACTTTTTCAAAGATCCTAGCTTTGTCTATGGAACATAACATTTCCAGAGGAAATATTTCTATAATTGATAAACAATTCAGACATAATAAAAGTTCAAAGTGCATCCTCTACTACCAATTTCTAGACTTAAGAATTACTACAAATAATTACCAAAATAAATTTTAGTGTGTGTAACATAAGCTTTATACATTTAGATAAAATTAAAGAAAATACAAGTGTATATAATTTTAGAATTATAATCTCATAAAAAAATGTATATAGATTAGTTTCTTCAAACATGAATAATATTACTTTTAAGTAAATAAAGAAAACTACTATGCAATGAAATTTACATAAATCAAAAATAGCTAAGCCACTAATTGCATCATAATTACAGATACATACAAACCAAAGGCAATTACCAGCTGTGTATAAATAATTGGACTATTGGTCGGCAAATTGGTCACAAAGCCAGGGACAGGATAATCAACTTGTTGCTTCTAATTCCAATAGCAAAGAGGTTCCACCGTAATATTTATTAATGCATTAAGAAAACTATTATATATTTAATCAAATCATACAATTACATACACCTTTTGCATGTAAAGAAAATGTAGTGAAAATAAGTTGCTGCAGAAATATAGCTAGCTACATATGTACATCCAACCACATCGTACAAATAATTAACGTTACCATTATTCAATAAATAAAATCATGGTAACTTTAAAACATAATTTATCGAATATGTTTTACAAATAATGATAATAAGTGCCTAGTGCAAATAAAAGGAATAAGGCATAAAGGGTCCGAAAGTTCGATGCTGTTACCACCAACTGGTCGCTCTCGCGGTATCTTCATCCACCATTAAAATCTAAATCTACAAGAGCAGCGATAACGCAACCCACCTCATATTTCAGTCTCCCCTATGGATGTTTATCAACCGTCTCGGCGCTGATTAATTTTTGAAGGAGTCGCCAAGTTCTACACTCGGCGCTAATTTCATCAAAGAAATCCAACAGTCAATGAATCCAGCCAGAGATATCGCGTTGGTAGGGCAAAAGGGGGGGGGGTCACCGCGGTGCGCCCAGGCCAGAGGGACGCAGTTAATTAGGTGCAATCATTAAAGCCAATTAGCAGAGAATCATATTCAAATAAAAGTTGACTTAGGAAGTGTATTGTCAGAAAGTTAGGATGAATATATTAACAATTAGAAAAAACATTTCAATTTACAACAGATAAATAATAACGCGCATTTTCATCAAAATTTTACATTATATTCTAACATTAATATTAATTACTTTTTCGCATTCTAAGTGTTGATTATAAGAGGTATTTTTTCTAGAACTAAACTAGATAGTGATACAACATACACATTACACAATTTACACTTACTATCAGGACTTGATGGCTGAGCATATTGGTGCAAGCGTTCCTGAGTACTCGGTTGGAAATTTCTTGTTATGATCTCACTTGGACCACTTAACACATGGGTCTCCAATCTTTTTGGCCCAAGGAGCATATTGAAACTTCGACTAAATTCCAAGGGTCGCATTGGGACCTCCACCCAAGTCCCGCGGACCATGTCTCTCTTGTGATAAAAAAAAAAAATCTTGTTCAATAAATGACACTTCAGCTTTGAAATAAGCTTTCTGAGGAAAAAACAACAGCAACAATGCAATAAATATTTTAATAAACCTCGTGCGTGAGCAATTTACTAACTTTTATATTTTTAAAATATTACCAAGCAATCAAAGAAACCTTCGCGGGCCGGAAAGAAGGTGCTTGCAGGTCGTAGTTTGGAGACCCCTGACTAAGCCTTTATCACTATTAACATTTTTGTATTTATTGCCATTAATAATAAAAAAACAATCGTCATTTCTAAAACTATTATAATGTGCAAGTTTTTAATGGGTAACATAACAGAATGCTGGTTTGAGATTTGAGATATATATCTTCTTAACCATTCATCCTTCTCTCACTATTAAAACGTATATTATAAGATTATCGATATTATTAGTATATTATATGATCTTCGAATTGGGATAGAGTAGGGGTGCGCCCGGTAAAAACTCGCCCCGAGCGCCTAAAACCCACGCGGCGGTCCTGAACCCAGCACCGACGGACAACGACTTATCATGCGCTTAGAAACGACCAACTGGATTCCATTGGAAGGTGAAAAAACTCATGAAACAGAAAAAAATATATCAGGGAATATTTATTTACTGAAATGTTGAATTTTACACAACTTACCACATCCAAATCACTCCACCCACTGTAGTAGTTAAATATTTTGATGTACATATGTATCAACTTAGGGGTGGTGACGAGGGTCTATCACTACTTCGGCCTGAGCGACAGATTCATACCTGGCTTTTTTTTAATGCGTAACCCCCAAAATTTGTTTTTCACAGTCAAAAGAAAAACAGGATAGTACTTCAGTTCCATCAATTTATTAAATTGATATATTTAAAAACAACTTAAAGGAAAAGAAAATCGCATGTCTAGGGACGACTTTTTGAACAAAGTATCTGCAATATAGATCTTCACGACTCATTGTTTATAAACGTGATATTACTGCTGAGAAAAAAACAGACTAGGGTAGAAGGATAAAATTGTTTATAATCAGGAAAGAGGTTGGATGGTTGTTGTGGATAGAGAAGGCTAACTTCTGAAGTTATGCGGTGGACTTCTTTCCTAGGGTGTCCATCCCTCCCAAGGTAGATGGCCCAATCTCTCTACCATCAAACCCAAAGAATCTACCATCTCTCCCCCTCCTCTCACTCCTAAGATATTTTATTGCACATATTTTCTTAAAAACAGAGGAAGCGAAGGTAGAATTAGAAAAATCGTAGATCATACACGATTAAACTTGCTGCAGTCTGTTTTATGTTTTCTCCTTGTCCCTTAGTATGCAATGTTTCATTCCGAAAATTCATAACACTGTCAAAATGTGCTCCCCTTGCGCCATGAAACACCCTTCTGGGCACCCCTTCAAAATGTTTCACGATCTGCTATTCGAAATTGGGGCATACAAACTGGTTCCTTGATTATAAAACCAAAATTCTATTTTATTACTTTTTATAGATTTATTCATTTATTATAGAGGGTTGTTTCTATTTAGTTTCTTATGCTGGAATACTAAGATTCATTTTACGGAGTTACTATGAAATTAATTATTCTTCCTTTTCAACATTTTCCATCCTAGTAAAAACAGCCTTGTCAACTCTGGGTTAACTCATTCTTCATGTAACTGTCAGTTTATTAGAAGCTTCAGCTTATTTTGAAAAAATAAAATCTTTGGTGGTAACTAGGCTAATCTTATATCAAAACTAATAATGCACCTGCGAGATAGCGTATCGTATCTGGAAGAACCTTCAAGAAACCAAACAACACTTTATTTTGGCTATAGTTAGAATTAAAAACACAGTACTTCAGTATTTGTTCTATCTATTGTAAACACTCTGAATGTGTCTGAAATAAAAATATGATGGCCCAATACAATTACTTCCAATAGGAGTATTTTTAATATTGTGTAATTTATTTTCGTGACTTGGGATTTTTAGTTTAATAATTTTTTTAACTTTATATATACCTCTATATAAATAAAACCATTCCGTGTTTAACTAATCAAGCCATAGTCGATAATTGATGGTCATAGATATATTTGGCTGTATGTAAAGTATTTTCCCAACGGTTTGAGTTTGAATGAACATTGAAAAACTTTAAATTCACTCAATCTCTTCTGTAATGTCTCTCCTGAAGGTGCTTATACAGAGTTCCATTAGTTTTACCGGCAATGATACGCAATTCATCGAACTTAATGCCAATAAAATTTTTAATTAAATTTAATAGTATCTTATCATGAAAAATAAGATAAAGATCCGTGTTTGGTATCGATCTTGACATAATTTGAACTTGTTATGATAATGGGTTTTGATAAGCCTATTTCTCCAACCTGTTTCAATTTGTAATTGAGGGATATTGCTATATAAACGCTCCGCAATATTTATCAAACTTTTCATTATTGAAAGAAATATATTTTAGAAACTTTAAGTTCTTTTGTTTCCACCCATATTTTTCTAATTTGTCATTAACAATCAGTTGATTACAACATAAGCTGTAAAGTGTTATTAGGTGTAATATCAAGGTTAATCACGTAATAGTTCTGTCTTATTCTTTTGTACTTACCTAGTGATTAGTAAGTAAACTATTCAGGTTTTCATAACTGTTTTATACCGAACTTAATCGATTCTTAAATTAATTCTCAGGTGTTAAGAACAGCAATAAATAACTTCTCTTCTTTATCTAGCAGAAAAATGAAAGGAAGGGCATTGCATTTTGTTTTTAAAATTGGAGACAGACAAAGGAATGCTTTGTTTTTTAGGGACATCCTAGGTATGAAAGTCCTTCGCCATGAAGAATTTAAGGAAGGTTGTGCTGCAGCATGTAATGGGTATGATTTTTTTAAAAAATAACACATAGGCTCAACTTCATATAGATCTAAGAACGGGTTTATAAAAGATATTTTAATTTCTTTATCCCCCATCTATGTATATGATCAGATTTATAACAATTAATTAAAAAAATGTTTCGGTTATCGATTTGCATTTCAAGCCCAATACTAGTTGTCAAAGTAAAAAGACCAATGGAGTTATGTTATCTACTAAAGGAGAACCTGTTTGGCATTGATATTACCATCACAGCGTACACATTTTTGATTTATTTATAGTGGAAATTATAAAATATTGTACTTAATTTTATTTTTTAAAACCCTACAATATATTTTCTGGACTGGTTACTATTTCAATTTTAATTACTTACAGTTTAAATGAACTTATCAGGAATTAGAGCAGTTTCCTGTTTTTCTGTAAATTTCATTGGTAGGAAGTTTCATAGATTATCTTAACTTTAGTTTTATGTGACATCATCCTTGTATCATACAACCATGTTGATTCCTTACTGTTATATGTATTTTTTGTAACTATCGACTAATTTTACAGACCATACAACAATCGATGGAGTAAAACTATGGTTGGTTATGGACCAGAAGATAATCATTTTGTTTTGGAACTTACTTGGAATACTGAAGTATCTCATTATGAGAGAGGTAATGATTTCTTAGGTATCACAATCAAATCTCAAGAATCAATAGCTAGAGCCAAAGCATTACAATGGCCTATTAAAAAGGAAGGAGATAACCATGTTCTTGAATCGCCTGATGGATATACCTTCTACATCATTGATGAACCAGAGCCTACAGAAAGAGGTAGAGATAGGCTTTGTTACTAAAAGTAATAAAGTATTTTAGGTTTAGTATTTATATCTATTTTCATTAATTTATTTTGCCGATAAATTAGTTTATTTCCTATTATCTTGTTGGTTATATATAAATTCATATTTTAAAGTTAGTCAGGACATGCCAAAATGGCCTTCTTAAGTTGGTAAGTGGTGTGTGAATTGAGTTGTAGAGGTTGTGTGACTATTGATTTTTTTAAAAGAACTGGATAAGGCATTGTGTGCTGTAGAAACTATCAGATTCCATATTTTAATTGGAAATATTTGGTGCCAAATTCAAACAGTACTCGTCCAACTAGATTAAACATTATAAATGCGTAGAAGCATTAGGAAAACCTTGAAGGGCCTTACGATAAAAGGAGCATGCTGCTACTCAACCTGGATTGACCAGATCTTAAGAAGCTCAGTGTAAGCTAAACTGTCACTTATTCAATCTTGGGATGACTGAGAGTTCTTTGTTTAAATTCTGCCATGAAGAGAATGAAACAGCCATTCATATTATTTGTTGGTGTGACAGATTTGCCAGGCTTAGGCTCGAGCTATTTGCTGAGGACCGATTGGTAGATCATGAAGGTTCTGAACTTATTATTAATCCTATGAGTCCATTAAGATTTGTAGAACCAACCAAACTAACATTTTAATATAAAACGACACCATAGAACTTCAAGGCTACAGTGTATTAGGCCACCCAAAAAAAAAAAAAAATCCAATTTCTCAATCTCCTTTCCTCAGCACCTGGGGGCAAAAGATATCACTTTATACAGGCTGTCTTCCTTATTTCCATACTGTTTATTGTTTTGGGTTCTTAATTTTTCTCTTTTAATTAAATATTTTGTTAGGATTAATAAGTTATTATTTAATTTACATAATCACATAAAGAGGAAGCAGGAAAAATATGTAATTTGGTTTTAATTATAGGATATCTTTGATTAATTCAACCGGAACAAAAGATATTTCATTATTTTTTATTACTAAGTTATATATACTTCCAGTAATGATATATTATCTTTAAGAATTTAAATATATGTTCTATATCATTTATATTTATTTTCACTTAAACTAATTAACTTTTATATATTTCAGATCCAGTGTTAAAATTATCACTTGCATCAACAAATATTGAAAGCTCTGTTTTATACTGGAATCAACTTTTGGGAACAAAAATGATGCATAAAGATGACACTAGGGCACTTTTCACTTATGATGAAACCCAAGCATTTATCGAATTTAAAAAGATTGGTGAGTTAATATTTTTATTCTTAAAATTTGTTGTTTTTTCTGTGATTTTTTTTTTCTTGCGTTGTTCCTTTATGCATGAGTTTATTTGTAAGGTGTAAATACTCAATTACACAAACCAGAACTATCAAAAGAGTATTGAAGGATTTGAGAAGAACATTCTTCTCACGATAGGTTCATGCATAAATAAGAAGGACCTCTAAAGAAACTGCTTACAGAAATCTTCTGTTAATATCTAATGGTTAAAAGGTCAGTAGATTAAGATTGGCAAAGCATGTAGATCAGTGTAATCCATCAGGAAGCCTCAACAAAACAATGAATGCCTCAATAGTAGGCAAGAGGCTATGTAAAAGCCCAAAAAACTGATGGATAGGTTGAATCCAATATAGATGCTGCATAGCTGCTTACCAGATAACTAAAAAGCAATATAGACAGTGATGGAAATGGCTGGTTAAGGTGGAAAATGATTTACTAGATCTGGAAAGCCAACTAAAAAAAAAAGGTCTGCAGATTTGTGTATCATATGCATGTAATGTACTGTTTATATTTTAAGCAACAAAAGTAGAATAGAAGTAAAAGAAAATATTTTAAATATATATATATATATATATATATATATATATATATATATATATATATATATATATATATATACAGTGTGTGTGTGTGTGTGTACTAGTGAAGTACATACAGGATTAATACAGAGGGATGACAATACAATGCTAACAATTTATAAGTAAAAAAATTATTAAATTTTTTCGCTATTTTAATTCTTTTTATGATCACCACCCTGGACCATCTCTTTCCTCGAAATTAATGTATGTTTTAACAAAATTTAAGTACAAAATTAGAAAAAGTAGCGAAAGCAAAAATTAAATCAACTTAACAAAGACATAAGAAATTACCTATGCTGCCCCTCCCTAGTCATTAAGTCCAAGTCAACATCTAATTAATTTAAGTAAATCTGTCTTGAATTCAGAAAACAAATTTTCTCTTATCTGACTATTTTCCATTGTTGATAATAATACTTTTAACTCCATTTTAATATGGGATAAAGAAGTTTGATGGTATGAAGGAAACAGAACGCTTTTCGATGCTTTTTTAGTAAGGTAATTGTCTCTTTCATTACCCATTTAAGAGGGACTAATTTTCTTATATTTTTCCAAGTTAATAAGTTGTTTCTAATTAGGTCAGTCAAGGAATCATGAATGGTTTAAAGTATTGACAGAATTCAGTAAAAATGTGTTGTCTGTATTTACAGTGCCATCTAATTATATGGATTTAAATTTCAGTAAAACTTTGAGTTTAAAAAATAAATAATGTATAAAATATTTAAGACAGATAGATCTGCCTTGAACTGAAATTTCCTTCCTGTGTGCAATCCAAGATTTTCTTAGATTTTCCTCCAGGGACTCACATTCATGCTCACTTTAGACAAAGCTATATAGCCAAAACAAAGAGAAAGTTGTAGAAATGAGTAGCAAACTTTGATTTGATTTAGCCACAAGAATCATTTCATTTTGAAAGAAGATTATGATCGTAGATAGATAACATCAAGTGATTAAATGTCAAGAACTATTAACATTCATTTGCCTACTGGTCCAAATTATAGATAGAAATTGAAAAATATATGCAAAAAAATATATATTTACATAAATATGACTGTTGAAGTGCAATCAAACATTCATAACAATGAAAAAATTTAAGGTTGATAAAAAAAGAAAATTCTAAAGTTTCTGATGTGTTTTGTTTTGTTTTTTCAGATGAACCAATTAATCATGCTACAGCCTATGGTCGTGTTGCTTTTGCAGTGCCGATGATTGAACTAAAAGATATCGAGTCAAAATGTGCAGATAACAAATGCAAAATTCTCACTCCAATGATAACTCTCGACACACCAGGAAAAGCATCAGTTACTGTTGTGATTCTGGCAGATCCTGTAAGAATTATAGTTTTAACCATTCATTAATTTTTAGATATATTATCGCATAATGTTTATGTTTATGTTTATATGTATCCACGGTACAACACTTGCATAGAAGCGATCTGTACAGAGTGAAGATTGGGAACCGCCTCTCGGAATCATTTTCTGGAACCAAAGGGCTGAAGCAGGGGTGTTGTATGTCTCCAAGCATTTTCAAGGTACTTGGATGAGGTAGTGAAGCAATGGATGAGTCAAAGTCGAGACGACGAGCTCCTTACCCTGTTCTTCGCAGACAATCAAGTAGTGATGGCCCGTAAGAAAGTTTTCCTGGAGATGGTAGTTGTACAATTAAAGAAAGCTTATGAAGAGGCAGGTCTCAGGATAAACTTCCAAAAGACTGAGTATATAGCACTGGGAGATGAGGAAGACGACCTACGCATAGGTGAACAGGTATGTAGAAGAGTAAAGGCATTTAAATACCTCGGGTCCTATCTGGACAATGTTGGAACGTCCGAAGTGGATGTTCGAAACAAGGTCAAGATGGCAAGAAAAGCTACTAGAATGCTGCATCCTGTTCTCTGGAACGACACTATTTCAAACACGAACAAGTGTCGTATCTTCACGGCTATTGTCGAGTCCATATTAACCTACGGATGTGAGGCATGGTCGATGAAATCTGGCTTGTATACCAAAATTCGGACTGTAGAAATGGATTTTTGGAGAAGGTATCTACAGTTAACGAGGCTGGACAGAGTCCGAAATGAAGGGGTGAGATAGAGAATAGGTGTAGAGGAGACCGTCTCTGAGAGGATCGGGAAATGGTGATTGAGGTGGTATGGGCACTGCAGGAGAATGTCGGAAGAACATTGGCTGAACAGAGTCCTGGACTGGCAGCCACCCGGAAAGCGTAGGCGAGGACGACCGAGAACCACGTGGATGGAAGGAGTCCGAGAAGAGATGGCCGGCCGAGGTCTACAGGAGGGTGACTGGGAGGATAGAGATGTGTGGAGCTCTGCTCTGACCTGAAGAGGTATCCCACATTGGAAAACCGGAAAAAAAAAAAGTTTATGTAAATAATTACTTAGTTTGGAATCAGAAGGTGAATTATGAATCTGTTTGCTATGATGATTTGTGCACCAGTATGTTCATCTGGTTCTTAATCTATTGCTACAATCACATTGGTGTGCTCTCTATTCCAGTGACAATGCAATGACTGAGTGCTCCAATGAGCTTAGTCCTACTCGCCATTTAGTTTTGCCGTTCTTTGATGTCTAAAACCTAAAACCCTAATAACAAATCAGCGATTCTGAGCCAAAACCTTTTTACTCCTACATGAATACTAAGCTTCGCTACATTTGGTAGGTAGGAAGCAAAAATAACTGCCTCCAAAATATCACTATCTTATTACACACCCACTTGCACACACAAACACACACGCACGCCCACGCATGCATGTTCCAACACACACACACACACAAACACATGTACCCTCACGCATGCGCATGCATGCACCAACACTACAAAATCATAAATGTGCATATTGTACTTTGCAGTCTCATTGATGTTAATGGCTCAAGGAATTTCATACCATTAAAAGAAAACAAACAATCATATACATACTATGAATACATTGCTGCCCCAAATGGTGTACTAAATGTTTTAGTGTTACCTTTTATTTGTTCTCCTCTCATGTATCATGTACTACTTCTTTACATATATACTTAGCTATTAATATTTTATTTTAAAGTGATCTTAATTAGTTATATTTTTTTAGGATGGGCATGAAATTTGTTTCGTAGATGATGAAAACTTCAGACTTTTGTCCAAAGTTGACCCTGAAGCAGATTCACATTTAAATTTTCATATGGCAAAATATCAGAAGTATTTAGAAAAGGAAAAGCAAGAAGTGAAACAATAAGTGCAATAAAAGGAAAAGCTGTGCTAATAAAATTTATTGTATTGATGAGATGCTTGTTATATTTGAAATTTAAAATTATATAAATTGCAGTATTTTATGTACTAAATATTTTTATTAAATTGTTTTTCATTTATTGATAAAAAAACTCATTTATTTACTTTCTACAAATTATATGTTAAAAATTATCTTATCTTAGCCATTTGACCATTTTCAAAATTTTATCTCTATTGCATCAGGGTGACATTTCCTGAAAATTTTGATTTCTGTTAATTTTTGGGTATGACAGCGAATATAAAAGATTCCAAATGCCCTTGAATTGGGTATGCTCAAAGAGATACAATATTATATAGGAATAATAATTATAAAAGATTGTATATACTTCAACTATGAATAAAAACTTTCTAAACTAAACACAAAGAATAATATTTTCAATTCTATGGTTACTAAATGAAAATATTAGAATTATCTGCATATAAAATAATAAAAATAGATAAACATAAATCTAACACATAATGAAGACAGTGATTATCCGAGAAATGTCTTTCTCTGATTTATTTATGATTCCTTTGTTTAACTTTTTGATGATGGGTCAATTTAGCTCTTCTTTATCTCGTATTATATTATTTTTATTTTATTTCTTCAATAAGTTTCTCTTTGTACTCATCTCTGTCTCTCTTTTCATAGATTATTAGTGTTTAAAGGAGTTTTTCAATAATTTGAATTTTGACCTTATAAGAGAACATCTCAGCATGGTACTGAACTATTATTTTGTTTAATATGCTGTGAGTTGTATTGAAATATAAACAATTGGGTTCAACTATATTCTAAGCTCTGTTAGTTCATGGATTCGCTCCATCATGCTTCAGGATCTATTTTCCAATGTAAAAATAAATGAAAATGGCATTCTTCGAAATCTTCCTTTGAATATTCTATGTATTTATGAACATTCAAGAACTTGCCTTCATAAGCAATAATTCTATACTGACATCAGAAGAAATATTGACATAGAACCAGTTGGAACCTAGTTTGAATGCAGTAAGTGTGGTCATGCAAAATTGATAAGATTGCATGGTGTCTATAAATGAAAAGGTTGTTTTGAAAAAAACAACAGCTATAATGTAAAAGATCTGCTATGCCTGTTGCTGACCAAATCAAGACTGGCCACTGAGACATTTCCTTAACATATTGATTAAACAAAGATAAAAAGATAAACCATTAAGTGAAGGCGAACTATACTGGATAAGTAGGCCTGGTTTCAAAAATATTTGCTGGAGGATTTCATCATCCTTTAAAGTAATTTGTGTTCAGGTCTTTCTGAATCACCAGATTGAACAAGATGTATTGAGAAAAGTGAATTTAATTATATCAACAGGCAACATCCATGATTAACATGAGAAAAGATGCTCGAGAGTCTTGTCATGGTAAATCCAAGTATATCACAAACCCACAGGGGCTAAATAATATTTAAAACCTGTTAAATGGGACATGGCTGAATAGAGTATGTGGTGCCATCTTTCATTTGTTTAGTAGTGCTACTTAGCCTGTAAGCTCTCAGTTCTGGTCCTGAAGCTCAGTGACTTTATATATACATATATATATATATATATATGTAGCACAAAGATTACTCGTTATACTGAAAAAATTCTAATCTCCCAAAAGCTCATAATTTGTTTTGTTTTTTTACTCATCCAAAAAGTTTTAAGGAGAAGAATTAATATAAACAAGGTTGGATAATCAAATAACATTTTTCATTAATGGTTAAAATTAGGAAAACGTAAAAAAGTATTTACAAAATTAAAGACAAAATGTATTGGTGATGGGTGTACTCATTAACAACAGAAAAAAAAGCAGTCCTCTTCATCATTAAATAAACACAGCATGGTCTTATTGAGTATTCAAAGGATGGAACATAAATTCTTATTTTTTATTGACAATTCTTATAAACAATTTGACAAAGCAATCCCTGGCCCAGATGAAATAGCTACTTTCTTCATTTTTTAAGCAACTTTGTGGTGCTTAATAGCCCAAAGGAAGATCTTAAAATTATAAATGAACTGTGCATAGACTGTAAGTAATCCACCTTACTCTTTCTTTCTATCACCGAGTGCTTCAAAAAAACATTTCAGTAAAAAGTAAGTTATTAAACTACAGTCAAAGTATTTAAGATTAGTAATGTATGTTATATGCCAAAAGGCATGCGTAAAATTGCTTAATAAATCAATTTTTTTTTTTACTTCATTTCTTCACCCACTCCTGTCATAAGCAATGGAAATTAGCAGCTCTGCTGTCGGTAAGAATATAGGCCGTCCCCACACTATAGAACAAAGACTAACCACTTCTCAAAAAACATGGGGGAAAACATCGCAGCAAGTGTAATTGTATATGATCTAGGATTTATCTAATTCTACCTTGGCTGCTCTGTTTTTAAGAAAATATCTGGGTAGCAATAAAACATATTGGGAGGAAGGAAGAGTAAGTTCTTGCGCCATCGACCATGGGGAGGATGGGCACCCCTGTTTCCTTGTAACAATATTTATATCCTTATATAATTTTTTTTTCGTATGGTTTATTTTTTCAAACATGTTAATAAAGCAATTGAATATATTACATATTTTTATTTTTATGTAAAGGTTTGAGACGGTGAGATGAACTCTAAATTATCCTATGCTTCAAATTTTACCTGGGAAATGTGATAAAATATTCAATTAAACATAGAAGGGTGCACATAAATGAATCATAAAATCCTAGGATACGTTGCAACATATGATTATCTTTAAACATAAACTAAAATTTCAATAATAAGGATATAGGGCTTAGTAAAATACTTGTGTACCTACTTCTAGCTCCTATCATAGCCGTCTGACCGACTTTTTCTGTTTTCTTAATAGATTTTAGTTTACATATTTTATTCAATAATGTAAATTAATTGTTATAAATTTTAATTTTGTACCACGAAATATTGGAGAGGAAGGGAGGGGCGAAACGATTTTCTCGCCTGCTCTCCATTTTTATTGAGGGGAGCGATCAGACCGAACGCGGGACACAGATCTTGACTTATTAACAAACAAATAGTAAAAAGAGGCATTTATGATTTAAGCCAATCACAGCAAATTTGTAATCCCTTAATTTTAATTTGTCTTATATTATTTATTTAGACGTGGTGAGGTGAGTATCACTTTGTATTAAACATTGCCATTTATGCATCATCCTTAACTCGATCTCCCAGATGTTTTCATTGCATCGTTTATTTTTTTTTACAACGTTTTAATTATGACTGAACCTTTAAAACCAAAGAAGTATTCTTGTAGACTTTTACATTATCTTATTAAAATTGGAGATCGCCCCAAGAATGTAACATTTTTCCAGGAGGTTCTTGGCATGAAGGTACTTAATAATATTAAAAATAAAAGTCCATGCTGTCTCCAACATAAATTATAAAAGACGTTTTGTTAATAAGGTACAGAGACATGAAGAGTTCCAAGAAGAACTTCCCCCATCAAAAGACAGGTATGTCAAATTGATAGTCTTAAAATTATAAAGAAGGGACTTACGGAAACGTTAGGAACTACTTTCAGAGAACCGGTGCTGTCTGACATTTAATAAATATAACTTCAGAAACAATCAATATCATTCAATTACAGCTTCTAATAAAACGATTTAACTTTATTGTAATGAAATATGTGGGATAAAATACAATTACAGAGAAGTATGAAGTATTCATTTCATTAGTGACTCTTCTTGTATGTAGAATTACTTCAACAAATTCATGTAAAAAACACTAAAAAAATGCATTGTGTTTCACTTCAATAATTACTTTCAATAAGATAAGTTCTTCCTTACTATTTTTCGTTTATTGATTTTCACATAATTATATGTAGTGAATTCATATACTATGAGTGGAACATATAGGTTATTTTTGTTATGGTTACTGGCCATACATACTAGGTCATATTTCTACAGAAAAAAAAAATGAATCCTTACTTCATTGATATTACATCTCAAAAACTTAAACCCTTTCTAAACATGCTAAACAGATCACAATTAACAGTAAAAAATCATTTAAAATAATATATTTTTAATTTTATTTATTTTTTGTTGAAATGTTTATCAGTCTCATATTCATGTATTGGATGCTCACCATCATACAAGATCGCCAAAAGCGTGGAAACTTGACCGCATTACTGGTATTAAAGCCAGCTGAGATTGATCGAGAGCACTTTAGCCACATACACTCATGTCTTGAGTGGATAATCTGGCCATTGCCATAACTGCAATATATACAATCTACAAAAGGTCGCGAAGCCACTGCCGTTTCAACGTTCTTGGAGGATTATAGGATCCTCCTTATAGGCGGTGCTTGATAGGGAATATGCAAGAGGATTTGGATAATACGTAAGGTTCTGGGGGAATTTGGAGGATTTTCCTGGGATAAGTTCTAGGACAAATGGGATGTTGAGGTCATGATGTAGAGTTTTATTGGTTACATAGAAAGGAGAATTGACTATGATAAAACGTTCGAAGGTAATTAAATTACCAACAGAACAAAAAAAAAAAAAATATCATCGGAATCGAACTAGTATTAGCGATGATACAGCATATTCTATTTTCCATTTTACTTTATTACTTTCCTACCTATATTAGGTAAGTATTACAATAGGGTAAATTGCCACATTACTTTAAAAAAAAAATGTTTCATCAATCTGTTCTCCACTGTTATCCCCTGACAATAATGTTCTATAATTCCCTTTTCTTTTTTTTTCTTGAAATCATCAATTACTTATTCTTCTTCATTGTCTGAACTGAATGAATGGTGTTGTGGTTTTATTCAACCCCATGGGTGAAATAATTTCCAAAATTTAATATTAAATTTTTAGTTTTGAATTAAATATATGAAAATATTGCGTAATTTGTTTTTAACTGCATTAATTCAATGTATTGACTACTCAACTATAGCGATTGTCCTAAAACTAAGGTAAAGTTGTTAAATATCAATTAATTAAAATTACCTCATCACGGTCAACAGGAAATATTTCACAAATGGACTTAAGCCACTTTCAAAATAAACGGCTCATATATGAGTAATTTTGAATGGTTTTATTATTTTGACACATATTCATCCGCATGTCGAAAATTCGTCATTTTTAATCACCAACAGCCAAATGACGAGAATTGGTCATTTTTATTTCTTGAGATTTCATCTAATTTATTTCTTAAGCTGTTTTATAATAAGTAATATTTGAATTTAATTTCATTCAAAATTTCTTTAATACAGTTGTTATATTGATAGGCTAGAATTAATTATTTTAAAACGTATATATTATTTTTTATTTCTAACAAGCGGCGAGTACCCCAGAAGGTCGGCTGATCCCCTGAGTAATATAGATTTATAGTCATATTACATAGATTTAGTTTTAAATATGCAGTATTTTATATTTATTAAAAATAGCGTTCACCCAGTGGTCGAAGTTCGACCATAATCATTAATGAAAGTTTGAGGAAAACATAAATGAATTGGAATGTTTTCACTTTTATTTTTCCCTACTGTTATATACTTGTATATACAAGAAGAAGAAGAAATCTCCTGAGAAACAGAGCAGAAAAAGGTACTGAACTGTTTAGTCTATGCTTTTTTATGTAATGATTATAATAACTAAGTCGTGTTGATATCAACGTATCATAGATTTATATTAGGTTACATTTAAGTTCATTGGAATGAATATTTCTACGCTTGAATATAATTTATAGGCCACCTATTGTCCATTGGAGCAAAACGTTCTTTGGTTACGGACCCGAGAATGAATATTTCACTGTGGAATTGGTATGGAACTCGGAAATAAGTTCTTATGAAACAGGAAATGGTTGTGAAGGAATCACTATTGTATCCAGGGAATCTATTGCCAGAGCTCATGCATTAAAATGGCCTGTAAAAATGAAGAATGACGTTCATTTTGTTGAATCTCCCGATGGCTATAAATTTTTTCTAGTAGATGATCCTCAACCGGACGATAAAGGTTAGTCTTGATGAATATTATTAATCGTCATAATACTATAAAGTTGATGTATTAACATATATGAAGAGAAGAATAGTTGGGGTGCTCAGTCAAAAAAGGAAGGCAAAAAATAAATTATAATATTTACTTTTTACATATGCCGACGTTTCGACCTGAAGTTCAGGCCTTCATCAGGGCTAAGAAAATAACCAGATAACAAGGTATGAGAAGCATAAGTAATGATGGTAAAAAAGATAATAAAAAATGAGAAAATAAAATAAAAAAAATTATAAGAAAAATAAAATAGATAGATATAAAGTAAAATGAAATTGTTAGAATAATGACTAAGAACTAAGAGATAAATAATAAAAACTGTTACATAGTGTGGAATGATGAAGTAGGCATAATCAAAAAGGGGTGACAAAAGTGTTACATTGGGAATCTTAGAATAAAATGTAAAAACATAAAAAAGAAATATAAAGTTATATAAGAAATGAAAATAAAATAAATAGTAAAATTAAAAACATTGAGAATGGAGTAGTTAGATAGAAAAGTAGTATGGAGTAGTTTCTTTTACTTTATATCTATCTATTTTATTTTTCTTATAATTTTTTTTATTTTATTTTCTCATTTTTTATTATCTTTTTTACCATCATTACTTATGCTTCTCATACCTTGTTATCTGGTTATTTTCTTAGACCTGGTGAAGGCCTGAACTTCAGGTCGAAACGTCGGCATATGTAAAAAAGAAATATTATAATTTATTTTTTGCCTTCCTTTTTTGACTGAGCACCCCAACTATTCTACTCTTCATTATCCACGACAGTCAACCAATTACCAATTATTAACATATATATATATATATATATATATATATATATATATATATAAACCTTTCGAAAACACGTTAGTTATTAAACGTTGTTATCTGAATTATTCATTGTGAGTGTCAAATTTAGTTCTATAAATTCTTGAGTTAAGGTTTACTTCATTATTTTGTTAAAATTTATTGAACTAAATTGTTTGGGATGGAAAGACTCCACAGACCAAAGAGGATACCTATCTCACCAGAAAACAGTAATACCTCTCTAAAATGGAATCATTAGTTAAAAACGATTCAGGATTTTAAATAATCGGCATACGTAATCACAGGCTCCAAATAACTCCAATCATTATTAAATTTGTTGGTACTTTTGCTGAAGCAAGGTTACATTTTTCAACAATGAAAAAAACTAAGACGTGTGCTTTAGGCCTCACGATAGAAGTGAAAACATTAACAAGGCGAGATTAATAATATGAAATATAAATTATAAATAATCGCCCACTACAGAGAGTATGAAATAGTGAACGATTCTCTTGCTTACAGTACGCAGATCCGATTGTTAGTTTCTGAAATGTTTTAATCCATATCTTCAATAAAACTCGTTATCATTTGGTGTTCGACACCATTTTTCCCCTTTTCTCCTCTCTAATACGGCGTCGCTTTAAGATACAATTTTGAATAATATCGCATTACAGAGGATGAAATGGTGGAACGATTCAATCTGATTTACTCTCCACAAAAAAAGTGAAAACATGCATAAAGAAGTATTCACTTCACAAAGTGAAAGGTTTGTAACGGTTTTAAATTATTGAAACATTCGTTTGCCATAAGCTCATAACTTAGGGTTAGGATTGTGGAGCATAAAGGGAACAACATCTAAAATAGAAACTATGAAACGCCTCGCTAAAAACCCCGCAAAAATGTCTCTCCTATTGATAATTATAAATTCTTTCAAAATTTAGGGATTGGTGGTTAGTAGTAATAAGAAATGGCTAGTATTATTACTACTATCCACGAAAGGATGTTAATTATTTCAAATAAACCATATTTAAGTTCCTTTAAAATATTTCAGAAATGATGACGCCGACCGGAAATTAAAAGTTATTTAAATGATATGAGTTTAAAAATCGTTTTCAAGAAAATTGTAAACATGTATGAAATCGTTGAAATAAAGTACCACTTCCGGTTTGTCAATTTTGAAGAAAAAGTCGCTGTAACATCCCAAGCATATACCTTAAATATCTGTAATTGTTTTTGTAAATGATGTTTGACCTTAGAAGGAAGAACTGTTTTTGGCGGTAAGGAGAGTGGGATGGGTGAAGAGAAGAATTTTTCTACTTTTGCAGTGTGGGTAGGATGAGATTCCGGATGAGGAGTGAATGTATAGGAGACATGTTTGGCGAATTCCTCAGATTTGTCTTCATCAGACGCCACCCAGGAGTCATCCCCTCGACGGAGGGGATGGGAAACATGGTGGGACTTTTTTGGTGATATTCCAAATAGAATTGTCATGAGCGGAGAGAGAGGTAAGATAGGAGTTAAAGGATTGGGATCTGGCACTGCGGATATGGATTAGATCGAGGAGGTTTTGAGGTAATTTATTTTTCTTAAGGATTTTTGGAGAGAAAGCAGTTCAGACTGCTTGTTGAATCATGGTGGTAAAGGAATGTATGGTATTGTCAAGATCTTCTGCGGTTTTCAGGGTTATTCTGAAGTCAATTTGATCAGAAAGGATTTGATGAAAGATGTAGAGATGGTTGACCGTTGATATAATATGAGAAGGAGTTAGTCGGGGGTACGGTCAAATAAATACTAAATTAAAATATAGTAATTATTTTATTTTAATTTTGCCGACGTTTCGACCCACTTTGCAGGTCGTCTTCAGGGCTACAAAAGATACAAAACATGTTGAGAATGATAAAAGGTTTCCAGTTGACTGGACCTCTGATGAAAGATGTTGAAGAGGGTTTAGGAATAGGAGCTAGTGATACTTGGAGTATTAAAGGACTGTAGTCTCAGGAAAGAAGTACATCAAGACGGAAAAGGAAATGATTGAGGGGACCTAAACTACTGTGGATGAAAAAATCAAGGATATCAGGATTGCTGTTAGAATCAGTGGGCCAGTGGGTAGGTGAGGTAGGAGGCAGGAGGCTGAAACGTTGGGAATTGAGTGCAGACAGCAATGCTTTGCCACGAGAGTTTGTGGTTCTTGAACCCCACTGTTGACGCTTGGAGTTTAAGTCTGTACCAAGGATGAAATGATGTCCTAAGGAATTGAGAAGGGAACTAAATTGGGCAATGAAGAAGGGTTGATTAGGAGGGCAATGCGTTGATGCAACGGTAGTAGGAAAAGAGAAGGTTTTGATTATGATAGCAGTGGATTGTAGGAAATCGTGGGTTGGTGTTGGGAGTAGGTGATGAGAGAGAGATTAGTGTACAAGGACAGCAATACTGGCATGTGCCCTGCCGTCAGTACGATGTGTTAGTACTGTGAGATTTTTAAACTCTGTTTTTTGGTCAGTCGAGTTTCCGTATTGAGGGCTACATAAACGTTCTTGTCTATTAGTTCGTCACTGTGATGGTTATGATGGTTTCTGGTTATGATGATAATGGTTTCTAATACCATTCGCATTCCAAAGGAGAATGTGTAAGGGTTTGGTGGGATTCATTTAAGGATTTTTCAAAAGGAGGATGAGATGATGCACTAGATTTGTGAGGAGTGATATCAGTGGAGTAACAAGGGATTTGAATTCAGTGAGGAAAGATTTGTGGCATGTGATGGAGGAGGAATATGAGGAATTTAATGTTGATGAGGATTTTGTTCATTAGGAGGGACAGGATGTTGACGTTGAGATTGGAGTCGCTGTTGCGGCAGGGCCTCACATTTATCAGTCTGCTCTCTATCCCCAAGTAACTGATGGAAGGAAAATTTTTTAGCAGATCCTCTTCTGCGTTGGGAAGTTTCTTCTTGGTTTCGAGATGCACGACAATGATTTTTTTTTTCTATATTTTTAACGAAAATCGGAGGAGGTCGAGGGTCTGTAGGAATGGGTGCAGATTCCAGGGGGCAGGGGTAAAAAAAGAAGATTCTTCAGTTATCTCCTGAGAAGTACCAGGCTGAGGTTGAAATATCTTCTGATGTTACCAAAATAGCTGGAGTCGTATGTGGCGTCATTCCTTTCGCTCGACGACTTTTTTGTTTCTCAGGAGACGAGCGTGGTGTGGATGCGACAGATAAACACCGCTTAGGTGCATTTATAGACCACATGACCTGATGATAACATCTCATAAATGAAGGAAATTATTAAAGAAAGGAAAAAAAAAGATCGTCTGCTTGAACTTGACCTTCAATTAATCAACGACATGCTCGGCCGTAAGGCGTACATCCGAGCACGGCAGCAGCCCAACTGACCTGTTAATATCTAACTACGTGGCACTATGGCGAAATAAGGCACTTTAAATCCACCTTAACTTCTATTCACCGTTCACAATAAATAACAACTGTTCTTACAGTAGAATTAGTTCATGTTTTGGTCTAGGTGACTAACTGACGTCTTGACACTGTTTTAATTAAAACTAACAATATTTTTTTAAAACGAAAATGAATATTTTTAACTGATGAAGTACGGGTTGAATGTAACAAACAATCTAGTGCATGCGCAGAACATGAGTGATAATTTTTTACATAATCAACTTAATTATTGTAAAACGAGCAATACAATACTATAAATAACAATAAATTTATATATTAGATTTTTGCGTATGTGTGTATTTGAAAATATGTTATCTAAGCAATTGAATATATTACAAATTTTTATTTAAAGGTTTCAGACAGAGTTGAACTCTCCATTCTTTGATGTTTAAAGTTTTTCCGCAGGAAATGTGATAACATTTTCACGTAAAAATGGGGAAGGTACACAGGAATGAATCATAAAATTCTAGGATATGTTTCTACATATAATGATATTTGAATATAAACTAAATTTCTATGATAGGAATATAGAGCGTAAAATACATACCTACTTCTAGGCAATAGCTTAGCCATCTAATCCACTTCTCTTAATTGATTTTAGTTTACATATTTTATTAATTCATGCAGAATAATTGTTGGCTATTGCTATTGATCGCCTATGGAGCTACGTGTAGCCTGTCACTGCACCATGGAGATCATGGGTCGCAGCAACGTGAAGTTGGGTGACCTCCTCCAGGCTATCTGAGCTCCTGCAAGCAATATACGTCTGTAAGAAGACCACATCTCGTGGCCAAAGATCTTCATGGTCTGTAGCACCACTAGCGGATCCAGGATTTAATTTTTGGGCCTTCAGCCCGAAAACGATAATTAATTTGAAAAAAAAAAGAAAAGAAATTGCCTATATGAAATGGTGTTTAAGTGGTGCTTTAAGTCCTATTAAATGTAATTACACGAACAAGAATACTTTAAGATATAGTTACAAATATTGAGACAGGACCTAGACACGACTTAATAAATTCTTAAAAATTATCAAAATATATAATAAAATTTTTAAAAAAACTAAAGAGACTTCAGTGTAAATGACCCCAGTGGTCGAAACATTCAAATAAATAAAATAAGGACAGAGGTATCGTTCAAAGGACATTTACCATGCTGGTGACTACGCCTTTATTAGAGAATAAATAGAAATTTATATATTTGAAATAATAATGCAGTTTATTTTAACTTTTTTTACAGATCCCGTTGTTAATTTGAGCCTGAATTCATCACATATAGCCAGGAGTGCTAGTTACTGGCTACACATTTGTGGAACTGCCCTCATAAGCTGTAGATATAGTCAAGTAGTTTTAACTTACGGAGAAAACCAACCATTTATTGTGTTCTTATACATGAAAGGTAAGAGACCTATTTTAGTTGTTTTATAATATGGGTTCGATTCACGTTACGAGAAGATATTTTTGGAGGCGGGGTGGCTCCAAATAAAGAGATAATTTGATAAAATAATTACAGCACTATATTAAGGCACGTCCGGGTGGCTTGTTGTATGGGTGGTGGAGGGACTAAATCTGGCATTAATTCTCTGCTCTCACCCCCTCGCTCGGGAATACTCCAAAAAGCCTAAAGGCGAGGAAGGGATGGACATAAAACAAAATTCTAGAGTACGATCAAATTGAAATAAATAATTAAAAATGGTACCTTTTTATCCGCAATACATTAAACCAAAAACCTGCTAATCAGGGTTGCTCAGAAGGGTGTTACGTGGCGCAAGTTGCGACATCAAAATTTTTGAGGGAGTCATTTTTTTTAATTTTTTAGGGGTTAAATTTCGGCGGGGTTATGAATTTTAGTACAAAGCGGCATGGGGAAACATAGAACATGCCACAGAAAGTGTAATTGTTCTGATCTATGATTTTTCTAATTCTATCTTAGCTTCATCTGTTTTAAAGAAAAATGAGCAATACAATATTTTGGGGGAGGATGAAGGGATCTTCTGCAATCGACCTTGGGTGGGGGAGGGAGATGGGCCCACCTTTTTCTAATCAATGCCCATTGGAAAAAGTTCTTTGAGATATTCCATGGCATTGCTGGCAAGAATAACTTACATTTTTTTTTTCATATTTAATTCCTGTAAACTTGATTTATGATAAAGGTTCCTTGGTGGTAAATTAAGTTCAAAGGGAAAGAGGAGAAAGGCTAAAACCTACATCTGTCAGAAAAATGTATCTTATTTTGATTTAACAAACTATTCTTTCTGGATCATCAGCTTTCCTTTAATTAGAGAAGGGGATGGGATAAAGTGACCAGAACTCCAAAATTCAAATATAAAGCCTTAATTGTCCCACATTTACAAATTTTGGTGTTTTGATTTAAAAAAGTTTACTTTTATTGATTATTTACAATCTTACCAAGCCGATGTTGGGGTTTATAAGGCACTACAATATTTTGTTACGATTGGTTTTTACATTTAAAAATATTTAATTCATAAGCAGAGCTAGACATTTTTCGTGAAGGGGAAAATTAATTTTCCTTGTCTTTTATTCCACCTCCTTCCCCAATAACAGTCAACTGTCAGTTTCACCTGTGTTGTAGGCACTGTAGGGAAGGGCTTTTGGGATGAAGCCCCTATAAAAAGTTCATTTTTTTTTTTCATTGGCTTATATTTATTTCTGGGAATGTTCTGTGCTAAATAGTATGGTTGGAATCTGGCCTGGGCAGGTTAAAATTTATTTCATGGGGGACCCACGAAATGAATCTCTACCTTCCCACTCTGGTTAGAATAGGTTTGATTGAACCTTTAGAACAACCCTCTACTCCCTCATTTGCCATAAATGGCAAGGTAGGGGGTAACTGAAAAAAAATAAATAAATGCTTAAACAATCAAAATATGTACTCTTTCTAGATTATATTTCAGCTGCTAAATCTAAGCCCTGTCAAGAAAAATATAAAAAAGATATCCTTAAAAGCATTATTGTTCCATTAAATTCAGTGATTTGTATTTTCTGCACAAAAAGTCAACTTAACTGACACCATTATCATACTAACTTCTCATATGGGAATTGTAGCAGCTCATAATAAATTAATAAAAATATCTATTATAGATGATTCATTTATTTTTTCCAGAGCCATTGATACAGGGATCAGGAAAGGGTAGAATTGTACTTTCCATACCATTCAGGGATTTGCAAGGTATTGAGACTGCATCCAGAGATACTGACCATAAAATAATAGCTCCTTTGAAATGCGTTGAAATTTCTGAAAACCAAACAATAAATCTCCTTTTTCTAGAAGATGCAGTAAGTAATTATTCAAATCTATACTTGACAAACATACCTTATTCAGGATACTAGTTTCTTGCTGATATAAATACAGCAATAGTTTACTTAATTAAATTCTAACAGTAGAATGTAGAAATATGATGTCAGATTTAAGGATACATAGCAATCAGAAAACATTTTATTATTATTATTCTTTCCACCATGCTGTTCTTTTTGTCTTTACCATAGACATCCCACTAATCTTTTTGGCTGACTCCAGGAGTATTTGTTTCATCCCAAACCATGAAGTATTAATAAATTCCCAATGAAAAGCTCCTCTGAGAGCATATTTTTCCACAGCTTCCTATATTCAACTGCGATGTTGGGATCTTTTAGCTTGTAATTATTGATCTTGTTGACTGATTTAGAATTATTTATATCAATCCTTGGTGGTACGTTGCGGAGAACCATATCCATTTTCAGTATATAGTGATCACTGCTTATTTCTGGTCCTTTTTTTACCTTACCTTAGGAGTGATTTAGAAATTAAAAAGAATTTTATGTAAATTTTTTTTTTTAATGCTTTATATTATTTTTATGTACATTACATCATGCCATAATGATAAATTAAATGAAATAGTTTATATTACTTACTCTTCTCTATGCCCATGTTCCTCCTCGGTGAATATATGTATCTTATTTTGTGAGAACATGCTTTACTACCACCAAGCCAAACACAAATTTAGGGTTTTTCTCCATTCTCACTCAAGTACTTTTCTCCGGGGCCTGCCTAAAACTCCCAACCATCATTCAGCATCATTATTTACTTGACCTTTAAGGCCTTGTTGTTATGAGTAAGCCCTCACAATCAGCTATATCTTGTTGAACTGTGCTAAAGAATGTTTCTTTTTCTACAGCTATTACATTATTATTTGGAGCAATAAAAGGCTAATTTTTACTGGAAATCCCAAATCCAGAGAGATAAATCGTGGCAAATCCATTTGTGGCCTCATTAATGGCAAAGATTTTGAACCAATAATTTGGAATGATTTTCTTTTATTATTATCTAATTTATGTTGTTTGTTCATCAATTTGACCACTGATCTTTAAACTGTTACTAATTGAAGTAATATCAAATAAATTGAATTAATGTAATGTAAAAATGTTAACTAAATATTTATTATTTTAACGCTTAAATTAAACACCATAAATATTTGTTTGTAATCTTATGTGATCTCTTCCTATTAGGATTCTAATGAAATTTGTTTTCTTGATGAAGAAAGTTTTAACATTATATCACGTTATGATCCATTATCAGAAGCTTTTTTATACTATAGCATGAGAAAGTTTGAAATGGAATATAAAAGTAAATACATAAATTCAGCTTAAAATTTCAAGAAATCATGAAATCAAGCTGCAGTAGTGAAATACCTCAAAATATTTTAACAATCATATTGTGTAATATTAAAATTAATACTATGAAATATATAAAACCAATCAATCGAATGTTGATCATGTGATATGTTTGTAATGTAATAAATAAAAAAGTTTCATTTATGGTGCAGTTAATGATTACACGTCTGCATATAAAGTTTAATATTTCGCTGGGTCAAATGAACAGCATTGATTGAACAAATTGAAGAACAAGCTTTTTTTTTTTTGTAATAACTAAAACTTAGATGATTTGTTAAAAATAATAATCACATTCAATTATTCAAATTATTGAACAACAAATAATATTTACTATAGAAACCCCATTGAAAATTTAAGATATTTGGACATTTTTATAGTAACTAAAAAGGACAAAAATAATATATTAAATGATTGCAAAAAAAAAGAAGCAGGTTTTTATAAATTATACCTCTTTTTATAGGTCTCCTCCATTTGAGATCATGTAACCCAGTACAATTTTGATTTGGATGGTGTGGGACACCATCAGAGATATCTGATGTTCAATAAGTGTGAGCATACATATAAATGTGCTGCATCTATGTGTGATCACGAATTATATAGATTACAGTGTAGAGAGTCTGCCACTCCTGTTCTATGCATGTTTCCTAAGGTAGTTGTGGCCTGTTATCATGCGAAACTCTCAACAGCTTTCTTTCTCGGTAGGTCTAGAAGTACCAGTTCTACTTCATTAAGCAATTTTCTTCATTACTTCTCAGCTGTACTCTTCTTTACGGATTCCAGTAGTACAGCCTTATCATTTCTTTTCTGGTTCTATGGAATGATATCCGATTTTTTGGCTGGTTCAATGTCGAACCTTCTTAGGCAAGTTTATCTGCCATTTCATTGCCATGGAGACCACAGTGAATTGGAATCCATTGAAAGAATAGCTCTCTTCCTTGAAGAAGTCCCTCAATAATCTTCTGGCGCTTCAGAATATACTGAGAAAATGATTTACTGGACTGTGATAAAGCAAGAATGGACCTGTTTCCTTTACTTAGCCAATTCCTCTGCATGTAGGCTTCAGCTTAACCTGTTATCAAGTTTTACCACGAGGTAAGTGGTTGCTTCAGTCCTTGGCAGAAAAAGTAGTTATACAATACTTAATTGTCACCATGATCATCCAAACTTTAAGTTTAAAAATACAGCCAAAATTTAAATCAAATAAAGAATAAAATTTATAAAATAATAGATAAAAGAAAAATAATAAAAACTGTTCACACTTCAGAAATTTTCAATTCAATTTTAAGATTTTTATAACCTGAGTTCTACGAAAATTCCTCACTCATATAATGTCCTAAAAATTGTGAAGTTAACACATGCGACCAATCTGCCCGAATACTGAACCAAAGAAAATAATAGAAATAAAATCTAGTATAAAACAAAACAAAAATTCCATAACACCATAAATAAACTTCTCAGAGATTACAGAGAAGTGAATCTGAGTAAAAACACTCTCTTCCACAAATATTGCCTTTGACTTCTAGCGAAAAACACCAATGAAAGGAACACAAGGCAGTAACAAGAACAGTGAGGTGTTAACATCCTGCACTTCCCAGTTTTACAACCACTTCCCGCTTCATTACTACAAAAGTGGGCTGAATGTAAACTATCAGAAATAGAAGATGACAGAGAGACATTGTTTAGAGTACATTTAGATTTAAAGGTATTATAAAATGTATACATTGCATGAAATGTTAAAGAAGTCTTGCACAAATTACCATACTTACTGCATAATAGTTATTGAGAAAATAATAAACTGTAGGCAAATTGTGATTTTACAGATAAAATTTCCGAACCTGCATTTTACTTACATCAATATAAATATATTGGAGCGGGGTAGCTCAGTGGTAGGGCACTAAGCTTCCGGTGCTCAAGGTCTCAGGTTCGAATCCCGGCTCATGGCAGAAAAATTCTTTATTCTGTTTCATTGGCCGTGGGGCGACCCTGGGGTATGAAGACCCTTCTAGGGCACACCCAGCCTCAATAAAGTGGGTACTCTTAATTAAATAATTGATTAAGGGTGAAAACCTGGTTGCATAGGCCTTGAAACAGTACTTTCCCTAAATAGTACTGAACTCAAGACCCTTCATGGATTGTAGTGGTACAGGTTTTTTTTTTTATAAATATATTCTTTATTTATTATAATGCATAAATTCTTTCATTTAAAAAAATTAAATTAAATACTTCACATTTACCAAAATGTGACAAAATAGAATTATTTATCATTTTTCATAATAAAAGCACTATTTTTTCTATTTACCGTTTTCCCGTGGTATTTATTAATCTAGTGGTAGAATTAGTTAATATTTAATTATTTAAGTAATGGAAATTTGTAAATTGGTAGAATTAATTTGGATTATTTATGTGGGTGTGTGTATTATTTAGTGATGAATAAAAATAACAACGGTAAAATATAAAGAATTATTGTGGCTTTCATTAATACTTCCTAACCTTAGGCTGACTGGCCACCGAAAGTGCAGCTGAGCTGCGAGTGGCAACAGGGGGTCGGCAACGTGTGTAGCGAAATTCAGCTCAGTCAGCAACTTGCCTTGCATCGGTATCTTCATATTCCGTATAACATTTTTAAAAAATATATAACATTTTAAAAAATTAACAAAGCTGATCATGTTGGAATAGAAAAGAAAAATCGAATATTTTCCCATAGACATTCGATTAAAAATTCTTCCACATCCATAGCATATTTTACACTGAACCAAAATAAAATAATTTGAGAGGTTGTGCAGTGAAAACAACCAGAAAAAAAGGATGACAATGAAGAACAAAGCCCCACAGTTGCGTGACAGTGGTGAGTAGGTGTGGTGGAGGAAACAGCATAGCGGAGTCAGTTTCCAAAACCGAACCCCGTTCGATCCAAAGCTGATCCCCTTGCTACGCCGTTCATCGGCGCTCAACTCAGCTCAGCTTCTGGTAGCTGGTCTGCCATTAAAAACATTTGGTTTGGTTTTGGAAGCTGACTCAGCTCCGCTGCACTTTCAGTGGCCAATCGGCCTTACTGCGGCCTCTTATGATAAAAAGGTTCCTCACTTATTTACCTATGGTATATGCCTAATTATTCAAAGACACTGAAATCAAATAAAACTGTCTACAAAAATATTTAAATAAAGATATATTATTTGAACATATAACATAAACAAATTTTGTAATAGCTTAAACAATCAACCTTTATTTATTTTTAAAAATTACAGACAACAATTTGGTAATAAAATAAAATAATGCTATCATAAAAATATGTTTACAATTTTCTTTTTTAATGATGAATACGCTTGTTGGAATATGTACAACGAATTCACTTCAAAAGTGGTCAAAGGATCTAAACTGGAGTCTGTTCAATAAAAACCTTCAAAACTTTGCTAATCATTCACATTGACAGTACATGAGTAACTGAATGCTGAATTATAATAAAATTATTCGGTGTATTTCAACAAATACATTACTTATGTGTACAATAAAGGATTTTCATCCTTTAAATCAGTAAAAGAAAAAAAAAAAAACTACATAATGTTTATGTATTACCATTAGATATTTCCATTTGTCATTAACCTTGTGGTTGCATGAAAAATCTCCCCTGAATTTTTTAAAACACGACATTTCAGCAATGGAATGTGATAGCAGTGGTACCACATCTTAGCAAAAATTAACTAAATAAAAAAATAGAACAATGTTATCTCAAAAATGTTCCTCATGCATTACAGGACAGTATATAACAAAACCAAGAAATGTAAATAAAGGTATAAGGTAACCCTTTAATATTTGAAGTTTTATATCAACAGATCATCCAAGGACCTTTAGAAGATAAGTTGAATAGTCAAATTTAAGATTAGCAAATATATAATATTTTTCTTAAAATAAATTCTGAATATTTACATTTCTTGGTTAACTGAGAACAACTGATTTTTATCAAGTACAGATTAAATAAAAATAAAGTAGGATATTTCATTTAGTCATCATCACTTCTGTTGTAACTATCATTATCTATTTCAATTCTTAATGGGGAGAATGAACTTCCCTTCCGAGGACATTTCGTATATCTGGTCCTTAACACTGATTCAGCACTAATGTCACGCTTTTTATAAGTCTTTTTCTTTTGAAGTTTATTCCTCAAGTCTCCTGTATTTGGTCGAGTTGCAATTTCATCACTGTCTGAACTTTTATGTGATTTGTAGTCCTCCCTAAAACAATATTGATATGATATTAAAAATAAAAATAATCATAAAAAAGAAAAGACAAATAATATGTCTAATTAACTGAAACATGTACCCCTGTTGAAAAGATAGATTACAAACTTTTCAAGATCGCAACGCTTTCCCTAAATATAGAATAGAATAGAAAAATAACTTTATTCTGGGACGAAGTCCCTTCAGAATAACAAAAAAGTACAGAAATTAAAATTTTATATCTGGCCAGATAAAAACAAACATAACAAATTAAGATAAAGATAGGTCATTAAAAAAAAGAAAAGACAAAAATATTGGTTATACATACTATATACAAAATAAAATCTATATAAAAAACTCTTGAAATCATACTAAGATACTTAAAACTATGTACAATGTTAAAATATAAATAAACCCTTTTAGAAAAAATAAAAAATACAGAAAAAATAAATGTATATTCTTCTTAACAGTAAAATCTGTTTCTGTTGAAAAAAAAAAAAAAAAAAGAAAGTCAAATCTATAATAAGTATTTAAGTTATGAGCTATATGTGAATATGGTCTTATAGATAATATGTAATTTTACATAAAAGGTTAGCTGGATATATATATATATATAATAAATATATTGTTATGATTTTATTATTAAATTTAACAAATAAAAAATGATTAAAATTTCTGTCCCTGTTTAAGGCTAGCCGAATGTTGTGATTTTAATATAAATGAATTAACTAAAAAAATATTGAACTACAATTTTTTATAATAAATTTTCAATGTTATTGTAAATTTAATGGACGCTGAGGATTTAACGGGTTCATGGACTTGAGAATGCTAAGGATCAAATAAACAGTATCGATACATCTAATATTCTATTTAATAAACAACACATTTATGAATGAAATAAAAAAAAAAAATATATTATCTAGTATTATAAAATAATATATAATATCATATTTATTAGGACAGTCTTCATGGTAGATCCAAACTTATACTGTTCCCTCAATTTAAGAAGGTCTTCATCTAGTCTATGCTTTTCTATTCACTGTATACATGTTACCACGAGACCTATTCAGAACTGAGAGACCTGAAGTGCAGGAGTGCCCCTGACAGGAGTGGGGGTTGCGTCCTTCTCTCCATTATTTCTAACTCTAACGTATATTTTTTAAATGTGATTACAAACTGAAAAATCTAAAACCTGACTGATTTCATTGTAACAGAGGACTCAATATTCTTAATAAGAAGTTATTTACAAGTTAAAATGAATTCAGATTTCTGAAAATTCTAAAAATGCACTAGAAGACATTGTGATTATAAACTTAGTTATTTCTGTAAGTATTTGAGGAAAAAATTATCGTAAACATATATATAGAAGGATGAAGTGCTGCTTCCATATATATGAATGAACAGCGTATAAAATGAAATAATTATGTAAAATAAAAAATATTGGTAATAGTGTTATTGCTATGAACTATTGTTAAATATACGAAGGGACAGGAGAAAAAAAACCAAATCACTTTTCACTTTCACCACGTCACATATATAATATAATGTTCTTAAAATAGTCAATGTAATAGAAATTGTTCCATTCCATGAAAGAAGTTTAAAATTGTAAAAAAACAAACAAACATAGAGATCTGGAATTATATTTGCAATAAGACAACAGTAAATTTCTGGTTGCATGTTGTAATCTTAAGGTATAAAACAATTAAATAAATGTAAGGAAAGGATAATATTATAGTTGATGAAAGATTGTTGTAATGTAGTAAAGAATACTTCAACTGTGCCTTCAAGAAACTGAGTGAGGTATTAAGCAGGGGAACGATTCCACTATTAATTAAAGTATCAGGAACTGAAATTAATTAATTAGTAACTGTTCACAAAAATATCATTAAAAAACTTACCATTCTTCTTCAGAGTGATCACCAGAATTATCAATTTCAATTCTAAGAGAAACATCTTCTTTGTCACCATCTTTCCATTTAGTGTTACTATCACCTTCTTCATAATCATCATAATCTCTCTTACGTTTACGACCAAGACGATCTCTTAAATCAGGTTCGGGTCTATCCCGTTCTCTCCTAAAAATATAAAATAAATGCTTAAAAATGGAGAAGGTTCTAGTATACCCAGGTACTATGAAGAAGAGAAAGAAGTTTCAGGAATAATCCTCTCAGAAACTGAAAGTGCCATCAAAAGTTTGATTAATAGAAACAGTTTTCAACAAAATGTTAATTTGATGGGACAAAATGCTAGAACACTGAACTAATAATATCAAAATCAAATGAATGAAACCTGAGGACCACTACTTTTCAATAAAGGATCATCTTAAGTTATATCATAAATAAAGGGAAATCTACAGAAAATCTTATGATATTTTGATCTTTCTTTTTATTAATTTTTTTTTTTTGTTAATCTCCCTACTTGGGGGCTTGGCCATTTCTGACATACAGGGTTCTCAGCAGCTATGAGGTAGTGGTAACACATTCATTATTGTTATTTATTTTATACATGCTTTAGGATACAGGTGGGCAACCTGTGGGCTCAGTTAGTTTTGCATAGTTTTTATCAACCTAGCGCTAGAATTAATCAGTATTAAATTATTTGGGTTATGAATATAAGAAAATTCAGAGAGTTAAATTAAATGTATGTGTGTAATTTTTATTTACATATAAATAAAAATAGCAACAATAAAATATAAAAATTGTTGCAGCCTCAATTATCAATGCCTAACTTTACTGCAACTTCTAATCACAAAAAGGTTTCCCGCCTATGCTTTAGGGTATGTATTTATTTCTGGGAAAAATAAAAATAGGGTTTCGCAATAGGACAGCCCAGAGCACTGCTGTGCACTTTCCATTGTGTGACTGTGCCTTAATATCCTCTTTTCAGTCCAGTGGCTCTCAGAAACCATCACTTAGTAGGAGCGTATACCAGAGTCTACATAAAGCATAGAGGGTCTTCTCTACTGTTTCCATAATTTTTGACAAATGTACAGGGCACTATTTTTAATGATATTGTTAAAATATAAAGTTTTATTTAATAATGTATGTAAATTGACTAAAAAGTTATTTTATTTTTATAAAGGGGATTTTATTATGTCACTTAGTATTACCATAACTTATTTATATTAAAATAATATAATGGGAAAACGTTTCTTATTAGGTGGATACTTCAACGATACAAACCTAAAGCCATAACAGGTGAAGAAAAAGCCACCGAATTCACAAAACATGTTACTCAGATATTTGGAACAAATATATCAATGACAATACACTTACTATTGGGAATGAAGACAATTTGACAACACCACTACCCTTATCACTATCTCCTCCAGCATTTCACCCAAAAGAAATTCACAAGGAAATCAACAGACTTCCAAACAAAAAAGCTCCTGGCTATGATCTGATCTCTCCCTTCATTCTTCGCCACCAACCCCGAAAAGCCGTTATATTTCTTAATCACATATATAATGCTATTTTACGCACAACTCCTTTCCCTCTCCTTTGGAAACTTTCTACTATAAAAATGATTTCAAAACCTTCTAAACCCACAAGTAATCCTTTATCTTATCATCCTATTGCACTCCTACCTATAATGGGAAAAATATTCGAGAAACTATTTTTTCTAAGAATAAAGCCAGGAAGTTATACCGAACCATCAGTTTGGCTTTCGTTCATACCACTCAACCGTACAACAATGCCATTGTATAATGGACGCTATCTCAATTGCCTTCGAGAAAAAAGAATACTGTTCAGCGATATTCCTAGACATTGAGAAATCGTTTGATAGCATCTGGCACGAAGATCTGTTGTGGAAAATAAAACCGCACATTCTTTTTACTAACTTTCTTCTCCTTTAATCTTTCTTCCTTGACAGGTTCTTCTCTATTTCTGTAGATTCCTCTATTTCTTCCTTTTTTCGCGGGCGTACCACAAGGCAGTGGTTTAAGTCATCTTCTCTTTTCTCTCTAAACATCTGGTATCCCCGAGCACCCTAGCACCACCCTCTATAGTTTCGCTGACGACACTGCATTTATTTCATCCCACAAAAATCCTACTATTGCTTCAGTTGCCCTCCAAAATCATCTCCACGACCTAAAAAAATGGTTCCACAAATGGAGAATCAAAGTTAATGGCGGCAAGTCGAGTCATGTTATCTTCTCCCTGAGAAAGATTTTATGTTCTGTAACAATAGATAACAAGCCAGTTAGCTCAAAAACTTATGTACGATATCTCAGACTATACTTCAACAAAAAACCCACCTGGAATATACATACCAAATTAAAAAAACAAGAACTGACCAGACGATACAAACAACTGTCACATCTTTTGGACTACAGATCTCCTCTCAACTTACAAAATAAGCGACTAATCTACACCACCATACTTTAACCTATTTGGACATAAGAAGCAGAACATTGGGGTTCCGAAAAACACCTTCACACAAACAAAATACAAACTGCACAGTCCAAAATTCTTTGAAAAATCGTAAATGCACCCTGGTATATTTCATATTACACCATACACAGTGACATGAACATTCCAACTGTAAAAACCTACATGCATAACAAATACACCACATTCCACACTTCAACTATTAATCACCCTGATCCACTTGTCCTCTCTCTTTCTTCCTCACTGTTACCAGGGGAACCTGAAAGAAGACTAAAAAGGTAGAGGCCTTGAGATCTGCTCATAATATGAACAAATTTTCAAGAAATAGCAGACAAAACGATCGACAGCGCAAAAATGTGTCCAAAAACGCAGTTACTAATATAATACAAAATAAAAAAATAAGAGATAATTACATGACTTGATAATTTCATTTTTAAAATAATAGTATTATATGAACCAAAATAGACCCATTATAAAAAAATGTTTTGGTAGGAATAAAAAAAGTGATGACAATATTACCTAATATTAGATCTTAATTTATTCCTCTCAAGAATTTTTTTTTCCTCGATATCAGCTTGCATCTTTCGAATTGTTGGTGGATTATCTCTTGGATCACTTTCAGTTTTAAGTTCATTCCGAAGTAATCTTTCAGTTAATGTTTTCTGTTTTTTCACATCTTTATTTCTTATAAGGTCCCTAGCATCAATTACAGGAGGTACAGCAGCAGTTGCTAAAAGGTATTATAAGATATTAATATAAAAAAAATATTTTATTAATGACCTTAAAAACATTTTTAAAACATAATTAAGTTATAACACTATTTTAAGTACGTGAAATGCATTTATTTAACATCATAATTGGAGGAACAAGTGGATAAAAGTGTAAATGCACAGAAACACAATATTCTCTTATTAATTAAATATTTAGCTAAGATTGAGTTGATAAAGATGTCAAGTGAGAATAAATTAGATTAAAACTATAAAATTATAAATAAAAGAGATTAAAACTAAATTTCTTTGTATTGTTCCAATAAAATTATCAAATATTGGTACTAGCATTGATTATTACAAGCAAATATTTTGTAACAATAAACTAAAGACCCAATAAACAGGTTTTAATCAGAAAAGATAGTTAAAATTCACAATCCACTCTAAAATCATTGTGTAGCCTGTTGCACTTAGCCTACAATCTGGCTGATTATGCCATCTTTGGATCCTGATTTCATGACTATTAATGATTGTTAGGTTTAACTCGTTATATAGGTTATTGTCAATGTCATTAAGATTTTTGATCTGTTGGCATTTAGCCCATTAAAAAGTACTGTCTTTAAATAATAACTTATTCATCTTTATATGATCTTTAATTATTAGAGAACAAGCAAAAGTTCAAAACAAAAAAGAATACAGAAATAGTGAAAGAAACGAAATCTTTTGCCATCAATTGGTGGGGAAAGGAGGCTGAGAAAATGGATGATTTCTACGACACAGTGCCTCATTCAGTTCTTTATAAAATTGATGGTTGTAACATCCGAGGTTGGCACCAACTCTAAATGTGTTATTTCAATTTTTAAGACTTTTTGTTTTTAATCTAGACTCCACACACATTCACATACCATTTTGCAATTTTTTTTTAGGACTCATAGGATCTCAAAACTAGCATTTTTGTTGAAAACTCCGATTTGAGATTTTGTACAATTACAATACTTTCCTTTATTATAAATTCATACACAAGCAAGTATAAGTAATTAGTGGTAAAACATGGATTCAAATTTAGATTACGACTATAATGAAAATACAACCGTTATTCTTCACAATAATTATTTACTTATCACTTTTTTACATATAAAGAATTTTTCAGTAATTATACAAAATCTTCATCTATAATTTTTAATCAAATTTTTTAATTATGGATGGCAATGTTTAGAAGCATGCGGTTCATCTTCTCTTTAAGGATAACTGTGCTATGATTTTTGTCCGTCAAATTTTTTTTTTGACTGACAAAGTCAAAATTTTTTATCCCAACAAGGGTGTCTCATAAAAAAAAATTGAGAACTACTGTTCTATATCATCTTTTGTGCATCCTGACAAGTTTTGCTAAAGCCTCATTAATGGAGGGCTCTGTTTGTTTCAACTTTTTACAGTCAATGTCCATTACCTCAAATTCTATCAAAACATCTTGTTTGGCTTAATGATAGATACTCTTGTAGATATCTGGCCTAAATATATAACTTGGAATAGTCTAAGGTGCTTTCCAGCATTTCCTAAAGACCTCATTACACATCAAATAAAGTATTTTCTTTACTTTCACTTACCTATATATGAAATATATAGTGAAGAGAAAGTATTGCAATTGTGAAAATTTTCTAATTTGAATTTTTAAAGGAAATAAATGTTTTGAGATTGCCTAAGTTCAAATAACTAAGTCCCACAAAATGGTTGGGGGGCGGGGTGGACGAATGGGCTAAAGCGTGTGCACTGCACCGCGAGTTGCCTGGCAACCGGATAAGAGATTTGAGAAGATTAAAAAAAAAGTATGAGTTCGCATCCCGGTGCCGGAAGGGGATTTTAAAGTCCCACAAAATGGTCTGTGTGTGTGTATGTGAACACTAGCTCCAAAACAAAGTTTTACGAAACTGAAATTGAGTATTTAATGGGCGGGATGACATAGCAAATTTATCATAAAAACTGGCTCTGACCAGAAGTGCCTGTTTATATAATTGATTTTACACATTTTAACAATTTTCTTGCAAAAAGGTTCAAACGATTTTGAATAAACTCATTCAATGTCACTGTACTTTTAAGCGGTTTTTAATTTAAGATACGATTTTATTCTCATCAATGCAGCCTGACAGGGCTCAAATGAGGAATTTTCAATATTTCTTCATCTAAAGTACCTATGTTTTTTTTAATATAAAAATACCAACAAAGAAATATAGCAGCCTTCTTTATCAGTTGCACACTTACTTAATTGTTCATTATAATTAAGTAATTAATCAAAATATACAGTCACGAAAGGAAATAGAGAAAAAAACAAATAAAAATAACAAAGAGTAACAAAAAAAAAGCATAAATATAATATTGTGGAGGCTAGGTTTTTGAATCTGGCTGCTTTTGGGAACAATTTTCCTCCTGTGCAGATCCTGTTGTTGGAATGGATTTTTACTGGCTTACTATTTTGTTTTATCTTTATATGCTTGAAGGCCAAATTGCTCACTTACTCATATCAGAGTTTTAGTGAGTCTCACAATATCCTCTTAATTGCTTCCAAAGATATCTCTATCATCTGCATAATAACTCTAACTTAGTGGTCCAAGATCATTACCACATTATAAATTCTATAAAGTGGAAGGATCAATCAAAGAAGCAGATGATCCTCAGCTGAGCAAAACTTAGTTCCTCGGAAAACTAAATGTAAAGTAGTCGTCAAAACTTTTTAAGGATATTTTAAAGAGGCTAGTAGCTAGATAGCAGAAGGTCTAGCAAGATTGTTAAAGGATTTATTTATGATTACATGACAGGAGAGAAACTAAACAAAAGGTCTTTATCATGGTAGACAAAATAGCTACGAAGTAAGTGATTTTAATTTAAGTGAATATTGGCTTATACATCTCTAAGGAATCATTAAGAGGTTTAAAAGATACATTTGAACCAACTGACGAGTCTTCCTTAAATAAATATCAGCTAACATATTCTAATGTATCATAAGCAGAGAATCAACAACCGTGAGAGTTCTGAGATTCCTAAAATTCAGCCTATTCGTTCAACAGAACTGATCCATCACAATGACAATGTAATGTTAAATTTTCATTAGGATGGAAGCATAACCTTTAACAATTTGTAATTAACTTCTGCTTGATCAGATAATCAGATGTAAGCTATCGTTTAATTACAAGAATTTGTTAATAGCAATAAAACAAAATAAAAGCATTGAATTAAACAATTATTGTTACTTCTCGCTTCAAAATTTCTCCATTGACGTGCAATATCAGACCAAGGATTTCCAGTATCATGTTTAGGCTTTTTAGCAATTTCGTCACCTTCATCCAAGAATAAGTTTCTGCTATAAACACCATTCCCTGCAAGAATATTAATATTATTCAATAAAGGAAATTAAAAACACTCATTATTTAAAAATTAAGAACTCATCAGATTCCTAAAGGGTATATATTAAAACCTACCTGGCAATACGGCATTCTGAGGCTGAGTTCCTTTTTTATCAAAACAAGTTGCAAATCTGAGAAATAAACTTGGAGCAAGAGGGTGAGAGTGACCCTTACGCCAAATTCCTGGAGGCAGAGCACATCTTATATCTTCAAGATTTACAGTTTCTTCATTTTCATCCTAGGTTAATGTAATATGGTTAGTGATTTGAAAATTAAGGAAACCATAGTAATTATTAATGACAATAACTTATACCGAATCATCTGGTTCTAATTCAAGTTGGCCTTTTATCCGAATAGAAAGATTTTCCAATGCTTTGGCACAAGATTCTTCTTCTAGCCACACTACATTACAACATTTGTCACTTAACCATTCAATAGACGCAGGTGAAAAGTCACTAAAATATGCAAATACATCATGAGTTTTCATACTATCCGTTCCATACAGATGTAATGCTTCTTTTCTTGTGATTGAATCAACCCCCATACTAAAAATTAAGCATAATATTATACATCATCGCACACTCTGACAATGAAAACAACTATGTTTGTAAACTTCTTAATTTTGAACCTATAGTATAACTTTTTCAGTTTTGGATTCATATTGTTTTTTCTCTTTGTTTCTGTCAACCCAAATCTTTTGGCTCTTAAAATCAGCCTATCATCTCCCTATAACAAACAATGTAAACATCTATGAGAACAGATTCTATAAAGTTGATATCAGAAAATAGAACAGCTGTGTAAAATTTAATGGTAATTGAAGAAAGATTAAAAAATGTAGTGAAACTCACTGTGTCAGACACATTATTATCATCATCCACATTATTATCATCATCTACAAGTTCTCCATCTTCAACTTCTTCATTTTGTTTGCCCGAATTATCGTTACATACTTCCATCTCAGTAAATGCACTAATTTCAGTAATGTCTAAATTCTCTAAGGTATGGAATTGACAATTAAAATAAATGTAATAACAAGATTTAAACAACAAGCCTAGGTTATGTTATCTTTTTCGATACGCTCAATGATAACTGTATTATTTGAAAACACAAGAAATTTTATTTCTTGTAGCAATACTGCTTTATTATGTTCTATTTTGGCTATATTTGGTAAACATTTCCATAAATCCTGAAAATAAACAATACATAATGTAAATTAAATGTCATACATATAATAAAAATACATATTTATATAAATATACACGTATATACTTCTCTAGTCTATACTCTTCAATGACTTTAGTATATATAAATGATATTTAATTTACAACTTGTATAATAATATATCTAAGCGCCGACCTTTAGGAAATGTTGGGGGGGGGGGAGAGAGAGGGAGATTCGAATGACATCCATACATTAATTTATTCTTTCTTTTTTTTTCAAATTAATTATCATTTTATATATATATATATATATATATATACTCTAGCGGATCCAGGATTTAATTTTGGGGAGGGGGGCTTCAGCCCAAAAGATTTTTTTTCATGTATATAACGATAATTAATTTGAAAAAAAAGAAGAAAGAAATGAACTACCTATATGAAATGGTGTTTAAGTGATTCTTGAAGCCCTATTAAATGTAATTACAGGAACAATAATACTTTAAGAGATAGTTTTTAATATTTTTTTCTATAAAACATGGTTATATTTTACCGTTTTGGGGGGAGGCTTCAGGCCGAAACCCCCCCCCCCCGTATATATACATGAAAAAAAAGCTTTCGGGCTGAAGCCCTTTCCAAAATTAAATCCTGGATCCACTAGTGATTGGGAGAGGGGAAGGATGACCGGAAGTGTTGTCCCTCTTCCTGTGCCAGGGTATGTTTATGAGTGGTGTGATTATGATTTTTTTTCTCTTGGTGTTAAGAGCTATTGGCGGTGATAGGTATGCAAAGGCTCCATGATGCCGTCACTGTGAAACCACAGTTTACTTTTTAAACTTATATTGAAATGTATTTGTTATTAAAATAAAGTATAGATAATATTATTATTCTTACGGCGCTGCGGTCCTTCGAGAACTGGGTTCTCTTCCACTACAGCCACCAATCTCCAGGTCTTGTGTTATTTCCCTACATCTTCGAACGCCCAACAACCTCAGATCGTCCTCTTTTTTAGTTTAAGAATTTATTCTTTAATGCGAAAGTTTCCATTTTGTATATTATTATGAAAATATAAGAGAGAGTATAAAAATAAAAATTAAATTATGAAATTTTAAATATATCCTTAAACTTAAAGCATAATGTTATATCAATATTATTAATACAATTAAAAATAATACAAATAATATATTTTCATATGAGGATGAAATTGTGCTTTAAATATTTCATTGTTTAAATTTAAAATAAAAATATTTTCAATAAAAAATAAAATCAATTATTAAATAAACTAGTAGGCCCCTGCGAAAATGTTTTATTCTTCAGTGGTCAAATAATAAATTAATAAGAAAATAAAACAATGCAACATATCATAAAATAAATCAATTGTTACTTTCTCCCTAAATATGACCGACAAAGGAAACAAAAATCAATTTAAAACTTCATTAATGTTTGGAACTGACATGATTACAAATTTTAATAAGCTGTGTCTTTGTTAAAAATTGTCCGATTTCGATGATTTTTTTTCTTTTTGTAAGGAATTTTGTAATCTTTTATATTATCATGGACATAACCAAGGGAAAAGTGTATAATTTTCGAGTTATTCGCAACTAAAGTTTCTTTTCTTTCATAACTTTTTTTACTGAATTTTCTGGGTTAATTGGACCATTAACTAACCCACCTGAAGGAGAAGAAAACCTTTGTGGTTCAATCTTGGGATTTTGGATTTCCATCAATATTTTTTTTTAATTCTTCACTTAATAATTTTAAATCTTAACATAAATCTTTAAGAATGTATCCAATATAAATGTTAATTATTATAAAGCTCATGCAACATTTTATATCAATAACTAAAGAATACAGTGAAAATGAATTTTGAGTCTGTGGTGGGAAGTTATTTAACTATCGATAGTGGAATTCTAACGATTATCTTGTCATTATTATCATGTATAATCTAAAAAATTCTAACTTTATTACATTAAATAATTCAAAATTATTGTTCTAGTTCTATATATTAATTTAAAACTGAAATTTATGTGTATGTTCTAAAAAAACATTTTTTTTTCATTTGATCGTGTTGATAATGTTGGTACCTTTTTTAAATACATTTAACCGTTAACCGTCACTTCGGTCAAAGTGCGCTTTTAGTTTGTATTCAAAACATTTCATCCTGGTTCAGTTAGTTGGTGATGTGATTATTCTAGTTTTTCTATTGTTGCACTCATTTGTATTTTTTCGTGTTTTGATATTTTGGACTGATGATTTAATTATATAATTAAAATCCTAATGATGGATTCATCTGATAATAGAAGCTGCGGACCTGATGATCTTGAATTGCCAGCAGCTAAAAAGATATGTCTAGAAAATAATGATGTTAGTAATACTTCTCGGGATAACAGCATTTTATCAGACAGTACCCTAAATTTAGGGAACCTCTTTTCACCTAGGCAGTCGCTCAGCAGTTGCAGTTTTAATGATGGAGTTGATAATACAGTTTCTCTACCCATTCCTAGTAATCCAATTACTGATGAAGATAAAATTGTTAATGAAGATGAAAACAACGTTTTCGATTTTTCTTCATCTGAAATGGATAAAAAATCAGATATATCCACTGTCATGTCAGATTTAAATAATACTCCCTCATGTGTCAAAATAATTGAAGATAATAAAAACAATTGTTCTTCCGAATCTAAATTAAATGCTAGCAATTTATCCACCAAGGCATTTAATATTGATGAATCCCTTGACTTTATGGATGAAACATGCCTTGACAATCATTCAGATGACTGCAAGGGAAATTTAGTGTCAATGGAAGTGAAATCTCTGACAGATCTGGCTGAAAAAAATGATAAAACTACAATGAATATTCCTAGTGTGGAAAATTGTATTACTGAAGACTGTATTAACTTAATGACAAAATCTGATGGTAATTGTTCAAGTCAACTTGAAGTTACTCTTGATTATACTTGTAAACCTGAGGTGATGGGTGGGGAAACACAAGTTTTATGTCAATCCACCATTACAAAAGATGCTATATCTGCAAGATGTACATTGTTTTTAGACCCATCATTGACTTCTATGTCTATAGATGAGTCTTTAGTTAGTGGTATGAATACAATCCCTTGCCAACCTACTCAAGAATTCAGCTCAGATTCGGTATTAAAAATGCCTTCAATGGAACAAATTAACTTTGATGATAGTGACTGTGAAAAAATATCCAATAATTCTAATTCTACTAATTTATTTAATGAGGTGAGTGGATGTGCTTTAGATTATACATGCTCAAAATCTGTTTGTTTTGATTTTAATGAAACTTCTACTGAAGGTACCTTAACAAATAAAGTTTCAGAAAAAACTATTAATGCCATTCTTGAATGTTCCGACATTGGACATCAGGATATAAATAAGTCTAATTCAGTAATGATGGGATGTGAAAACCTTCTAACAGAAAACAATGTGAATATAAAGGATAAGAATTACCTGAATTCGACAGAAAATAATGTACCTGATCCTGATAATCCAATTTATGATCTGTCAGATCTTAAAAATTCTTTTATGTTAAATAAAACTTTTTCAGCTGAAGAAGTTAACTTTTTGAAAGAAAATCTGTTAAAAGTAATGGAGCTGCTCAAAATTGACAACATCAGTTTTGAATCTTATAAATTGGCTTCTGAATGTGAAAAGCGCGAGTTATTGGAAAGAATCAGGTATCTTGAATCTAATTCGACCAGACATCTTGAATCCTCTACTGATATTTCATCCTCTCAAAAAACAAGTCAAGATGGAAAGAATGATCAGTCTGGAAATTGTTCTATGATATATGAAGAGCTTTCTAAAACCCGTTTGCAGTATAATGATTTACTACAATTAGTCCTTGTAACTGAAGCTAGTTGGAGAGAGAACAAGTTATTAATTGATTTTCTCAGCGATCTTAACATAAGTCATAATGAATTATTTATACCATTAATAGATGAGAGTAACGGATATATAATTAATCATAAAAAAATTTATGATCTTATGCTATCCCTTTCGAAAGAAATAGTCAAAAGTAATTCATTTAAAAAAGAATGCTATGACATTTTAACAACATTTATTGAGAGTTCTAAAACTAATGAAAGTAGATTGTCCTTCATTCCAAAAGAATGCGAGAATGATTTAGTAGGTAATTTAAAAACTACTTTTGAAGAAATTTTGAACAATATCAACTGCTTAGAGAAAGAAAATTCTGCATTGAAATTAGAGATTGGTAATATGTCTAATGAAATTAGAAGTTTAAGTTCAACTATTGAAAACTTAAATCACCAATTAAATATTACTAAAGAAAACTCTGTTATATCTGCAGATATAATTGTTAAGGATAAATGCAATAATGCAATGGAAACAACCCACAATTTATCAAATGAAGTAGCAGACAAGTTTAGCATTCATGACAGTTTCAGTGAATCTAATACCAAAATTACAGAAATGAAGGATTCAGTTGCTGCATTAAAGAAGGCTTTATCGCTCAGTGAAGAAAATTATAATAATGTATCATTTAAATGTGAAAAGTATGAAATTGAATTGAAAAAGATGCGTGAAGTTGAACATGCTTACCAAGAATTACTATTGCATCACAATGTTTTAAAAACAGAAATTGATTCTAAATATTGTGAAATTGAAAACTTAAATGCAGAAAACAAACACTTAATTGAGCTAAAGACAAGATTTGAAACTGCTCATAATTCATCAATAAAAATTGGAGATAACGACAACGAAATACTGGTCACTTATGACGACCAGACTAGTAAGGATTTATCTTTGAATAATGTTGAAATACCATCATTTACCAATGACCGAGAAAATATAATGAATGAATTTAAAATGAGTCAAAACAATGCATCGATAAAAGAGGACTTGGTTGAATTGCAAGAAAATCATGATTGTTTAAAGACCCAATTTGTTTCATCAAAAGATGAAATTTTGAAATTGCAGTCAGATTTAAGTAGTCTAAATGAAAAATATACAGAGGTACTTTCTATTTTTGATCTCTATAAACAAAAATATACCTATACAGAAGAAGAATTTTATTTAGAGAAAGAAGAAAAACGTTCATTAGAGCGTGAATTAGATTCTCTTAAATCTCAACTAGAAAATGCTCTGGAAGAATCCTCTAGGCTGAAAAATGACAATGAGATAATTAACAACAAAATTGAAAATTTAGTGGTTCAGTTATCAGATTTAGAAACAGCAAATTCCAATTTGGAAACTCAATTGAGTGGCATGCACAGTGATTCAGATAATAATGTAGGGTTATTGACTAATGAAATTAGTGAGCTGAAAGTAAAACTTGATTCTATGGAAAAGTTATTGTTGGATCATGAAGAGAAACAAAATGAATTGAAGTTATCTTATGACAAAGTATGTGAAGATTTGGAGTCTAAGAAGTCACACATTTCATTACTTACTGATAATAAAGAAAAGTTGGAAAAAGAATTGGAAATATTTAGTCTGAATGACACATTATTGAAGCAGAGGATGGAAGAGTTAGAAGAAAATCGGAATTGTTTAGAAACCCAAATACATTCATCAAAAAATGAAATTTCCAAATTACAGTTTGATTTTAATTGTCTAAATGAAATGTATTCTGAGCTTAGTTCTAATTTTGATGTATATAAACAAAAATATACCTTCACAGAAGATGAATCCATTTTATGGAAAGAAGAAAAACAATCTATGAAATTTGAATTAGATTCTCTTAAATCTCAACTAGAAAGTGCTTTAGAAGAATCCTCAAAGCATAAAAGTGATAATGAGATAATGAACACCAAAATTGAAGATTTACTGGTTCAGTTATCAGATTTAGAAACTGCTAATGACATTTTAAAAACTGAATTGAGTGGCATGCACAGTGATTCAAATCATAATGCAGATTTATTAAATAATGAAATTAGTGAGCTAAAAGTAAAACTTGATTCTACTGAAAAGATGTTATTGGATAATGAAGAGAAACATATTGAATTAAAGGTATCCTATGACAAAATATGTGAGGATTTGGAGTCAAAAAACTTGGATCTTTCTTTAGTCACCGACACTAATGAGAAGTTGGAAAAAGATTTGGAAATGTATAGTCAGAATGACACATTATTGAAGCAAAAGATAGAAGAATTGCAAGCAAATTGTGATAATTTGGAGGTCCAATTACTTTCATCAAAAGAAGAATTTTCTAAATTACAATCAAGTTTAAATTTTATAAAGGAAAAACATACAGAGGTTTCGACAAATTTCGATCTTCATAAAGAAAAATATATTTTCACAGAAGATGAACTTATTTCATGGAAACAAGAAAAACAGTCTTTGAAATGTGAATTGGAATCTCTTCAATCTAAACTGGGAAGTGCACTAGAAGAATCAACAAAATTGAAATTTGATAATGAAGAAATAAACAACAACTTTAAGAATCTTGAAAACCAATTATGTAATGAAAAACAAAATTGCAAAGATATACAGGAATCTTATCAAAATCTGAAAACAAAATACGAAGAATCTATTGTTGAAATAAATAATAAGACTATTGAATTGCAAAGTTTGTTGACACAATTATCAGATATAGAAACAATTAATGCAAGTTTGAAAACTCAAATTAGTTGCATCAGTGAGTCAGATTATAATATAGATTTATTAAATAATGAAATAATTGAACTAAAAAAAAAATTAGGTTCGACTGAAAAGTTAGTAGTAGACAATGAAGAGAAATATAGTGAATTTAAGATAACATATGATAAAGTATGTGAAGATTTGGAGTCCAAAAACTCAGATCTTTCTTTACTTACTGACGCTAAAGAGAAGTTGGAAAAAGAACTGGAAATATATAGTCAGAATGACATTTTATTGAAGCAAAAGATAAAAGAATTGCAAGAAAATCGAGATTGTTTAGAGACCCAATTACTTTCATCAAAAGATGATATTTCTAAATTACAGTTGGATTTTAATTGTCTAAATGAAAAGTATTCTGAGCTGATTTCTAATTTTGATCTATTTAAGCAAAAATACACTTTCACAGAAGATGAATCTATTTTATGGAAAGAAGAAAAACAATCTTTGGAATGTGAATTAGATTCTCTTAAATCCCAACTAGAAAGTGCTCTAGAAGAGTCGTCAAAATTGAAATGTCATAATGAGGAAATCAGCAACAATTTGATGAATATGGAAGACCAATTATCTAGTGAAAAACAAAGTAGCAAAGATATTCAAAATTCTTACGACAATCTAAAAATAAAATATGAAGATTCTGTTGTTGAAATAAATAATAAGACCACAGAAATTCAGAATTTACTGGCTCAGTTATCAGATTTAGAAACATCTAATGGAAATCTGAAAAATGAATTGAATAGCGTCCGTAGTGAATCCGAGAATAACAGAGATTTATTAAATAATGAAATAATAGAACTAAATAAAAAATTAGATGTTACTGAGAAGTTAGTAATGTGTAATGAAGAGAAACACAATGAATTAAAGGTCTCTTATGACAGAGTTTGTGAGGATTTGGAGTCCAAAAACTCAGATCTTTCTTTACTTACTGACACTAAAGAGAAATTGGAAAAAGAACTGGAAATATACAGTCAGAATGACACATTATTGCAGCAAAAGATAAAAGAATTGCAAGAAAATCGAGATTGTTTAGAGACCCAATTACTTTCATCAAAAGATGATGTTTCTAAATTACAATTGGATTTTAATTGTCTAAATGAAAAATATTCTGAGCTTATTTCTAATTTTGAAGTATATAAGAAAAAATATACTTTCACAGAAGATGAATCTATTTTATGGAAAGAAGAAAAACAATCTTTGGAATGTGAATTGAATTCTGTTCAATCTCAATTGGAGAGTGCTCTAGAAGAATCAACAAAATTGAAATGTGATAATGAAGAAATTAACAACAATTTTAAGAATCTTGAAAACCAATTATATAATGAAAAACAAAGTAGCAAAGTTATTCAAGAATCTTATGAAAATCTGAAAAAAAAATATGAAGAATCTATTGTTGATATAAATAATAAGACTATCGAATTGCAAAGTTTGCTAGCTCAGTTATCAGATTTAGAAACAACTAATGCAAACTTGAAAATAGAACTTACTAACTTTTTCAACAATGCAGACATTAATACAGGATTGTTGAATAATGAAATAAGCGAACTAAAATTAAAATTAGATTCAACAGAGAAGTTATTAATAGACTATAGAGAGAAACACAATGAATTAAAGATCACGTATGACAAAGTATGTGAAGATTTGAAATCCAAAAACTCAGATCTTTCTTTACTTACTGATGCTAAAGAGAAGTTAGAAAAAGAATTGGAAATATATAGTCAGAATGACATTTTATTGAAACAAAAGATAGAAGAATTGCAAGAAAATCGAGATTGTTTAGAGACCCAATTACTTTCATCAAAAGATAGTGTTTCTAAATTACAGTTGGATTTTAATTGTCTAAATGAAAAGTATTCTGAGCTAATTTCTAATTTTGATCTATATAAGCAAAAATACACTTTCACAGAAGATGAATCTATTTTATGGAAAGAAGAAAAACAATCTTTGGAATGTGAATTAAATTCTCTTAATTCTCAACTAGAAAGTGCTCTAGAAGAGTCATCAAAATTGAAATGTCATAATGAGGAAATCAGCAACAATTTGATGAATATGGAAGACCAATTATATAGTGAAAAACAAAGTAGTAAAGATATTCAAAATTCTTACGACAATCTAAAAATAAAATATGAAGATTCTGTTGTTGAAATAAATAATAAGACCACAGAAATTCAGAATTTACTGGCTCAGTTATTAGATTTAGAAACATCCAATGGAAATCTGAAAAATGAATTGAATAGCGTCCGTAGTGAATCCGAGAATAACAGAGATTTATTAAATAATGAAATAATAGAACTAAATAAAAAATTAGATGTTACTGAGAAGTTAGTAATGTGTAATGAAGAGAAACACAATGAATTAAAGGTCTCTTATGACAGAGTTTGTGAGGATTTGGAGTCCAAAAACTCAGATCTTTCTTTACTTACTGACACTAAAGAGAAGTTGGAAAAAGAACTGGAAATATACAGTCAGAATGACACGTTATTGAAGCAAAAGATAGAAGTATTGCAAGAAAATCGAGATTGTTTAGAGACCCAATTACTTTCATCAAAAGATGATGTTTCTAAATTACAGTTGGATTTTAATTGTCTAAGTGAAAAGTATTCTGAGCTTATTTCTAATTTTGATCTATATAAGCAAAAATACACTTTCACAGAAGATGAATCTATTTTATGGAAAGAAGAAAAACAAGCTTTGGAATGTAAATTGGATTCTGTTCAATCTCAACTGGGAAGTGTTCTTGAAGAATTGCAAACCCTTAAATCTGATTATGAGGAAACCAGTGAGAATTTGAAAAATGTTGAAAACCAGTTGTGTGATGAGAAACAAAGTTGTAGGAATATTGAAAGTTCACTTGAGAACTTAAAAAAAGAATTCCTTGAGTTAAATAGAAAGTATGAAGCTTCTGAGAAATGTTTAATTGATCTACAAGAGAAGCACAATGAATTGAAGGTTTCTTCTGATCTGATTTGTGAGGCTCTTGAATCAAAAAAGACAGAGTATTCATTGCTTACTAATTGTAAAGAACAGTTGGAGAAAGAAATTGATACCCTAAGTCAAACTAATTTATCATTAAAGCAAAAATTAAAAGATGTAGAAAAATATGAAGAATGCCATCAAAAAGAAATGTTGGATTTTAAATTTCAATTAGATAGTGCCAATTCAAAAATTGACTGCATGAAAAACATAGAAATGCAGGTTGATCTATTGAAGAAAGAATATGATATTTTGTCATTGTACCATACGCAAAATAAGGAAATATGTGGTGAACAACCTTTTTGTTTGTTTTCCGAATTTATTAATACTGTTAAAGCAGTAATTAAAGACTTAATTTTTTTTAAATCAAAATGTTCAGAAGAAGAAACTAAATTATCAAGTTCTCAGGAAGAAGTTTCTCGTCTTAATGTTTTATTAGATTCTTTGAAAGAGGAAATAAAAGTATCAACAGAAGAGTCAGTTAAATTACAAGAGAATTATTCTTCTCTATCTAAACAGTATAACAGTTTGTTGGATTCTAGTCAAGATTCAAATATTAGATGTAACTCACTTTTAGAAAAATTAAAAGAGCTTGAAAGTCAAAATAGTTTATGTAAATCAGCTATACAAGATTTAAAATCAGAAGTTAGTACTAAGGAATCCGTCATTGTAAGTCTTTCTAACATAAAAGAATTATATGAATCTACTGCTAAAGAAAATAAAGCTTTATCTTCTCAATTGATGCAAAAGATCGAAGAATATGAAACTGCATTAGATAAGATAAAAAATTCAGAACAAAAATATGTATCTCTAGAGCTGGAATATAACACATTGGAAAGTGAAATAAATGATTTAAGGAATAAAAATTTAACATTAGAATTGAAATGCAGTGAAAATTATGCATTGTATATTAGTGGTAAAGATAATATTGAAAGCTTACAAAAAGAAAAGGAAGAAATTAGGAAGAACTTCATTAAGTGTGAAAAGGACTATCAGAATTCTTTAGATTTGGTAAAAAAATGCCAAGAAAATATGGGAAATTTAGATAAGCAGTACAATTTGAGTATTGCCAAATTAAATGTAATTCTGAAAGAAAAAGAAAGTTATGAAAGCCAAAACTTAAGTTTACAAAAGATAAATGATGAATTGGTAAATCGTATCAAAGAACTGAATTTTAAATGCCAAGAAAACGAGAATGTGTTAACAAAATTTAAAGAATTGGAGAAATCTTATGAAATAGTTAGTAACAAACACCAATCTTTAGCAAAACAGTTGATTGATTATGGAAATTTAAAGAGTGAAAATGAAATTTTGAAATCCCGCATTAGTGAAAGAGATTCTTTTTTTAATAATTTATCAATTAACTATAATGAACTTAATGAGAAGTACAATTCATTATCTGATGAATTAAAAAAATTGTCTGCTGCAGTTTTGGCATTGGTTCCTGGTGAAAATTCAGCTATGGAAATAATTAAGGTTATAGGTGAGAAACTACAAGGTATAAAGAAAATTGAAATTGATTTGCAAGAAGAAAAAATTAAATGTGAAAATCTGGATGAAGAGTGTAATCTATTAAATGAAGATTTAAAGTACAAAGATGTAGTCATTGGAGACATGTACAAGGACCATTCCTCAAAAATGAATGAGTTACAGGAATTATTAAAGAAAGAAGAAAATCTGCGACAAGAAATCTTGCTTGAAAATTCAACATTAAAGGACAAAATCAAATGTTTAGATTCAGAAATCTTCAAATTAAAAACTACCGAACAGAGTTAGTATAATTTTTTTTTCTGATAAAATCTTATTTCTGTCTTTTTTATTGACGGTTGTATTCCTTTTAGGTGCATGTTCTTCATGTGCAGAATTAAAAGGTGTTTTACAAAAGCTGAAAATGGATCTTGTAGATAATAGCTCTAAAGTCACTACACTGCAGTTGCAGATTGAGGAGAATGAGATTACAAATAAGAAAAAAATTCATGACTATAGAAAAAAGGTAGCAATACTTTCCTTTATTGTATATTTCGTATATAGGTAAGCGAAAGTAAATAAAATTTTGTTAAACTAATTATTTTATTTTAGATCTCATCATTACAAGAAGAACTAGGTGCTGCTCTCAACAAGCTTGAAGATAATCGGTTAAAGAGTGAAATTGCATGCTTCAATGCATCTGTTCAAACTGAAATTCTTCCAGTACAAATATCTGGTCAAAGCGGGATTGTTCAGGTGATCAAATTTATATTTTAGTTTCTATCTATTACCTATTTCAACAACTACTACTATCTATTTTATCAGTTTCATTCAGCTAATGGTATCTATTATTTTGTCTATTTTGTTTTTTAAATACAACTTGAAAAAATCTGATACCACAGGCTATGAGGTGTATCCTCAAAACTAAGGTCTATTTGGTCATAAAAAAAATAAGCTCATGAGAATAGGTTTTAGTTGACATTAACCCTATGCACTCAGCACCGTTTTGGACGTTACCTACTAGCAACTCGACGCATGGTGGTACCCAAGGTCAGTAAAACTACCAAGTTCGCTCACTCAGAGGGAAAATGGTGGGGAGGAATTGAGCTCTGACGTAGCCAAAAGACTGATTTTAACCCTCCAGCCTTTGTTTCTGGACATTTTAAGATTATTATTTACTTTTCTACATTAAATCAATACTGTATTGCCTAATAACTTATTAATTTATTAATTTTAATAAATTTGAAAGGTGAGAGAAAGGTTGATTTGATATTTGGTTATTCTGAAGCAAATAAAATGTAATGTAATTTAACAAGTTGATGTATGATTTTTTGCAAAGTACCACAATACTACTTTTTTAATATTTCAAATAAATACTATACAAATCAATATTACACAGAGCATAATATAAAATAATAGAAATATTGAAAAATAAGAAAAAGTATTTAATCTAACATTAAAGAAGCGTTTTTTTTTCTGTGAATTTTTGTAAATATTACATTTTTATGTCATAAGTAATCCTATGTAGTGATTTTTCTCAAGTTTTTTGGCTTTGATTTTATGTTTTCTTAATTGTTGTAAAAATCATTGGATATTTAAAAATTTAATTCTATTAAATACCCATTGCTGAAAGAAAGGCTTTTTTCATTAATTTCTACATTTTGTTTACTAAGAAAAAGATAGTAAATTTTTTTACAATATTTGTTTTTTTTTACAATATTTTTACATTTACATATTAAAATCCAATCTTTTCTTCGAGCGTCCTTTGGAAAAGTATGAAATGAAATTTTCTTTCCCATCTTCTTTGCGTCAATTAGATTATTGTTGCAAGATGCAACTGCGCATTTTGTCCTGTCATTCTATAGGACTCTATTAATAATTATGCTATTATGAGAAATACAAGAAATACTAATAAGAACAAACGAATTCTCTGTAACATGTTTTTAAAAATAAATACTCGTTATAATATTATTTTAGAGACGGATAAGTAGTTGACTGTTAAGATTATAGGATGAAAATAAATTATCAGGATTTGCAGAAAAATTTGTTTATTTTTTATATTAAATTTATTTATTTAAAGAAATTTTGACTGCAAATCCTGACAAAGATCTTCACCTTTATAATATTATTATATTATCGTTATAATATTAAAAGAAATACCCACGAGATCTACAAACAAAATTATACAAACATTGTGCTAAAATGTTCTCTAAATAAATACAAATCTTAGTTTTTTCAATTTTTATAATAATTTTATATATTATTTACAGAGATTTTGAAATACAGAATTTATAAATAATCTTAATATCAATTTCGTTCTTTTCGTTTCAGGCCTGGCCTGTAATTTTCATAGCATTTTATTCTAGATTGATAGCCGTATTTATTTATTTATCTACTTGAAATTATCTTCAATCAAACATCAAAAACACAGAAAAGTATTCTCAATAAATTAAACAATAAAAAAAAAAAAAAGCACAATAATGTTGATATAAGCCTTCATTGATAGGCTTGAAAGAGTAATAGGCAGGTCTCACAGTCTATTCCTTACGTCTCGTTCCAAGTTCCCCCACCACACATTTCTGAGTGAGCGAACCTGGTAGTTAACCTGGTAGTTGGTTGGTAACTCGATCTTTTTGGTCATAATTCTGTAACTCCGTTATTTTTCATCAGATTTTCCTCTTTCTTTGATTTATAGCATCACTACTAAATATAATTCATTATCTGTGCAATGGATATAAATGTTATCACGAATAATATATGAAAATTCAAAAATAAATGACACTAGTTGCAGATAACGTGAGATATCTTATTATAAAATTCAATAATTTTTTTCAAGCAATAGAAATACTCATTTTAGCTTCTTAAATGATTTCATTTTAGCTTATATATATATATATATATATATATATATATATATATATATATATATATATATCTCTTTATATCTTCTTTATATATATATCTTTTATTATCTTTATATATTCTTATCTTTTTATATGTAAAATAATACATAACTTATGCTTTTTTTGATCTTGATAAACTTTTTAAAAAGTTTATTGTGCCATTTTAATAGAAAACTACAGGAAAAGATGTGTTTCTTAAACGATTGCGGTTCATTCTCCGTAATCGCTTATAAACTTTCATGTCCCCTCACAGGGAACAGCCAAGTTCAAAGAATTAAAATTAACTACATATCTACTTTACTTTTCCGCATAATCGCCATTAACATCTATACACTTTCTGTACCGCTACACCAGCTTCTTTAAACCTTCTGCATAGAAGTTTTCCACCTGAATATTGAATCAGTAGGTAACACCAGTCTTGAGTTCATAATCATTTGATTACTTTGGAGTTTTTGATTCACTTGACCAATGATGTCAGTTGAAATACTGGACATACCTTTCCGCTGTCCATTTTGAAATTCTTGACATCATTTTCGAACTTGTTTGTCACTCAATTACACTAGGCATAACTCATGATGGATTTCAGCTAAAGAGAGCTTAAAGAGAGCTCAGTTAAGAGAGACCAAGGGAAGGGTGCTTGGGTTGGCTTGTCTTAATTGCAGGTTATTGCAAATTGAATGCTGAGGGTGGCCATTATGACAGTGTACGGTTAAAAAAGTTTTCTTTAAATAAGTCACAAAATGTTAACTCAGCTCTTGAACTAATAGCCTTAATTTTAAAACATCTTTTACTTCTTACTGCATTGTATAAGATTTTGCTCTAAAAATTTAATTTACTATTCAATGCTTTCATTAATTTAGTTTTGAATTTTCATTATTGAGATACAGAAAATATAATTATTATTACTACTTTAATCATTAAAGATTATAGATATTATGAAAGTTGTATTATCAATTGGAATCCTGTGGGGGAAACAAATAATTAAACCAAAATATTTTATTTATTTGATGTATAATTATAAGTTTCCCTTCTATTTATCATTAATCTAAATATATATGTTTAATTTTTATTTTAAGATTATGTTTGGTATCTTGTGCAAAATCAAATTATTTGGCTGTATCTTTTAATTTTAATTTTTGTTTACAATTTTAGTCTTTTAAAATTAAAGAACAAGAAGAAAAAATTAAAAAATTTGAAAAAGAGAATTTAGTACTAAAGCGCATGTGTCAAAGTCGCCTACAAACTATCCAGGATTTGAAAACTAAATTAGAAAATGTATCTAAGCCTCAAAAAAACCAAAGGTAAAAAATATTTTATGTTTCATTTTTAAAGCTAAGTTTAAAATGATGTTTTATTATAATTTTGAACCCTTCAGTAATTAAACATTTGGTAATGAATTATGTATCAGAATAAGTTATAGCATTGCATTATTATTTTATATTTTTATAGTAAATGTGCTCTTTAGATTGATCAAATTATTAATTATAGGATGAGGGACAAAACTCTTACCATGTCTGGTTTTCATTTAAACAAAATTACTCTGTAATTTAAAACTAGTCTCTTCTTACTATTGAACTCTTACTGGTTCACAGTTCATTGCTTTATACTAATGCTTGTAAAGTAGTTTTAATCTGTTGAGAAATCTTCTTTAAATAAAGATCTTTTATTTGTCCAAATTCAATCCCTGACCAAATTAATTATAAGTACATGTTAACTTTAGATAGGTGTTGGAGATTGGAGATCTAAACTTTGTAGTTTTGCCATGCGAATACCTCCTTTGGTTGTTGAAAAGTTTCTGATATCATTTTCTCGTGGCTGCATCATTACCTTCAGTGCCGGCCTGATACATGTGGCGTTCCTGAGAAATAATATCATCCCCTGCAAAAAAAAAATTAAATTTCTTTCTTAAGCTATTCTAAATTATGTAATATTTGAATTTTCATTCAGTATTTCTCTATTACAGATAAGCTAAAATTAAATATTTTAATACGTTTTGTATTTTTTATTAATTTCGAACAATTGGTAATTGTAAGGTAAAAAGGCCTGAAGATCAACCGGCGTCTCCAACGAACCCCACCATAAGGCCAACACTGATTACCTTAAATTTGATTAGTTTAGAATCTAAATATTGGTTATTACCGGTTTAATAATAATATCATCACTTCTTTACTAAGAAAACAAAAAAACCTGCTGTGATATTTTAATTGTGACCTTCATATTGCCAACATATTAAGGTGGCTACTGAAGATCACTGCTAATGGAACAGTTGAACAATGAAGTGGAACAATTGAAATGCTTGAAGAAAATTTCAATGTGTCAACTGATGGCCACTCCATTGTTCCATTTTTTACCATCAAATTCAAACTTTCACTGTCCATTTTTGGAATTATTCTGAACTCATAAATAATATCATTCCAGGCATTAATAATAAATATCTCGAAATATTATTAAAATTATGTAACAGTCAGAAGGGTAAAATTAACTAGCAACTTTATTTTATTTTTTTACTAATACTTGACTGATGATTTTTGTCATACCTTTAAGTCCACTAAAAATTTGTATTTCTTTTTAATTAATATTTGGTTTTTAACTTAGTAGTAACAAAATTGTAAATTAATCATTTCAATATTTTTTGTAATATATTTTATAAAATCTCTACCATTAATTTGAATGATGATGTATTTTATTTTATTATTTTTATTTTTTTTTATTAGCTGTTATTTAACGTCATCAGCGACGATCTTTCTTCTTAAATATAACTTATCAATTTTATTTTTCGGATGTACTTCAGCGTTTTTTCAATACCAGCGTTTTCCTTGTACGGTGCCTTGTCTTCAATTTGGAGTTTGATTTGCTGTTTCCGGAACTTTTTGCACTGGAATATGTGTTCAACTGTCAGATTAGCATTTTCACATACCTCACATGTTGGTCGATGTAAGCCAAGAAGTAGGTGGAGATGGGTCAGTTTGGTATGTCCAATTCTGAGCCTGCTTATAATAGAACACTCTTTTGATGTCAGGTGTTTTGGAGGATACCAAGCTCGATTTTCGTCTTTGGTCAGATGAAGGTGATTGGGCGGCAGTAATCTCCACTGTGCATTCCAACTGCCGTTCACTTTCTTTGAAATTTCTCTTCTCCATTTATTGAGTAACATCGATCCTAAAACAGGTGAATCTGTGCTTCTGGCGGCTTCCTTTGCTCCCTTATCGGCTCGTTCATTGCCAATTATGCCAATGTGTGAGGGTACCCAAAACAATATTATTTTTCGACTATTTTTATTTAGTTTCAAGTTCATTAGCTGAATTTTTTTGTGCAATGTGTTACATGTCCATGCATTTTGCAGTCCCTTGATTACAGATAAGGAATCGGTCACAATTACTGATTTCTCAATATTGGTGTCGATTACGTATTCAAATGCCTTGATAATCGCCCACATTTCCTGGAACAAATAATATTATTTGTTACCCAATAATATTTAATATTATTATAGCACAACTTAAAGATTGTGCATCCCATCAGTTTTCCCCACACTCATTGTGGGTTTGAGCAATTGGATTTGGCCATGATATGGTGGATTTTAGTGTTGATGGATTTCAAGCAACTGTGGATCACTCCAAAAAAATTTCAGGCAGGATTTCACTCTCAGTCATTCCGCATTCCAGTTAGTGGAACATCTGGAGTGGAGTGATTGACAGTGCCTACCTTGACCTTCCACTAGGTTCCTCCCTATTAGCATTATATATTTATATTTATATATAATCCAATATTTATCATTTATTTATACAAAATTATTTAAATTTATTATTATTATTATTCATAGAATATTTAATCATTAATTTTGTTTATGTAGGAATGTTCTGGAAGAAGTTCAGAATCAACAGTCTACATAGGATAATCGGTCATTTATGTTATGTAAATTTGTATTTTTCTGTAAATATTGGATTGACTGTGTTTTAGTAATTGGTGAATGAATTTCACCAATTTAATATAGATTTTTATTGTGCATTTTGATATATGTTAGTATATAATGTTGGACTGAAAAATGATATAATTTATTAAGCACTATTATATTTGTAATTATTTTTTATGTAAATATTTGTAAATTGCACTAAATCTATAATTTAATTTGATGCATTAGTGTCCATGCTATGTTAAAACTATTCATTGTTTTTATTTCACAATAAATGTTATATAATTTTAATTATTTAATTCAGAGTTCCACAGAGTCATTAAATTATTCCCATATCCAATCTTTGCAATCCAAAATCCTTAAAGTTTCTTATTATGTCACAAATAAAATTATTCATAATGACCTCAATATTTTCTTTTTTGCAAATTTTGGCTGAATTAGATATGCAATATTTAATACAAAAAATTTTTGGTCATCTTAATTCTGTAGTTCATAAGATTTCATCCAAAACAATTCCTGACAACTGTCTGAGGCATGTGAAAAGAAGATTGCCTAGGGACCTAAATCAGGGGTTTCCAAACATTCGGGCGTGCAGGCCACATTGAGAATTGAGAGGCTTGTGATAAAAAAACAAGCTTGTTCTATAAATGACACTTCAGTTGTGAAATGAGCTTTCTAAGAGAAACAACTCATGCCATAAATATTGTAGTTACCTCTTATTCAAGTGATTACTGAATTTCATATTTTTGAAATAGTTTTTAAAATTTTACTATGTAATGAAAGAAACTTCTTGAAGGACGTAGTTTGCAGACCTCTGTTCTAAATTAATTTAATTATTGAAGTGCTGTCAACGGGTAGTTTCTTAACAAGCTCCGGTAATGAATTATAATCTTGTAGCAGGTTTACTTTTATTTATTTACACAGTTGTAAATGATTAAACAGAATTAAATAAATATTTAATTTTTTCCTTTAGTATGAGTATTTACTGTATTTTATTTTTAATGGAAAATTTAGCTTACAACTCTTCATTCAATAATAAACAGTATCAATATTTGCACCATCTGTCTTATTTAATAAATTCCATCATATTAACACTAAAGTTGTGGTCATAAAAATATTGTCACAAACACATGAGCGAAGGAAGACAAGTGAGAACCTGAGTATTGATTATTTTGAAGCATTCTATTAAAAAAAACAACAAAAGTTTCAACCTGAAGGGCATAAATTTAACATTTCATTTCTAGCATTTCATTAAGGCTTTTATGAACCTTTAAGGTCATTTCCAATCTCTTTAAGTTAGGTTATTTTAAGGAATTAAAAACACTATGGATCACAGAAATCCAGAATTCTACTAGGCTGACTATTCCACATGCTGCCCAATCTGTCCTTTTGTAAAGAATTATAGAGCACAAAACTTTTTATGATAGATTTTCAAATATTTTTATTTCAATTTTGAATAACTGCAAAATAAAATAATGTCCATTTTTTTCAATTTAATTAATTTTTTTTCTTTAAAAGTTCACTATTTATTTTTCTTTGAAAACTAAAAATTGTTGGTTTTATCTCAAGAACGTCTAATGTCCTAGGTCTAATGTACCTAAAAAATGGAGATACTCCCTTCTGTCTTCCTTTTAAGGGATGTGTCAGTAAATCTCCAGAAAGGTATTTTTATCATCCTTTATTTGTCAGTAAATTTATTTCATTTTGAAGAAATTCAAACTAATTTCCAACAAAAAAAGCCAGGTTTTCCCCCTTAATCAATTATTTAATTAAGAATACCCACTTTTTAGAGGCTGGGTGTGTCCCAGGAGGGTCTCCCTATCCCAGGGTCGCCCCGCCGCCAATGAAACAGAATAAATAATTTTCTGCCACCATGAGCCGGGATTCGAACCCCTTTCATTTCGAATTGAAAATTCGATTTGAAAATGAAAAACCTGAATAAAAAAAAGGACTCAAATAGTTTTCCCAGATAAGCTAAATAAAAAAAATCTTTAGTTGAGGAAAATTCTGTAGCTTTTTCGGAAATTCTGTAATGGAGAAAGACAATCCAAAGGAAATCCTAAATAATATCTGGTTAGAAATACCCAAATCAATTCTTAAAGCAATTTTTTACTAAAGAAGCATTATAAAATATTTTTGAGAAGCTTGGAATAGAGACAGGTCATTTCTGTGTGGAAGCATTCAAAGAAGGCTTCCAGAAAATGGAAGCCTGACAAAAAAAACAAAACAGAGAATCCTGATTAACCTATGGTGCAGAAGCATTTTCATTTTTGCCCGACTAATTTACTAATAATATAGATATAAATGTGAACATTTTGAATTTATTATCAGTTTTATTCAAAGTCGTGTAACATAAATTATACGTGATTTGACTTGGCACGCTTCATTTGTGGGAGGATGCAAGGATTGATATCGTGTTCAATTTTGCGAAGTGTAGTAAATTTTGAATCTTAACAATACACAATACGTAAAGAATTCTCTTTTAAAATTTAAATTATGAGTTTTAAAATTCAATTAAAATAATTTACACTAGTTATGTCTATTACTTCGTACTTTTTTCCTTTTTCTTCCTGCCTTGCCTTACAGGCAATACTCGCAGTACCAGCAGTGGAGTGGGTATTACGTAGATGCTTATGCCACTATTAGCAGTATAGGTCTATTTAATTAAAATTTTGTTAATATTATTATTTATTAGGAGTAGACTTGTTTGTGTGCACAAGCCCACGCTTTTCTTTTTCTCCATCCTTTCACCTGAAGCCGGTCCTCGAAGCAGCTGCAGCTTGTCTTAACTTCCTTCTCTTCTTCCCAGATTAAAATATATAGGGCCTACAGCATCTTTCCACCTGTATACGAATTCCCTGTAATGTGGGTAATTCTCTCTGCTGATTAGCGGGGGGGGGGGGGAGGGGACATGCTCTCTGTCAGCGTATATATCCCCGTCCCTTTTAGGAGCTTAGCTCTTAGTGCCTCATAGGCAGTGCATTCGACGACCACATGTTCGGCGGTCTCCGGAACGTTACAGTTGGGGCATAGCGGATCAATATTCTTCCCGTGTTTAACGAGCTTCGCTCGAAAGTCCCCATGTCCCGTGAGGAGTTAAGACACCCAGTAATCCGGAAGGATCTATCTTGCATCTAATTGTGACGTGACTGTGGGAAGTACTTTTTAGGGTAGCCCCCTTCGGAGTTGCCATCTATCGCCGGTTCCATTGATCAACTGTGTCCTCTCTGATGATTCTTTTCCATCTTCTTGGGTCTTCTTCAATTCTCATCTTTAGATATGCCGGTAGATCCGACGAACCTTCTCTTTTAATTTTAAAGTGGTAATAGTCTTCTCGCAGGAGGAGATCGAGAGGTGTCCCCCCTGCCAGTACTTGCACTGCCTTATGAGATATCGTTCTATAGGCTCTAATGACCAGAAGTAAGGCCAATCTCTAAATCGATGCTATCCTACTCTTCTGTCGGTGGGAGAGGGTTAGGTTCCAGGCTGGGGACGCATATCTCAGAATACACAAAACGACTTTTTAGTATATTGTCAATGTACCTGGCTATCTAGGACCCCAGAAGGCGCCTCCGACAAGACTGAGTGCATTTAGGGCCACTGTCGTCTACTTTTACCCTGGTTCTCATATAGTCCAATTACTTCATAATATTGTATTTAAACCCCTATTGAATTACCAATACTATGAACCATGTACGTATCAATAAAAACATTTCCAAAAAGTGTTTTTTTTATCTTGAAAAGTAAAATAATAGTAGAAGAATTTCTTTGAACGTTGCACTTAAGGAAACTATAATATTTATTTATGAAATTTTGGGCTACATGTAATCAGTATTTTAAAAAAAATTAAACTAATTGAACTAAAACTATTAATTAAATATTACAGCAACAAAACAATATAGAAACGTCGAAAAGTAATTATATTTAAATTTGTCTTGTATATGACTAGTTTGATGGAAGGTATGTAGAGTGCGTTTATTGACAGTTAGTTAGGTTAGGTTGGGTGGGAATCCTATTCTACAGATTGTATAGTGTTTTGGGTTTGGGTGTGATCGTTGAAGTTAGTCATCAACTGAAATGCTACTTTAGTTTAAATAATGAATACCAAATACCAGACTCACGCAATATTTTTCGTGATTTCATTTAATCTAGTTTTAGGAGGTAAGTTATTTCATTTCTTTACTTTTTAATTTAATTTTATTAATTATATAAGTAACAACCTAGGTTAACTAGAACTCTACTTTAAATTTTAGTTTAAACTTAAATTATGTTTAATATATCTCTTAATTTCCATTTTACTTGTTTATTGTGCATTATTTTTAGCATATGTATGTATGTTTTAGAGAAATTACTTTCCTTAAATACAATGTTTATTTGTCTTATTTTCTGTGAATTTTTATTTGCTATCTCTAATCTTTATATTACTTGTACAAAGATGTTATTGCTATCTGACCCAGTTAAAATAAAATTTAATCTATGTTACAACTAGTTAAAGAATGTTCTAGGGAAAAAAATAAATGGTTTAAACTTGACTGTTAGACTTTAAAGTTTAAAACAACTCTTTCTGTTACAGATTATTATGAGTGTAATGAACCTTTGTTGGAAAATGCTCAGCTTAGTGCAACATCCTCTTTAAGGGAACGGGGTCCAGAAAATGCAAGACTTGATGGTATTCATCATTTCTATTTTTATTTTCATAAACATTAGTTAGTAGTTTGTAGTTATTATAGAATTAATGCATTCTTATTTATTCATTTTTTAACATGTTGTTTTAATATTTTGGCTATCACTTTGTTTTGCTTCAGGTATGGCATGACATATCGAAGTGAAGAAGAAAAATGAAGTGATAGCCAGGCTATTGAAGATATTCATGTTATTTAATGAATAATTCGTTTTGTAATATAATTAGAAAGTTTTCTTCTGATTAAAGATTCCAAACTGTGTTTTTTACTATGGCTGAAAGAATTAAGTCAGTCAGGTGGGTGTTCGATTGTTTTTCATGGAAACCAATACACTCTGAACTGTTAATATTGTTTTCTGCGATTCAAGCTGAAGAAAAAGACAGAATTGGAAAATTTGTTTTTATGAAGGATGCGAAGAGTTCACTAGTTGGAAGATTACTTATGAGAAAATACATCCATAATTCCTTAGGTGTCCAGTGGAATGAAATAAAAATACTTAGAGATGCTAATGGGAAGCCTTATTATAACAATGAACATTTTCCTATCAGCTTCAATATATCTCATCAAGGGCGCTATGTAGTTCTTGCTGGAGAGTTATGCAGCACCAAAATTGGTATTGATGTAATGGAAAGAGAATATAGGGGTGGAAAACCTGTACCAGCATTTTTTAAATTAATGAGAAGCAATTTCTCCTTTGATGAATGGAAGACCATAACCAGTTTTAATAATGAAAAAGATCAAGTTCATATGTTTTATAGATATTGGTGTTTGAAAGAGAGTTATGTGAAAGCTATTGGTGTTGGGATTACTATTGATCTTAAAGATGTTGTTTTTAAAATTAATACTCCCATGTTAGAGAATGAAGAATATGTTAAAGACACTGAACTGTGGATAGGAGGTGTTATTCAAATGCAGTGGGAATTTCATGAGTCATTATTAGATCATAATTACTGCTGTTGTGTGGCATTATATAAAGGCTCTGGTCTTTTAAATGCAATTACTAAATTTAAGTTTGTTACGATTGATGATATAATTAAAGATTGTAAAGAAGTTAATTCTTCTGATCCCAAGTTTTGTGCTGAGTTTTTGAAAAAGGAATAATTGTTAGTAGTTAAATTTAGTTTTAGTTAACATGTCTGTTTACATTAGATATGTTTCAATTAGTTCATTAATGGTTATTTCTAAAAATTTATTGTTAAATCATATATGATATTTAGAAGCTGTCATAAAACAATCAAGTTTTTCATTGCATGTGTAGAGGCCATAGCCCCAAAGGAATATCTCCATTCCTTTCATTTGCTTTGTAACTGTCACTGATTGGTGTAAGTATTGATCTGATGTTTCAACCAATATTTTGCTCCTTATAAAATAATTTACCATAAGGAGTTTCTTGAAAACCTGTTATAAACATTCTTGGGTTTCTGTTTTATTTAATTTAGTAGAATGTTAATGTTATAATAAATTAGTTGCTTTGGCAATAATTGTTTTTTATTGTGTACTCCAAAATTGTATGCTCTTATTTCTGGGGCATAAAGTTCCTTCTTCCTGATTTTAATTCAATTAATATAATTTCTACAATATTTTTCTTCTCACATTCGTATACAGCAATTTAAAAACCAATGTTTTGCAAATCTGTGTAACTTCAACTCTAATAAAATACATTTAGTTTTGGTTTTGTTGTTAATATTAAATATATGCTATAGTCTAATTGAAGCTTAACTAGGTTTCTGTCTTCACTATTTAATAGATTAAAAACACTCAAGAGTTATTGAGTAAAAAGTTATAATGTTAAATAATTATAGCTTTTTAATAAAATTCTTATTCTGAAAATTAGGCCTGACTTCAGTTATCCATTTTCTCAAGATGAATAGTATTTCTTTCCATACCTACTTCATTCCTTAACTGTTCTGTATGTTCAGTTCAGTTATTCTTAGTTATAGACATTATACTCTAAACCAGGGTTCTCCAAACTTTTCGGCCTGCAGAACACTTGAACCACCACAAGTCACTTGGGCCATATAGAGACCTACACTCAACTCCCGCAGGCCATGGTTTGTGATGAAAAAACGAAACATGTTCTATAAATGACACTTCAGCTGTGAAATGAGCCTTCTAACAGACAAAACCCATGTAATAAATATTGTAGTAACCTCGTGTGTAGAGATAGGCAATTCTGACTACAGATTGAAATGGAATGAAAGGTTACACTACCCTGCCTCTATATATGAATATCTGGAAATATTTTAAGAGTGGAGATATCATTCTAAGATGTACAAATTATTGATTTGGTCACTCATTATGTTTGATAAAAAAAGAGGAAACCTCCTAGTGGACATAGGACAGTCCAAAATCTAACCATAGTCCAAAATCATGGGATAGTATAAAATAAGCCTTATGCGCTATGGATGAGTGTTTCCTCAAAGCAGAATGTTTTCAATCTTTCTGCGATGGCTCATCAAAAAACCCAAGGATATTTTCAAGCTTGATATTTTCATCAATCTTACAGAAGGGGTTATGCACCAGAGGAAGGGAGAAAGTTGAATTGTCTGTAGAACTCTTTCTAACTTGCATCAAAGGCATTAACCAGCAATTGTCTTTCATCTCCTTACCTTTCTTCTCCTAAAAGTGGGACTGAGGCTTTAACAGAGTACAGGAAAAAATACTTTTAACTATGGAAATGAATTTATTTATCTCAAAATTTCAAGGATGGAGCTGAACAGAAATATCTTAGAAGTAATTGAAGAAAGAACAAGGCACTTAAAATTGATACCGAATTTGATGTTATAATGGGACGCTGAAGATAAAAGAAAAAAAAAAAAGGAAGTTCTCGAATACAATGAACAATAAGCAGAGGTAATCCTGGCTTGGTATGGATTGTTAAAAGAGAAAACAATTGACAGGGAGAAAAAGGAGAATAGGTAATTCAGTTAACGTTCACTTCATACGTGTCCAAAGTGATTGTATGAGGAATTTATTAGGTACTAGTTAATTTATTAATCAAAAATGATTTTTAACATTTCACTGTATGCTAGAAAGAAGTGCATAACACGTTTTGAGTTATTTTTTGTTTCATTTGGTTTTTCATTAGGTCTTTTCATCTAATTTGTACCTCAAGGTAGAAAATGGAATAGTGTATTATTGTAACATTTTTGTATGAGAATATTGATTATAATTCTAATAAAGATCATTCATTACCATCAAGGTAGAAACTTGAATAGCATTCTATTTCAGAATTTCCTATGAGAATATTAATTATAAAGATCATTCATTGCTGTAAGAATATAAAACTTCCATTGCAAAAAAAAAATTTATAACTACTATTTTTTAAAATATTTTAACACCTATTATATATTATTTCATCGAGTATAGAGTTATGTACAACAATAAATTAAGAAGTGTTTACTTTTGCTAATGTGAGATTTGGATCATATATCATATTCGTATTTTCCAATGTGGCGTAAATCTACTCGTTTTATTTTATTATAATTGTATCATCAATTTATCTAATAATTCAGTACGTTCTTGATATATTTTTGTTTCTTTTTATTTATATTTTCCTTATAAGCCGGTAAGTATAAAAATGTACCTAATCAATGCAGAATGGAAATGATGATTTAAAAGCAAAAGAAATCATAAGTATGTTGTTATAGAGGGTAGTGCCTGGACAGCAAGGGATTCTGATTTTGACCAAGCTTTGGTTGTTGATCTGGGCGAAGTAAGGAAAATAACTGGTATAGCCACTCAAGGTCGCCCCCATTCAATGGAATTCACTCGAGAATATACTATCAGCTATGGATCAAATGGTCTTGACTATGCACAATACAAGGAACCAAGTGGAAACATCAAGGTGATTCCCACTAGTGAAATGACAGGAACTCATTACTAACAGTGCATTTTAAATTTATTCTATTTTCACTGCATTACTTAACCCACTCTGCTTAACTAACAAAAACACTTATAATTACCTCAGCTTCATGAAATGCATTATTGTCCTTTTATATTGATGATATCAGTATAAAGGAAAAAATGATTTTGAAGTATACTAATAATGATGCATATATCAAAGTGATTCTACCTTAAAATAGCGTCATTAATTTAAATGACCGATTTTCTTATAATGTTTCAATTGTAATTCAGGTGATGTGATGACAATTGTAATTACAGTTTTTAATTTCCTGAATTCATTTTATTTGGTTTCTTTGATTTTCACAATAACGTGCTTAAATGTTATAATTGTTTCAAATATTACTAATATTTGTTTTGAGTATAATTTACACATGCTAATAAACTGTTAGATTATATTATTTTAATTGCTGTCTTTTATTTATGGTTCAACAATATGAATAGTAGATGTTAATTTTGAGGAAAACTAAAAATTGCTACATTTTCTTCCTATGGAAAAAAGTATATTATATTGCATAGAGGTTTATTGTTTTATTCAGTTCGTTAATCTGAAATAAGGAGTAAATATTTGTGTCAACTTATCTATAACACAACAGGTGAATCTGGTGGAGCCCTATAGAATATTTATTTGTCTTAAATTGGCAGCACTATGTCTTTAAAGTTAATAACTTGAAGTTTTAAATTTTTATTAGTTGTCCCTTAAATATTTTACTAGAAGGAAGATACGTAACAATTTCCTTAAGGTTAATACAGCGATCAACTTCAGCGCATCAAATTGCCTTTCAATGTAACGAAGAATTACAACAAGGAAATTTCTTTCTTTGAAAGGCTGCCTATAAAATATGTGATTTTTATTAATTCATTATTTTTTTATTATGGAAAAAATAGCCTAAAAAACTTTTCCAAATCAAAAAGTAACTAAATATCTAATGTATCTAGTAACATAAAAGTAATCAATCAAAGTAACCAATGATCATCTAGCAATAATGATAAATTTCTTTAAATAACATTAGATCAACTGTATAAATCATAAAAATAAGTGACACATTGCCCAAAGTTTTCGTTAGTATTATAAATATTTTGTTTTGAATCATTCTTTGTTTATCTTGAAGATTTGTTTACATTTTTAAAATTTATTATTATTATATTTTTGGACTCCATATCTACCATTTAAAAAAAAAGTAAATAAGTACTACAATGAATGTATAAAATATTAAATTGATGATAGTTAAATTTTTGTTTTCTAAAAAAGTAGACAAATAATGATGTTGCGTCTGACAGATTTCCCCCTCACCTGAAAGCAGTAACTGAAACCTGTTGTGTTGTGGGTTAACAAATTTTTATTAACTGTGTTACACAATGCTGTTTTTTATTTATTAAATAAGATATATTCCCTAAAATTTTAAAGCATTAAAAGGTTGAAGCTAAAGAAGAATATAAGATATGTAAATTTTTTATTCTTTAAAATTCATGCAACTATCCTTACCTTTTTAAATTATTATTTTACTGTTTCTTTTTTCATTTTGAAACTTTTATTTACACATTTCATGATTTCTTAAAATTTTCAATTCAGCCATGGGTGAATTGAGACTTGATAATTTAAATTCTGATTTTTTTAAAAAATGAAACTAAAAAATTATTTGTATCTTATTTGAAGATATACAGTTAAATCATTTAATTAAATTTTGCTGAGAATTTTTATTAATCACCAATGTTATTACCACGTACAACTTTAATATTTTAAATTGAAATAAAATATATTTGAATACAATTTTATTGAACAGTAAAAAGAATCCTGAAGTAGCCTATAAGATTATTCCTCATTGTCAAGGAATTTTAATTAATTAATCAAATTGATTAGTCAATTAAAAGTAAAATATGAAGTAGTTACTTGATTTATGGCAAGAAGTTAAATATGTGACTAATTTCCAAAAGCTGAGGTATTTATTGTTTATTATGCACTTGCTTTATTAACAAAGTGGTGTAGGTGATTCAGCGTGGAGTCCGAATATGGATACGTACTATCAGATGTTGACAGTAAATTTTGGAGAACGAAAGCAGGTTCATTGGTTGGCAACGCAAGGAAGAGCTACCACTTCTGAGTTTGTCACTGAATATATTGTTCAGCACTCAGATGATGGTCTACAGTGGAAAACAGTAACAGACCCCGGTGGAAAAGCAGAGGTATTAAAATATCATACTGTACAGTTATGTGCTTTTCAATATTTCCTGTTCAACAGAATTTTTTAGTGTTTATTTTATTTATAAAATCTTAATTTATCGATCTACATAATTGTTAATAATTTCATCTTCACATTCTAATCAAATACTAAAATGCATGCATGAAACTAACTATACTGTTTTTGTTTTTTTAAAATGATATATGTTAATTTTAAAGGTTCAATTTCAAGAAATTAATGGTTTAAAGAAAATGTCATCAGATTTTGCTTGAATGCTGAATGTCTGTTGGCTTAATGATAAAGAAATGTAACACATTAAAGTAAATTCTAAGAAAGAAACATTTTTATCAACAAAATATATTAGAGAATTTTCAATATTATAAAAAAAAAATTTATAAGGGTTTTATTTTTACAAAATTTGGTTCTTTTTTTTCCTTAAATTTAATTTACCGTTTAGAATAATTGTCAGAATTTGTTGATTTGATTCAACGTTTTCATAGACATTCTTGTTGGAAATTTGTATAAAATTACCCATGGCAGGATTTAATTCCTATTTATTGCTTTCTAATACGTATTTTGTTAGCAATTCCTTTCTTCCTCATCAGAAGTTTTGTATTCGCTTTTGGATATTTTCCCAAAATTGTTTGCGAAATAGTTTAAAATCTTGTGATGGTTAAAGTTCTTTACAGGCATGGTGCATTCAAGTGATTTTCTCCATCACTTAAGGCTATTTTGTCATCATTTGTTAATCTGAGCTGAGTGTAGTGGACTCTAGAACTATAGCAAAACTTTTAATTTTATTGAGATGGCAACTGAGTTGAGTTGACTGTACTTGTGTCTGCAAGATTTAACTTTTAACCTTAAGGTTCAATGTTCGATTTTTTTTTTATTACTTTAATTACCTGTATAACAAGGTTGCCTCATGCTTCTTAAAGTGTCATTATCCAATAGTTCATTGCTTGGCTTAGCCGATTTTTCTCAGCTGAATTCCTGTTCTTATTGCTCCGTCAGGTCATACCTTGTCAAACCAGCTTATCTCCACTTCCATCAGTTTAGTTTTGCGTATGTTGTTGATTTAGCCTTAATGGTTTAAACTTATGCTATACTGTATTTTGAGTATCTTTAGTAAATTTTTTAAAATCTCAAAATCATTAAAGGAATAATGCACCTTTTCGAGGTATATTGTAAATAAGTTCTTTCTTTTGGAACTTATGTTTAAATTCTTTATGGTTTTTGGTTGGCAAATATAATAAAAATAATTTAAGTTTTGTATGTTATATATCCATAAATAACACTGCTAAATATATATATATATATTTTTTTTTTCAACATAGATGTTCAAAGGAAATAACGATGGTGATAATACAAGAAGAAATACTTTTGAAGGACCTATTATTGCTCAATGGATAAGAATCAATCCAACTCGTTGGCAAGATCGTATATCTCTAAGACTTGAACTGTATGGCTGTGATTATGGTATTTAAAATTTGATAAGTTGTTAGGTGATTTTAATTTTTATAATTTTTAATTTTTTAATTGTTTAAATTACATGTTTACAGTGGCTGAAAATATGCATTTTAATGGTTCTTCTCTGGTGAAATGGGATCTTAAGTCAGGACCTGTTTCTGCAACAAGAGAATCAATAAGATTTCGCCTCAAGACATCAAATGCAGATGGTATACTTCTTTATAGCAGAGGCTCTCAAGGAGATTTTATTGCTTTACAACTGCGACAAAATAGACTTATTTTCAATATTGACCTAGGTATTGAATTTATTATGCTGCTCAATTGTACATGTTAAATTTATTTATATGTTATAGTAATTTTCATATAGAAATCATTTTATATGTTTACTTTTTAAAGGTTCTGGGCTGACAACAAGTTTATCTGTGGGTAGTCTTCTTGATGATAACTTATGGCATGATGTAGTAATATCCCGTAACAGGAGGGATATAGTATTCTCAGTTGACAGGGTTATGATTAATGGCAGAGTCAGAGGAGAGTTTAATCGTCTAGATCTCAACCGTGAGGTGAACTTTTTTTATGTATTATTTTAATGGCATTAATGTTTTTCAAATAGATAATAATATCGGTTTCATTATGCATTTGCAAATATGTGATTGTATTACATGAAGTGGTAATTTATTATTAGACAAGTCTTCTATTGACAACCTCTGGTTTTCCAAAAGGCAATTAGTATCGGAGGGACCATTTCATTTGAGAAAGGTGTTGAGTTCGCCCTAAAAATTAGGGCCAAAAGGATTTCTTTTTTCAGATGGATTCAACTTACACAAAAAAAATGTTTTTTTTTTATAAAGTGTGTGTATGTACATAAAATAGATGCTTAAATCAATATGTATAGAAGTAATGTATGAGGATATTATGGTTTAATACCTGTATTTCTTGAAACCACATGAGTAGGAAAGTCCAAAATTTCAATGAACCTGAGACCTATTAAAGTCCAAAGTCAGTCATTTTTTACCTTGATTTCTTAAATCTTGATTAATCGAATATCTCAGCTCAAATTTTCTATTTGCTCCTCAGATATGAGTTATCAAGACTCAACTGTGCAAAGAATGTTCTGAAGATTGAGATGATATCCTGAAAATTAAATTTTATAATTTATTTGGTTTTTATTAACAAAATAAAGTCTTGAAGGAAGTCTAGTTTACCAGAAAATTAAAATGAGGGATATTAACCACTCTTGGTACCCAGCAATATCAAGGATCCACACTTCTACCAATCCCAGCTTCCCCAGGATGGATTTTTTAATTATTTTCTCATAAAAGTTCATTTTCAACATCGTTAAAACTTGGATAAATACTAGGAGTGTGACATCTTATACACGGATGCTTCAAAAGTAGATAGGGAAGTAAGATGCTCGGTCATAAATTCTCACAATCGAAAACTGTTTAAACTCCCAGAGGCATGGTTAGTGTTTTCTGGTGAAATGATAGCGATAAGAGAAGATCTTAGATACATAAAGTCAACAAAAACTACCAATTGGGCCATGGCGACAGATTCGATGAGTTCAATACAAGCCATTGATAATACCAGACCAACAACTACTCTAGCGAAAGAATTAATATGTGGAATATTTGGGATGTGTGGAATGTGGAATATGTGGAAAATTTGGGAAAATAAGTGGAAGCACAAGGAATCTAAATAGAGAGAAATAAAATCCCTCTGCTCAAAATGGGAAACCTCTTGTTGATCCTCTAGAAAAGAAGAGACAGCCTTCTGGAGATTACGAATTGGACATCGTGAGTTCTTGCACACCTACCTACTAAAAGGACTTGATCCTCCGACCTGTTAGAGCTGCAATGTCCGAAGAACTGTAAAACACATTATTCAAGACTGTCCTGCACAAAAAAATATCAGAGAAAATTTGGGTATAGCACCAAACTTAAACCTATCAGATAACCTAAAAGACATCAAAAAGTCTGTAAAAAAAAAACATTAGAATTCCTAAAAGCGGTGGAACTCTATAATATAATTTAATTAGAAGGTGTTTCCAATGACTGCAGGGTAGAGGCAAAAAAAAAACAAAAAAAAAAAACTAAACCTAAAACTAAAATAGCTCTGTGCCAAAGTACTGTACATAAAAATAATTATTAAAGAAAGTTCCAAATTTAATAAGAAAGTATAAAAAACATTATTATAATCATTCTCAGATCACAAAGATTATGCATTTTACTGTTCTAGAATTTTCAGATTAATAAAAACATTTTAAATGAAAATAACTGAATATTTACATTTTATTAGTTGGGTGGGTTCCTTAGCTACTGAACACGTTATATATTTATCATTAAGTTTAAATTGAAAGTTCAAGTTCTCAATACTTCATTTTATTCTGTTATTAATATTATTTCATTATTTTTTCCAGATGTATATTGGAGGAGTCCCAAATATTCAAGAAGGATTAGTAGTTAGTCAAAATTTTACTGGTTGCTTGGAAAATCTGTACTTTAATGGTACTAACATTTTGAGTGAAGTTAAATCTGCATATGATACAGGAGATGATTGGTTATTAATGAAGTATAAAAGAGTTAATACGTTGTACTCTTGTCCTGTGAGTATTAAATTTTAATAGCACTTTCATAATGCTGATAGAATTTTAACAGTGGCAATATGAGCTTGGTTTATTGAATATTTTAAAATTTTGTTTTATAATTTGCTATTTTTTAATTAATTTAGCTACCCTTATTTTATACTTTTAAATCTAATTCTGTTATATTTAGTATAACCTGTAACCATAATTGTAACTATATAATCTGTAAACTCAATGATGACATCTTGAGCTGAATGGATACAGGAATTAGTCCAGCAAGGTCCTACATGGTAGAAAATTAACCAATAAGTTTCATTTTTTGGATCCACCTAGAAATGAAACTTGCTGTAAATTTTAAAACTATTTAAAAATATGAAATTTTGTAAATACACACACATGAGTAAGAATGGACAGTTCTGGACGGAATAGTTAGGAACAGAACGAGAACCTAGAAAAATTTGTTCCGCTGGAATGTAATCCAAGAGCAGAACATAAACGTCTTTAGGTTTTGATGGGCAAATGTTCGGCAAAAAAGTCAAATAGGTATGAAAGGGATTTAGCGATTAAGGTGAGTGCACTATAGCTGATTGTCACTGAAGTGGATTAACAGAATTTTTGAATTGCTTATTGGCTTCAAAAGTGAACCATAACGACTAAATTTAATTTAGTGTTTGATTAAATATAAAGAAATCCAATTAAATTGAAATATAATCAGATCCTAACCACAATTTTAAGATGGAATTTTGCAAATTTTAGAAATATTAATTAAAACTCCAAGATAAACTATTAAAATTATAATAAACTAATTATAAATAGTATTAAAATAAATATTTTAATAAAATTTATTATTAAGACCAAAGACAAACATGTGGTTCCGAAATGAAATTTGTCATAGGAGATTTTATATCATTGGTCTTTTCACAGATTATTTGGATTTAGAAAACCAAAGATTTTATTTTACTATTTTTATCTACCTATAAAGTCATAATACATATCAATATTGTTTAAACATTTTTTAAAGTTTAAAAAAATATTGATTTTTATTAAATTTTGACTTTTTTAATTAAAAATTTATTTTTAAGTCACATTTTACCAGCAAAATTAGAACTAACAGCCTCGTTAGTCATAATAATAATTTCTAGAATTGGTTCAAGGAAATCATTACACCTCTGGAATGGTTCGGACTGGAATGGTCTTTCTCGTTCCGAGTTTCCTTGAATTCTACCCCTTGAACGGTTTGGGATGGTTCAGTCCGGAACGGTTTTTCTTGTTATGAGTTGCTTTCGGATTTTCGTTCCATTGGGATGTAAACGCTTTCAGGTTCCATTATATTCTGTTTTCGGTTCAATCTGATATTTCATTCTAGCATTCGTTTGGAATAATTATGATACGGATTAAAATGTCAGGGTGTGTTGTTATTTTTAGTTTAAATTAGTAAGTCTTAAATTAATTAAGTAGTGTGTATAATAAAACAGCAAAATAGAAAACAGAAATGGATTTTATTCATTAATATTTTTCTGTAGCTTGGGGTAAGGGAATATTTAAGAAAAATTAAGACAAATATACGAATTTTACCAATCAAAAATTAGTTTTACTGCAGAATTATATTTAAATAAATAAAGGTAAAAACCAACAAATCTATAAAATTTATGATGAATTAAAAAACCAAAACGGTAAAACCTATATATAAAGTAATTCAAAAATTGGAATTTAAAAACTGCAATATTTAGTTTACTTGCTGATAGTCGTTAATCAACATGTCACTTTTGAAAAGATTCGTTGGTATGGATGGCGACTATACTCAACATTTCTTTGGCAATGATGTACAAATTGGGATAGTTTTTTGCACACCAAACCACCACTTTGTAGGATCCTCGTTGTCGTATAAAATATGCTTTTTTAAGTACCTGTTTAATTAAATCATTGCCTTTGATTCAGGTATTCCTTTCAGAGAATGTTGCTCTTTGGCTCGCATCGATGTTCCTAAAATGTCCAGTTCGATTTATTTTCCTCATTTTTCTGTACTCCTCTCCGTTTATCTTGATTTTCTTCTGTCTTAATGATTTTTCTGTCGTTTTAAATAGTTTTAATACTACGCATATTTGCTTCATTTTTCTCTATCTTGTTTCAAGTGCTCACAACGAAGATGGAACGGAACGAGAACTAGAATGAATTCCAGGGGTGTAACGTTCCATTCCGTTCTAACCTGTAGTTGGAATTGCCCATCCCTACACACAAGATTACTACAAAATTTATTGCATGGGTTTTGTCTATTTGAAAGCTCATTTAACAGCTTAAGTGTCATTTGTAGAACTAGATTTTTTTATTTATACCAAGCTATGGCTAGTGGCCTGTGGAAATTAGTCGAGGTCTCAATGATATGGCCCACGGGTCGAAAAGTTTGGAGACCCCTGATGTAGACAAATAATCCAAATTTTTCCAAAATATAAAAATCCAATATTTTGTTAACACATCCCGTTTGTCAAAATTTTAAAATCAACTAGGTCCATTTTTTGTTGGTAACTAAGTGTCTTGGCTATTGCTAATACAGTGAAAAAAAGAATCGTAAATATTAGAGGGCAAAACCAACCTTCACTAATGCCATAATCTTAAACTTTTTCAATGGCCTTGTTTCCTCACTGGATAGGGATTCTTTTAAATAAGATTATGCTGAAGTCCTTTAATGGTTCCTTTCTCATTTAGGGCCACTACTTAGTTATCTTATGTTGTTCATTCACAATCCTTAGTGAGATTAGCAATTATTAATTATTTTGTTCTCATATTAACTGATGTTTTTAATTAATTTTTAAATGCAATTTTCAGGATCCCCCTATTGTCCCAGTTACATTTTTAACTTCTAATTCTTATGCCAAGCTGAAAGGATATGAAGGAATATCAGCTTTTAATATATCTCTTGGCTTTCGAACATATGAAAACAATGGACTCCTTCTTTACCATAAATTTACTTCACGTGGATATGTCAAGGTATGATATTTTTATGAATTTTATTATTGAAAGAAATCGTATGGTTTGTATTTAAGTGGATTATTTCAAATAATAATGTTTTGTTATGTGAAATCATTTTTTTTTTCTTCTTTAAATTGATATGTTAATGTTAAAACTGGTACTGTTGGGTTTCGTTTAAATCATTTTCTCAGTGTCTTATCTTTTACTTTAGTCACTTCTTTTTTATAACTCACAAATAAAGTTAGTGAATTTTAATAAAAATAAAAATAAAGTTTATTAGTTAATGAAACTAATATTAAGCCTTTTTATATTGTGATAGGCTTTAGAAATATTATCAATATTTTTTTTTCTATGCTTATGCATATAAATAGTAGATATTGATTTATGTAAATTGATAAATACTCATCATTCATGTTTTTTATTTTTCTCACATTTTTAAATGTTTTGACTCTTAAAGTCTGTTTATATGGTTTACTGACATTAATGTCTTGAATAAATTCACTTTGGTATAGAAAATTGACCGTATAAATGGCTTTTGTTTAGTTGGGAGACCAAATTATTCCAACTGTTAAAAAGTTTTAAATAAATTTTAGTTGTGATTCTTATATTAAGGAAGCATACAATCTGTATACATTAAAACTCAATCTGTAACTGGATATTTTTCTTTGTTGTACCCTACAGTTAATAAATAGTTACATTATTAACGTTAGTTGTGTCTTAACATTATTTGTCAGTCGAGATCTAATTTTATGATTGGTAAGAGCCTTCCACAGAAAGTAAGATTAAAAAAAACTTCTAAAAAGGACAAATTAAAATCTAAAAAAAAAACTTCTTTAAGATGTATCACTAAAATGGTATAAATAAATTTATTTGAAAAATTATATTATTAGCTATCATAATTACATAACTGTTCCAAATTAACTCCAACATTAAAATAATTTTATCAATTTTTGATATTGGTGCTAAACTATCTCACAAGTGAGTTATTTAAATTTCTGCCTTTAACTTTTTGAAGTGTAATAAGTCTTAAAACATTAACAGTTAACTGGTAATGAATGGCCTTAAAAGAAAAGAATATTCTAGGTGAATATTATTCACTGTAGCATAAGTTCTTTATACTTTATATGGATTTTACATTATTTAATATCGTCGCCACCATGTTAAAGTAACGAAACGAATGTGCAACGCTAAACAGGCTCATGTTCATTACTTTTGCAGGGTGCAGACGATATTATAGTTACTGAGGCAATATTATACTGCCTTCAAGATTAGCTAATGGTTTTGTTTTTACTATTTTAGTTATATTAATAAAAATGTTCGGTGTTTTCGAATCAACTTGAGAACATCAAAGATAAAAAAACTTAAAGCAAAACAATTTTGACGCAGTTTGTAGCATTATCAAAAATAGATAAATTATTTTAATGTTGTAGTTAATTTGGAATAGTTATGTACTTATTTTAGCAAATAATATAATTTAGTATGTAAATTTATTTATTTTTAGTTGTTCTTGTGTTTCTACCGTTTTGAAGTCGGTTTTTGTTTGTTTAAAAGTTTTTATAAGAATAAGAATGCTTGATGATGATAAGAGTCTGAAAATGACTGAAGAATATAAAGACATGAAATGTAATCTGTTTTTATTATTAATATTCTGTATGATTTATAAAACTAACTTCTATATAACAAATTTCACAATTATCACTCATTCTTGAATATTTTGTGCTGGTTTTTAAAGTTTCCTTCCGGTCTCTTTTAATTGGCAAAGGGGGGGGGGGGGGTGAATTGTCAATTGATTGATTTCCAGTTGCTAAAGCGTTTGTTGATTTGAAAAACAATGAGATGTTTTCATAACATATTTCACATCACTATCTTTTAGATATGTCACCTATGGATAATTAAAAATAGTTTTACATAGTAGTTACCATGAAAATACATATTAAATAAATAAAATGGATCAAAATTATAATTTAGATTTCTATAGTTTAATTTGATTTTATTATATGTTATTATCAATTTGTTTTAGTTATTCTTAGAGCAAGGCAAATTAAAAGTCGAAATCGAAACTCAGAAGTATCCGATGTCATTATTAGACAATTTTGATGAAAGATTTGATGATGGGCAGTGGCATAACTGCATGTTGACAATTTCCAACAATTCCTTAGTATTAACAGTTGACAATAGGCCCATGAGAACTACCAAACTTATTCAACTTATCACTGGCTCAACTTATCTAGTAGGAGGTAAAAATGCTTTGTCTGTAATTAATTTAAATATATATATATATATATATATATATATATATATATATATATATTAATTATAATCTGTTGAGGTGATCTTGGATTAAAGAGATTAAATTGGTGAATAAGGAGCAGGTATGTAACTTTGATAATGAAGTAGTATTATCTTTGTAATGGTGAAGAAATTGATGACTTGACAATATGGTTGGGAAGTTGGTTGCGAGATGCAGTCAGAGAGAACACACAAATAAAAACAAAAGATTTTTATTTCATTTTGTGCTGACGTTTCTAAGTTGCAGTCCTTCATCAGGATTTCTTCACCTAATTCGAACACTCATTAAAATTAAAATTGCTTAATTATGAACCTAAATCAATCATTTTCCAAAAAAAAATCATATTTATTTTCAATTCATATCACAGTCTATGTTGATTTGATAAAAATCATAGAATAATTTTAGACGAATAAAAAATTGATTATTTAAATAGAAAAGAATAAATATTTTAAAATACAAATGAAAAAAAATCTGCCATTGTTCAATTATTTCTATTTATTATTATTATTGTAATTTTAATAATGCCTTGTAATAACTTAAACTATTGCTTAGTTACTGATGTTTAATTTTTTTATGATTTCTTTTGGTGTTATTCTTCTTCATTACCGTTCAGACATCAAGGATCAAATTTGGTTTGGCGTCCGTCTGCCTGTCTGTAGTCAAATCGATATATTGGGCATATCACCTACTACCGTTTATCCGATTTTTATGATTTTTTTTTTTTGTGAAATTCCATCCAGCACTTCTGCTTACGCATGTGCCAACGTATTTTTTTAGATATGCTAATATTTCAGAAACGGCTCGTTCGATTTGGCTCAAAGCTAGAAAAAGATAGGTATTAATAATAAAATAACGCAGTATCAATTTCATTGAAATCTGTTCTCTACTTTCTCTTATATATGCGCAAATGTGTTTTCCTTGATACGTCTATATCTCTAAAACTGCTCATTCGATTTGGCTCAAATTTGGTGGAAAGTTAGGGATTGGTTAACAGATAATAAAGTGAATATCAATTTTATATATTTCTATCCACTACTCTTAACAAAAAAAACTTCCGCTTTTGGATCAGTAAATGGATTATTTGACAGGCCTACAGTCTGAAAACGCCTTGTTTAATTTGACTCAAACTTGGAGGAAATTTGGAGAACATTATAAAAATTGCATGGTATGAATTTCATTGAATTCTATTTAATAATTAAAATTAATACAAATAACTGTTAACAGTTATTTAACGGCTGTTAAATGTGGAAGGCATTGATCATGTGTAATGGGGATTAGGTTAATACAATATTTTTGTGAGGTTATTAAATTTAATAAGGTTTTATTGAAATAGTTAATTTATACTGTTTTGTTTGGTCGTTTCCAAATTTCTAGCATGATGCTTACTGCCGTTATTTAGATTTCGTGTAATTTTCTATAAATTTAAATAAATTCTTACTCTTAAATTTGTGAAAAAGAAGTTGTCATATTTTTGATTGTGTTTATTTCTATTGAAGTTCAACCAGATCGTCCTGGTCTCGATTTCATCCTTAAACATCAAAGTTGTGAGAACTTCACTTATATTTTTATATTCCAGCTTAAATTAGTTTTGTTCTGACTGAAGAAAAGTATTGGTCTCGTTAACTTCGAACATACAAAAAGTTGAATTATTCCTATGGATTTTTTGTCTATAACCGATATAAGTAGTCTGCTACAATGGAAAATATTAGAAGGCAATAAAATATGAAATTATACTAATAAATCATGAAGAAATTATTAGTTTTTATGATCTCCTGTAAAACACTCAATTTTTACATACAACTTTTTGCACTAACAGACTGATATGCATGTTCAGTATGCCTTGTAATTGTTTGTTTTAATCACGGATTATCAAATATGCAATCTGCAAATCTTCTAGTATTCGCTGATGAACAAAACTCATGGATATCCAACACGTTTATGTTGAGGGATTACTGAATTTCCGAAAATGGCTTCTCTCAGTGATTTTATTTACATAGGAAAAAATTTGGGTCTTGTAATAAAAATATTTTGTAGCTAATGAAAACGATGAGGAAGCTATACTGACCTTACTTGGCAGACTTTTTTTTTTACTCCTGTGTTTTTTATAACAAAAAAGAAATTCCTTAAATCTTTTGGTATTTTATTCCTGAGTGTTATTTCCAGGAGGAGTACATGGGAATGCAGGCTTTGTCGGTTGCATGAAAATGATCAGCATTGATGGAAATTACAAACTACCTACAGATTGGACTCCTGAGGTAAAGTAAAAACAAAATTTATTATTTATCTCTTACCCATTAATACACTGCTTTTATTTCTTACATTTTACATACAATCAGTGACACAATTTTGAAGGTTTAAGATATTACCTTAATATATTTTAATTTAGCAAAAAAATTTGCTTTTAATTTTGTTATCATTCATTATCTTCACTTGATTATTTGAATAATTCTTTAAAATAATTATTATCAGGTTAAATAATTATTACTATATTTTAGTTACCATATTTATACATATTGAAATGGTACTTGTATTTATTTATAAATTTTAAAAATTGCCTAGCAAATTTTTTAGTATGCTGTGTATATGGGATCGTAATATAGTAATATAGGCACCCTTTTGTGATAATAAAGTTTTTCTCTCTCTCTAATTTTACAGACAGTTCTGTCTGCAAAATCATGAAATTTTTTTTTATTAGTTGGCCCTCCCAAAAAATTTGCACAGCATATAGTCAAGTGATCAAATGCCAAATTAATAAGAAAATAAAATAATGCAACGTATCATAAGGTAAAGAAATCAATCGTTACTTTATCATTAAATATAATCGACAAAGGAAACAAAAATTCACTTAAAACTTCATTAATGTTTGGAACCAACATGTTTAAAAATCTCAATAAGCTGTAGCATTGCTAAAAATTGTCCGATTTCTATAATTTTTTTTTTCCTTTTGTAGGGAATTTAGTAATCTTTTATATAATGGTCGACATAACCCAGAGAAAAGTGTGTAATTTTCGAGTTATTCGAAAAAAAAGTTTCTTTTCTTTCATAACTTTTTTGTCTGAATTTTCGGGATGATTGGATTATTTTGCCCACCTGAAGGAGAATGACATCTTCAAAATTAGTAGTTCAATCTTGGGATTTGGTAAAGAATTAACGATGATGTGGCTTACCGACAAACAACACCTTTGATAAATAATATAAACTCCTCTTCTCACAATCATAGGGGCCTCAAGTCGACAAAATGAGACATGTATTCAATGATAATACTACAATTAATGTGAGGTTGTGTAGATGTGAACCCTTTGCCTTGCATTATCTTGAAAATAGTACATTTTTGGGCTTAAGAAAGCAGGGACCAATAGTTACGAAGGAACTTTCCGGGTCTTGCTGTATGCATCAAAATATTCAAAGCCCAATTTGTCCCGTATTGATCTACAGACTTACCAACGTTCCAGTATTAAAGCCTAGCAAAATGTTTGCAGCGACTTTATTTATTTTAGAAAGAAAAACAAAAGCGGAGAGTATGATTCGCTAATCCCCCGTGAAATTCTGAATCCGACGGTACCCCATTCATGGTATTCGAGCATAACATGAGCTTATATTTGCTACAAAACCAATTTCGAGCCTTACTGTAATAATATATGTGGGGGTAAGATATAAAATTTATCTCTAGAAGTGAAATATATTTCAAAATAAACTATATTGCTGATGCATAACTATACTTCTTAAACAAGTGTGTTATAAGTTGTTATGGTACTGAAACAAGTTAATTTTCTTTTGTTTATGCTCTGATGTTTTATTATATTGAGATAATATTTATGCTATATATTTTTTTCTTTGCAGGAATATTGTTGTAACAATGAAATTTTGTTTGCCTCTTGTCAAATGATGGATAGATGTAACCCCAATCCGTGCGAGCATGGTGGACTTTGCAATCAAACCTCTAACGAGTTCAGCTGCGATTGTACTGGAACTGGTTATTCTGGTGCTGTTTGCCATACTTGTAAGTGTAAAAGTTTATATTTATTTTAAGGGTTTTATATTTTATATTTATTTTATTATTATGTATTTTTATTTTAGCCTTGAATGCATTATCCTGTGAAGCCCATAGAAATACCCATACAGTTGATGAAAGTGCTGACATTACAGTAGATATTGATGGCAGTGGCCCACTGCCTCCATTTCGTGTTACATGTGAATTTGAAGGTAAGTACAAATGGTTGTCTTAACATTTTAATGTTAATAAAATTTAAAATTTAATTATATTTTAAAATAAAGCCAAAATTTCAAAATTTTGTTGGATATGGATGGTAGAGAACTAATTTCAACATAAGTGTGTGTTCAATACCCACCTGGGACATCTTAAGGTACTATTTCCCTGGCACTGCCCACTGCACTGACTGATTGCAGTCGAGTTCTACTTTAGTGGAATAGAAAGCAGCATATTTTGTTGGCACTGCTCGGCAGTTTGGGTATGATGTCAACCGCTTCTTTCTGATTGGTCGGGAAGTAATAAAGCGGTTAACAGTACGCCAGTTCTAGGTTATGTTATGAAATCGGAGAAGATTTTGATGATAACAGTCACCTTGTTACATTTTATTTCCTATTTTTTTCATCAACCCAAACAAAATTAAAAGAAAAATTATTTAAAATTATCATTTTTGTCGGCTGGAAGTAAAAACAGTATTTTATTGAGAGATTCAAATATAAAAAAATAATGTCAAGTTAAATACTCAAATCCGAACATTGAAAAATAAATTAGTCTTTTTTTTATTAAAATGCCGCTTTACTAATTACCTAATGATAAATCATTATCTGTTGTGATTTAATTACAAATATATATCATCGGTTTATTGCAAAACATCACTGATTATATTCTTCATGGAGCTCCAATTTCGTCGACAAAATTTGTACTAAACACATTAAAAACTACAAAACAACTCAAACCTTTTATCTATCAAATATAGTTACACCAAGTGCATTACATTTTAACTGTAATACTTTAATATTGTCAGATAGCTGGAGACAAAACATGCTCTGTTTCTAATTGTTTTGCCCAAAATGATGTTTACCATCTAGGGTTAAACCTCCAACACTGTAGATATTGGTGAATATTAAACGTTGGGAACGGTCTAGAGCTGGTGAAAGGTGCTCATTTGAAGCGGAAAATCCTTCCTGAGCTCGCATATTTTAGCATCTCCCACTATTAATTTAATTTTACAGGTCGAAAAAATTGGTGAAGATTGAAAATTCGACAGATGTCGTCCAGGAAGGTTGTGTCTTACATTTTTGGCAAGAAACACAATTTCCTGCACAATATCATTGTTTCATTCTGAAGGCTGCCAGATTTAATTCTTTTGATTTTCGAAAATTTTGTAAGGGGTGCATAAAACTAGTACTCCAGGGTGCCGAAAACTGGAAAAATGGAGGCAAAAAGTGGTGCATACAGTTATTTTTACATTTTCCCATTTTAGTATTTAAAAAATAAATGAAAGACCCTGTTTCACATGTATATTTCAAAACTAGAGATCTTTACTGACTTAACAGAATTGAAATTGTTGAACTAAGTATCCAAATGATTGAAATGGGACAATCACATTTAAAGTTTTCTCAAGGGTGCCAAAGACTGGCATATGACCATTCTTATATGTAATGGCATCTCTCGTGCTGAGGTCTGAAATGTTTTTATGGCAGACATTTTAAAAGCATCTATTCATTACCTACTGGCTATTATACTTTATTCGACATATTTATGGGAAGGAATTTAGTTGTGAACTTATGCCACTTTCTTATTACTCATATTTGTAAGATTTTGTAATTGCACATTCTGAGTTTTCACTTATTTATTAATCTATAAATATTGATAGGAATGAATGGGACCATGTTGAGAGGGTTGAGGGAGATTTTTCCCCACTGTTTATAGTATGGATCGATGTCCATGATATTTACTTCATTCATGTAATATTATAGAATAATGGTTTTCTTTTAATAACCACTCTTTTGCTATATGACATCTATATATACCTAGTTCTGCCATAAATATTGTTACAAATGTTGAACTTTGTTTACACCCTTGTTTATTATTTACATAATCCTTACCTCTATCAGGTTATTTTCTTTACATGTCAGAATAATAATCCCAATTACTTAGTGTTTTTCTTTTGCTCAGTTAACATGGAGTGGGGTAATAAAGAAAACCGAATAGCTGTGATCGCCTTACACAAAGTTGGAAAATGTAGGTCAGAGATTTTCAACACTTTGAAACCTTTGGGTATCAGCCGTATGTTCGTGTACCACATTGCAAATAGATATAATGAAACCTTATATGTGACAGACTTCGACCGGGCCGGGCCGTCCCCGCACTGTGAGAACAGCAAATTCAGTGAGAGCAGTGGCTGCTTCAATCAGAAGAAATCCCATTCGAAAACAACAAATCATGTCTCGGGAATTGAAAATCTGTCAGATCAATGTCTCACATATTAAAAAGTGACCTTAGGATGGGTACATTTTGATGAATGACAGGACAAAGACTAACCACTTCCCTTAAAAAAATTAGAGTAGATAGATGCAAAGTGCTCCTTGGCCGTTACACCAATGATCTCCATCGAAAGATTTTTTTTAGTGATGAGAAAATTTTTACAATCGAAGAAAAATTTAATTGCAAAAATAATCATGTGTACGCACATAGCTCTTTAGAAGCCCTGTAAGTCATTGGAAGAGTGGAAAGAGGTCATCGCCCTTCCTGAGTGTGGAATTTGGTTTGATGGCACCACAAAGCTCCATAACGCTCCATTTTTGTGAAAAAGGAGTTAAAAGCTATCAGGACGTGATTTTGGAACCTGTGTCAAGCCTCTAAATGATACTCTTTTTGCTGGAAGTCATTGGGTTTTCCAGCAGGATTCCGCTCCAGCTCACAAGGCCAGGTCAACTCAGCAGTGGCTGCAAAAGAACATTCCAGAGAATGGCTCTTGGGAAGCCCTGATTTCATCCCACTAGATTATCGGCTTCGGTCCGAACTGTAGAGGATGGCATGCCACAGAGCACACCCTAACTTGGAAAACTTCAAACAATCTCTGGTCCGAGCAGTTGAGCGCTTTCTCTCAAGAAGTGCTGCGTGCCGCTGTTGATGTCTGGCCATGGAGATTAAATGCCTATGTCAAGGCAAAAGGGGGACATTTTGAGTAATTTATTTTTTGTTTTACTCTCTATAGATATACATTTTATTTTCTAATAAAGTTTTTGAAGAAAATAATTTTTCTGTTGAAATCTGTATATATTTCTTTGTAACAATATTTATGACAGGACTAGGTACCTATTTACCTTTGACCAGTAATGCCAAAGGGAAATCCTTCATTCTTATACAAAAAGATTAGTCTTTTATGCTTATGATGCGTGCAGCCACCTTCAGATTTTTAACTTGACTCATCTGAGGGTTTGCAATTGTTGAAAGTGAAACACAATTACAAAAATGTTGAATTTACAATAGTAAGAAAAAGTTATATGAATAGTCATTTATCTACTGCATGATTTTTTTTTGTATTACTGATATATTATTATTATTTGTTTCAGGTGATGGTAGAACTATTACTGTAGTACATCATGCAAATGAAGAAAACTCAGTGGTAGATGGCTTTCAGGAACCTGGTAGCTTTAGACAAGATATCTCTTATGATGCAGATTTTAAACAACTCGAAGCTCTTACTAACCGGAGTAAAACTTGCTCACAATATATTCATTTTCAATGTCGTCAGGCCAAACTACTTAATTCTCCATGTAAGTAAAGAATATTAATTTTACTATTTTTGAGTAAAATGTGTAATTGTTATTGTCAATACTGAAAGTTATGTATGCTTTAGAAAACTTAATTATTTTAATTTACTATAATTAACTTTATAGTATATATTTCATAAAATGAAAATTATATTAATGTGCACTGAATTTTCCTTGAATATATAGCGAATGAAGAGAACTTTCATCCATTCTCATGGTGGGTTTCTCGAAATAACCAGAAGATGGATTATTGGGGTGGATCAATTCCTGGATCAAGAAAATGTCATTGTGGTTTGATGGGCTCTTGTATTGAAGAAACTAAATGGTGTAACTGTGATTCTGGTAAATGCTGAGTAATCTAAAATGTTTTTCATGAAACTAATGATGAGTAAATTATTACATTCATCTTTTGTTAAACATTAGCATTTTAAATGACTAGATGTAACTGGCTATCAATAAATTTAGGACCTTAACAAAAAATGACAAAATCTTGAGCCACTATGATTTATAATAAAATCTCTTGCTTTGCTCGTAAATGGAATGATAATGTATTAAATTGCTCTTTTCCTCTATAAGATTGAGTTTTTAACAGAGATGGGCAAAATCGGAATCAATGAATACATGATTTACAACTGAAAATAAAACCTATAAAAATAAAATTTTATGCTTGATACAATAGTGCTATTAAATATAGCAAAACCATGACACAATTAGCTGATGACAATTGTAATCGAAAACCTGATTACTATTGTAATTATTTAATCACTGTAATCGTAATCGTTGATTATGCCCATCTATGGTTTTCAATCAGTAAGATTTGTATTCTATGAAAATGAAACACTTCAATGTTATGAATGTTAGTTCTGCATACAAATATTATTTTATAAGAAATTCATGCCAATTTTTATTAATCTAATGATATTATTAAATGTGTAGAGCAAAGTAATGTTTTGTGTTTCTATGAATGTTATAATTTGTCCATTATAAATTTCAATTAACTTTATTACATAAAGAAAAGTTTAAAATAATCTTAATAGTGTTTCATTGAATGTATATTATAACAGTTTTATTCTGCAGGTTTTGACAGCTTCCAGACTGATGAAGGCGAACTGACTGATAAGAATGAATTACCTGTTAGGCAACTCCGCTTCGGAGACACTGGAGGGCCATTAGACGAGAAATCAGCCTCTTATAGGCTAGGTCCACTTCGTTGTGAAGGAGATGGTGAGCATTTAATTTAAAACTATATTTGGCATGTATTTTTAATTAACAGCTATAATCACAAACATTCAATAGTTAGCAATCAAATAAAATAAGAATTTTATTTGATCATTCAGTTAAAATCATCTGAGAGAATAATAGTAAAAGTAGTAAGAAATACATTACTCAATATTGTCAATCAAATTTTGGTCATGATTGATATGGTTTATTCAATATTGCTCAATGGATCTTTTAAATTTTATTTAACCATTTTTTTTTTAAATTGTGGTGACTTGATTCAAATTTAAATTTGAGCTTTCTTGCCTTTTCTTAATCAGTATGAAAGTTGAAAAAAGGAAAATATATTGGTTATTCTCTGAAACTAGTAGAAGTCATGTACCAGTGAAAATGGGGCATCTATATTGATTTTTAAAAATATTTTGATCTCAACGTAAATAATACTGTAGCTTTTGTGGACACTCTCATCCTCTCACAATTTTTTTTTTTTTTTTATGATAAAAGGAATTTAATGAATTAAAGACATTTTTTAGTATCAGTTAAAATAAAATTTATTCTTTTTTTTTTTTAGATTTGTTTAATAACGTGGTTACGTTCAGAATTACTGATGCGTCTATTGACATTCCTACATTTGACATGGGCCACAGTGGAGATATTTATCTTGAATTTAAGACAACATTGGATAATTCTGTTATTCTGCACAGTAAAGGACCCTCTGATTTTATCAAATTGGCTTTGACTGGTAAGAAAATTTTTATTTTTTGTATTTAGAAGATTTTTTTTGCTTTTATATTCTTGTTTGTCCATTCAAAGGTGAATTTAATTAAATATTGTAATTGTGTTCTTTTTGATTCACTTAAAAATTGATAATTTTTTATGATTTGGTTTTCAGAATCTGTATTTGAGGATTTTTAGCTATGTATACAAATTTTAAGATTATTTCAATTGCCATTATTCACTTTTTCAATCATCTTAATTAGAAGAAGTTCAACCTCTAAAAAGATTCTAACATTTTTTGAAACTTATCAGATAAAACAAAAAAAAAATAAAATAAAAATAGATCTCCAGTCATATTAGTATAGAAAGAACAATTTCATGCTGAAAAATCTATTTTTTAATTTTAGTCAGTTATAACCCTTTTCGACTGAACACTTCAATTGATAGAGAAAGTTTTATTTGATATGCACTTAAGTGAAAACAAATATTTGTGAACAATGTTACCATTTCCCCCTCCTCCGAAGACACCTTGTTCTATTAAACTTCTCAGTCATTTTTACTTTCACTTACCCATATATGTAATATATCGTAAGGGAAAGTATTGCGATCGTGAACATTTTCAACGGAAATAGATGTTTTGAGGTCACCTGAGTCCAAATAACCAAGTCCCACAAAATGGTGTGTGTGTGTGTCTCTGTGTGTTGTGTAAGTATGTGAACAGTCTAGCTCAAAAACAAAAAGTCGAACGCAACTGAAATTGCCTATTTTAGATTTATATATGCCAGAGATGTTACAACAACTTTTTTGTTAAAATCCGGAAGTGGCCATTTTATATCATCGATTTTACACATTTTTACAATTTCCTCGAAAACGGCTCTTTGATCAAATTCTTTATATCAGTGTAAAATTAAGCGGTTTTTAATATAATGCAGATCCTATTCTCGTTGATGTTCTCTGACGCGGTTTAACTGCCTAATTTTCAAAATTTCCTCCTCTAAAATACCTTTAACTTTTTTTATTTGAAACAATTAACCATTTCACATGCTACAAAATATGGTTAAATACAGTGAACGATGAAAATTGATTGGTAACTAAAGGCGAAATAAAGGTAGGAAGCTATACAGTATAAGCTACGTAGGAAGCTTGGCTGTTTGCCGATTCTCTTCCTTTACAGATACCCGATGCCGCTCTGTACAGGGCTTTCATATTATTAGTTTAACTTTTATGTATCACTTATCCATAATTTTTTTAAATGATCTTCACACATAATGCCGAGAACTTACTGATATAAACCAAATAATATGCAATGTTTATTGTTGTTATTTTTTTTACTTGTTTTGGAATAAATGATTTTTAGTGCGTGCTATTATAATATTAATAATCATCTGTTTTTCCAGGTGGGGATAAGTTACAGTTTACTTATGAAGCTGGAGGGGGTCCTCTTGGTGTAAGCATTGAGACGTCTCATAAGTTATCCGATAATAATTGGCATTCTGTTGTTATTGAAAGGAACAGGTAATTTAAGCAAGATTACCTTAAAATTAATATTCTAATTAATAATATAATTATAATTGATTGTGATGTATTACATATTTTGTTGCACATGGTCAGTCAAACCTAAATTTATTATAATAAATGAAAAATTTAAAGGTTTATTTACTAAAATTGTCTAGGTTACATCTTCCACATTCTTCTAATCTACAGAACATATTCTTCTCACCTAAGAAACTTACATGTTTGATTAGTTCTGGATATTCTTTCAGTGATTTATTCATTCAACACAAGCATTACAACTTACATTTAATTTTTTTTTGGTAGATATTACCTTTCTTACATCATAATCCAGCGGTTAGTTAATCAAAATTGGGAAAAAAGTCTTTTCCTCTCTATTGTAAAAGTGGCATAGTCTGCAATACCAGCCCATGTGCTAGAAAAATGCCATAATTCCTTGCTCATAAACCTGGGGACCAAATATGATGCTCCTTAGAGAAAAGGAATTCATCTCCTTTGAGGAAGTTTATTGTATTGACGCTGATGGATTTGTGAGATATACAGATATTGATGATGAATGTTGAATAATCGCTAAAAGAGAATTTATAATTTTTTTTTTTTATTAACGAAATTTACAACTGTAATTAATAATAAATACAACCAGTAAATATGAACAAGCAAGATGACATGTACAACATGAAGAGAAACTACCCATTAGTAGCACTTCAATTTAATTTATAATTTTATATTTGAAGTAGAAAAGATGATTAAAATGAGGCAATTAAACACATCGACGGCACCATTTTTTTTATCTAACGAATGTTATCCTGCCCAATGTTTCATATTTGTTTCTTTTACATGGAGTCGACAATATGATGTACCTCTAACATAATGTTTTTAAAGTCATATTGAACAAACATGGCAAACAATGCATTTTGATCCAATTCTTTTCCTTAAGAATTCTAAGTAACTTATAATTATTTGTACTTTCTAATTATAATTAGAAAATAATTATTTTAATAAAATATTATAAGCAAAATATCAGTTTCACTTTTAAACCCTATAAGTGAAAAACATATTGATTTAATTTTTGCCTAAATTTTATGCACAGCAATTAATTGCTAATTTTTTCTGCTTGATATAAAACTTTCTGGTGCTTGCTGTTTAATAATAAAAATCTCATTCTGATGAAAGTTTAATTTTTTTTATTTCTTTTGAAAAGTTATCAGTTAGTAGTTACATGGTTGTTTCAAATTAAGACTGATTAAAAAATAATATTCTATTTAAAATTATTATCTTTTAGGATTGCTGCAAGGATAATTCTGGATGGAGCTTTAAAGTCAGAAGTTAAAGAACCTCCAGGTCCAGTCAGGGCTCTTCATCTTACTTCCCCACTCGTTGTTGGTAAATAAAACGATTCATTTTTTTTATGATTAATCGTTATAGCGATTATAATAGCTTAGTGGTACATATTTATAATAAATTTATTATATTAAATTTATTATACCTCCTTTATTGATGCTTTCAATATTAGTATACTTAATTTTGTAAGAGAAGAATAGATAAAACTGTTTATAATTATGTATAGGTTCAACTGTTGATTATCGTGATGGTTTTACTGGATGCATTAGAGCAATGCTTCTGAATGGAGTTCCTATTGATTTAAGGAGCTATGCAGAAAAAGGAATCTATGGTAAATTCATTTTTGTCTAATTACTTATGTGTGTTATGAATTTGACGATTAGTGCGAAGAAGTACTCTATCATACTATATAAAAACAAACAAGATGCCCAAAAATTCTGGAAATTGCTACCCACCCATTGAGGAAAACATGGCAAGTTAGGTGTATTTTTGTTAAAAAAGCAATGACAAATAAGAAATTATGCATATTGCTAAGCCAAATTCATTCAACTTCAGGTGGTTTATCAAAGTCTAGATACCAGAACTTTACTTTGTTGCAATGTAGGTGTCACTATTTATTTCTTCTCATTATAAATTTCCAATCAATTGCCATTATAACTTTTTTTTTAGAAATTACAAAATTTTCACAGTTCAGTTCTGAAAAATTGTATTTTATTACCATTTACTTCTTCACATTGACCATCAATTTCATTGTTTAATTTTTTTTTTTTAATATAGTTATATTGATTAACTGATCTGTGAATTATCTGTACATTTAGGAGTTAGTACAGGATGTGTAGGAAGATGTGAAAGTAACCCATGTTTAAACAATGGAACCTGCCATGAAAGGTATGATGGGTACTGGTGTGATTGCAGGTGGACTGCTTTCAAAGGACCGATTTGTGCTGATGGTAAACTTTGGCTCAGAAATTTTCTTATTATTTGATGACTTCGATTATTTTGAAAATTTTCTTATGTATGCATTTCTTCTCTTTTCTTAACTAGAAATTGGAGTTAATCTACGACCTAGTTCACTTATAAAATATGATTTCATGGGTTCATGGAGATCTACTCTTTCCGAAAAGATTCGTGTAGGCTTTACAACAACAAATCCAAAAGGATTTCTCCTTGGTTTTTTTTCAAAAATAACAGGAGAATACCTTGTAATATCTATATCGAACAGTGGTATGTATTATTTTTATTGTATGGTGATATTTCATGAATTGTCAAAATTTTAAAATACTTTTATATTAGAACTTAATTTGCCAAAATCTAAAAAAAAATGTTGGCTTATTGACAATTGACCTGATATATGTTCAGATTTTATTTTATAAGTTATATTATTAGTTTGTTTGAATAATTGATTCTAGGTCATTTGAAAGTTGTGTTTGATTTTGGATTTGAAAGACAAGAATTAATATTTCCAAATAAGCACTTTGGCTTGGGACAATATCATGATGTTCGACTGACACGTAAGAATTCAGGAGCTACAATGATATTAACTGTAAGTTTTATGTATATTATGGTGTCAGTGCTGTTTATTGTTATTTTTACTTGGTATTGGGATATAATATTAGCCTCGTTAATAATGCTGAAATCCTTTGAGAGAAACTATGTTCTTTATTTATTCTCCTTACTACATTTTTTTAGTGAAATAAAAATAATTAATGGCTAATATGCGCTTACATAGAGCCACAAAAAAAAAAAAAATTAAGAATACTTATCATAATATGCTTATTTTATATCAATAATTACAAAAAATAGAATTATTGCTTATATCTGTCCTTTGTAATTTATTAAATCAATAGGATATTCCAAAGTTATAAGCTTACCTTAAATTTTATATTTACTAGCTATAAGAAACCTGATTCACAGTTATCATTTTTAGGTTGATAATTATGAGCCTAAGGAATATCATTTCAAGGTTAAAGCTTCAGCAGATGCACAATTTAACAATATCCAGTACATGTATATTGGTCGTAATGAATCAATGACTGAAGGATTCATTGGTTGCGTTTCCAGAGTGGAATTCGATGAAATTTATCCACTTAAATTGTTGTTTCAACAAGACGGACCTTCTAATGTTAGATCTCTGGGAGGTAATCTGAGTAACATGGCTAAATAGGCTGTTATGTAATTTACAGTTCTAGTTTCTGATTGGTATATTATTATGATTTTTAGGAACTTTAACAGAAGACTTTTGCGGTGTGGAACCTGTTACTCATCCACCAAACATGATAGAAACCCGCCCGCCTCCACCCATCGATGAAGAAAAATTAAAAGAAATCTATAGTACTACTAGTTCAGCGGTTATTGGAGGTTTGTAATTGTTAAGACACATCTTCAAATCATGCTTTTCTTAATAATTTTTATTGTATTACCAAAGTAAGATAATTGTACTAAACGGAATCTTAATTCACATTTTATTCATTCTGAAGAATCTGTAAAATTAAATGTAAATTTTTACTTTCACTCAGTATTGCTGCGATCCTTAAAATTTTCGAATCTGAGTTTTCAACTGAAATACATGTTTTGAGGTCCCCTGAAACCAAATAACGCAAAGTGGTCTGTGTGTGTGGGTGATCAGTCTAGTTCAAAAACGAAAAGTTATACGAAAGTGAAATTGCATATTTAAGATTTTTATGATATGCCTGGGATGTTACAGCAACTTTTTCGCCGAAGTCGGCTAACCGGAAGTGGCACTTTATACGTCATTGATTTAACAAATTTTTACAATATTCTCAAAAACTGTTTTAACAATTTTGATTAAATTCATTACATCAGTGTATAATTAAGCAGTTTTTAATGTAATGTAGGTTTTATTCTCATTTATGTTCTCTAACAGGGCTTAAATGGCTAATTTTCAAAATTTCTTCCTCAAGTACCATTAATTGCTTTTAATTAAAATAATTAACCATATCATATTATAACCTGGTGTAAAAAATTGGTTAAATATAATGAATGAAGATAATTGATTGGTAACTAAAGGAGAAATAAGCGTTGGAAGCCAGACGAAAACAGTTGAGAGCACCTGACTTTTGCCAATCCTCTCTCTTAACAGTTACCCTACACCCCTCTGTACAAGGCTTTTTATATTTTTTGTTTAATTTTTATATATTTACACTTATCCGTAATTTTTTAAAAAGATTTTCATGCGAAATGTCTATGATCTACTAATATAAACCTAACAATATACAATATTTAATAACATTATGTTATTTTTTTTATGAGTTTCGTGTTAAATGTTTTAGAAAAAGCAGAATTTTCTAAAAGATCCATTTCTCCATATAATCATTAGCATGTTTGATACTAAACTAAGGATGGTAAGTAAAAGTTGTATGATGCTCGCTCCGCACCAGTTTTTTTTGTTTTTGTTTCTGCAACCCTAGTAATTTCTCAACTAACTTCTTCCATATTATCTACGATTAATCATTTCTCCACCATTATCTTAAAAATTAAATATTACAGGTATATATAAGTAAGAATATTTTTTTTTCAACAGTGATATATTCTCCCATTTTTTTTTTCCACTCAATTATATCATTACATATAACGTTTCGGGATCCACTTATATCCCATCTTCAGACAGTATCATCTTAATTCTCCATAGGACTTGTCAAGTTAGTAAAATGTTTTATTTTTTGACTTATTGTTGGAAATCTTATTTAAGTCTCCTCTAGGGAGAGTCTAGAGGAGCCTATGTTAGGAGAATATGTTGAAAAAAAAAATATTCTTAATTATATACCTATAAAATAAGTATCTCACTTAGGATAAATGAAGAAATTAAATATTACTTTATTAATTATAAATATATAACAAAATTCACCTGTTGATACATTGATGAAACTAATTATTGAATGAAAGAGAGGGTTATGCCACTGGTATCCGGCCTACTATAACCAGAGTGGGCAGGTAAAGGTTCAGCCTATGAGTTCAGAAGTAATTACTTGTTAGTTATAGATGTAATAGAGGCCGTGATGTTGAGGCATTGTCAATTAACAATTTAACATTCTCGTGTTTAGCAATAGTTCGAATCCAGCCTAGGCAGGTTGCAATTTATTTGGGAACACTTGGAATCAATCTCAATCTTTTCACTCTGGCTAGAATAGGTTTGGTAGTGATAGAACAATCTCCGTTTTCTCCCCCCATTCCTGTAATTGCGAAGTAGAGGATAAGTAAAAAAAATTATAATTGTAATGAAATGATGAAATATTATAATGACGTTTAGTAAATGATCCTGAAGATAAACTAAAACTTAAAAACATTGATATAAATAAATTTTAAGTGATAAAAAAAAAAAGGAAGAAAATAAAGTTTATATAACAATTAATTTTATATGTAAATAACTGAATATTTCTAAATCAGCGAAATCATTATCATATTAAAGGATAACATGTAATATGTTGATATTTAATGAATTACTCTTATTAATAATTTCATATGATGATATAAAATTAAAAATGATATAAAATTTGTTTGTTTAGGAATAGTGGCTTTGATATTACTGATATTGATATTAGCTGCTTTATTGGGAGGAAGGTATATAGCACGACATAAAGGTGAGTATTTAACACAGGAAGATAGGGGTGCTGAGCTTGCCCTTGATCCTGATGAGGCTGTTATTGAATCCACAAGAGGCCATCAAGTTCAGAAGAAAAGGGAATGGTTTATTTAATTAGCAATACGGTTAGCATAATTTAGTGGTTTATGCACACATTTCATAATTGAGTTCTCAAAGCAGTTGAGCCGCAAGGGAAATGCTTGAAAATCATTCTACAATCCATGACATGACCAATAAGGTGTTACAATTTTTAAAATCATAGGCTGATAATACTTCTTTTTCTATTTAATTACTAAAATTTAAACTAATACATAAAAAAAACCATTCCTTTTTTAAAATAAGGAACTGTTATAAAAGTTGTTAAGTTTTATATGTACAGTTAATCCCATACCAACATAAAATGAAATGTGTGCATTTATTTATTTTTATTAGCTATATTACAAAACAGTGCCTAAAGTTTAATTTTAGGGGAAGGGGGGTTATGCTGCAGAAACATCCAAAGCCTTTTGACAAGACTAACATTATATTGTACATGGTTCATCGAATCAGATTGTATTATAAGAAGAATCTCTTACATAAGTTATTGTGTAGATCTGGTTGAGTAGTTGATCATTTTGTATTTTTGGCTATAGTTTGTTTAACTAGGATTTTAGATTAGAAATTGTGCTTAAAATTAATTCGAGTTCTCTTATGTTGGCACTGGTAACGTACAATAAAATGAATCTCTATTTCAATTAACACTCAATACTAAGTCTTTGCAATGAAAAGTATTATTTGAATCGTCCATTTTTTATATTGTTTTAATTTATATTTTCTTATCATGTTGTTTTTTGTTTGTAAATTTTATTTTTAAACTAAAAATTAGTTTATATGTCAGTTTTATGAGCTTGTTTAATATTGTTTATTAATATTTGTTTGCTCCTAAGGTAAAAAGACATCTCATTCATTGGTGTATTTGTTTTACAATCAATGAGCTCATTTACACCTTTTGTATATATAACTTCAACGTTCTTCAACAGAACAGTTTTACCATGTTAATATTTGTGTTCAAAGTGTATTTTCTTTTTTTTTTAAAGTAAATTATTTTATATTTATATATATATAGGAAGCATTTAAATATTAATTCTTTCACCTGAATAAGAATAAGTTTAATTATCAACAAATGATTGGTTTAGTTTTTTATTAAAATTGTAATGATGTATCATTTATTTTAAATTGAATTATTTTAATCAGTGAAGAATAATCTCAATGTTTTTTTTAAACATCTTATTAAGTCTGCACTAAAAGAAAGCATTTCCTGATATGAAGTTAAATTCCAATATAGCAATAGCTAATGTTATATTAAAGATGTGACAAATGTAGGCCTTAATTAGAAAAACCAGCTATAAACATGACTACAATTTCATCATAATCTTGTTTGACACAACATAATTTAGGCATGTTTGGGATTGTTCGTCACTGGTCTTAATATATATATATATTTTTGGTACACAACTTAATTTTATTTATTTTTTAAATGATGTACCGATAATTATTTTATACTTTTTTCATTTTTAACTTTCACTTTACTATACATTTTGAAGCAATATCATTTTTGATGCTTACTTCGATGGTATGTAATCCACCTTTTTATAGTTCATGTTTTGTATTAAAAGTAAAGAAAAAATGAAATTGTTTGTGCAATGGTCTAGCTTTTTAAAGGAACCAAAAATAGTCTTAAAACAAAAAAAAAAAAAAACACGTAAAAATTATGTTTTAAACCTTGATAAATGATATATATTTAAGGCAATTAAACTTAGTTACACTAAACTACTTAATATTTGACTGTGAAACATTGATCTGAATTAATTTAAAAGATATTTTATTATAAATTATCAAGTAGCAATATGTGTAAATCAGTTTATTTTAAATGTGTTTTTGTATTTCTTACATATTTTCAAATATTCTATTTAAAATTTAAAAAAAATAATGGGGTGGAAATGAAAGCACCTTATTCTTAAAAAATATGAGATAATGCTCAAGTGCCTGGTTTCAATAAAATGTTTTCATGAATTTTCCAATTGTTCTAGTAGGATTGAGGTTTCAAGTTACTGTATGAAATGACTGAACTTTAATATTTAGTACTTCTAATATAATAGGCATATCCTGGCATCAGCCAATTAACAGAAGCCTGAAAGCCATTTATTTTTTTAAATATTATTGATTTTTATCTTTTTTGTTGGAAATAGTACAAATTGTATTTATGGACATGTATATACAATATGTATATACAATTTAGTTGTGACCGGTTTAAGCGCCTTGTAGTTATAATATTGTAATGCTCTTCCTTGTATTATAAGATGTATATGTAATAATATAAGTTAACATAATTTTTTTTTATACATACATTGTTCAACTTCATTTCATAGAAATACACTTTTTTATGAAAATATACATTTTCTTTACTTACTAATCTCGTTAGTTTTAAAAATGTTTTATTTATTTAATCATGTGCTGATGAATAATATGATTTTACTTTCACTTACTGATACATGTAATATAGTAAGGGAAAGTATTACGATCATGAAAATTTTCGAATCTTAGTATTCAACGGAAATAAAAGTTTTAAGGTTCCCCGAGTCCAAATAACCAAGTCCCGCAAAATGGTCTGTGAGTCTGTTTGTATGTGAACAGCATAGCTCAAAAACAAAGAGTCATGTGAAACTTAAATTGCGTATTTGAGATTTTTTTTTTATTCTGATGTGGCAGCAAGTTGAAATCAGCTAACAGGATGTGCCACTTTATATCAATGGTGAAACAAATTTTTTAAATTTTCTCAAAAATGGCTAACGATTTTTATTAAAATCGGTGTATCATTTTATAATTAAGTGGTCTTTAATACCATTCAGGTATTATCCCCATTGATGTCACTTTATAGAGCTTAAATCCCCAATTTTCATGTACTTCTTCCTCTAAAGTAGCTTTAATAGGAATTATTTAAAAAAAATAACTCTCTTTTATTGACAGTAACTATAAAAAATATGAAGTTTGAAATAATATGATAATTGGAAACTGGAGAAAAATATTTATTCAGGTTGAAAATGAATCTGAGTAAATAACAGTCAGAATGTATATGTATAAAATATCATTGGAAAATGGATTATATTAGTGAATAATTTGATGAATTTTACCTTTGTGAAATCCCAACATTATCCACTTACAATTAGTGTGACAACTTTTTACCTAATGAAAATCTACTAATATCATTTTAGTAAATTTTGCAATGAAAAATAACAGTTTAATAAGTAATAGTCCTGCAATCGATAATCATTTATAGGTTAAATATTCAGTTGTACTTTCAAATTTCTCTAAGCATGTATCAGCCTTTCGGTTGACAGAATGACTTAACTCCAATTTCAACATTCTTTATTATTAATTTTTGTGATGTTTCTAGTGGAAAAATTTATAACTTTATTCACAGTTCTATATTTCAACACTGCAATTACCTACTCTGGAATTAACTTACTCACTGCCTTTATAGATACAACTTTTTCAACTAGAAAAATCATATTACTCAAAAATGTTGAAATTGTAGTTAGTCATTCTGTTAACTGAAAGGCTCAGAGACTGAAGTTGTATGGTTTATAAAAGCAGATGGAGTAACTAGATTTTTATTGCTTACCAACGATGTTATAAATACATTTTTGTTAATTTTAGTGCTCTTAATGATTTGTTATGTGTAAGTTTTAAGCCTTAGCTTTGCTTAAAATGCACTTCAAAATTTTTATAATAGTCTATATAAACATACATTCGGTCCCTGAGCCTTTAATAATTTCTAAAAAATAAATTCGAAAATAATTTCTATTCAAAGTAGAGCGGTAAGTGAAAGTTGTGTGTTGTTTACACCAGATTATTGTTATTATAACTATGTGGTGCTCCCTGCTTAAATCAAATGATTAATTATATATCACCTTCAACCCATAATAAAAATGTAATTCATATATTCATTAATTCATATACTGTTTGGAATTCTGGTATGTTTGAACGCCATTTTGGAACAGTGCGGCAAATTTTTTATGTTGGAACATTGGCTTTTTTTTTAATAAATAGTTACAAGGAACACAACTATATGTAAGTTAATAGAATGTGGAGGGAAGGTGCTCAGTTGGGGGAGAGGGACTGGCCCACTCAATAAAATACTTTTCGAAACACTTCTGGACTATTGTCTGCCAGTCCAGTCAAGGGCTCATTATCTTCAAGGAAAACCTCCAAATTCTCTGAAGGAGGGTCAAAATGGAGTTACAGAATACAGAAGAGTAGTATTGGAATAGAAGAAATCGAAATGGGTAATTTTTGAAAGCTAGATAGTTCGTTACCTGTTGGGTTTAGAAAAAAATGCTATGTACAGTGTTAGGTATTTTTAAGCTGTTTAAGATTAATAACCATCTTTTATCCATTTTGCTCAAAAAATGAGATATTTAGCGTAAACCAAAAGAAAGTTCGAAATTTCAATGTTTTTTGGAGCATTGCAGAGAACCCAAAAATCTTTCAAGGGTGGAAACTTGGAATTTTTTATATTCACTACTTACCTAACTATATAAAAAATAAATTTTCTTTTGCAAGGTAACATGCCTAATTTAGCATTAGACAAGATTAATCTTTTGATCTACGCTGGTTCTCTTTGATTTTTCAAAAGCCTTCGATTCCGTTAATCATAAAATCCTTTCCAAACTCCAAAACTTTTCCATATCAAATAGAGTCCTAAAGTGGTTCCATTTCTTCTTGTACCACAGATCCCAAACTCATTTCCAATAAAACTCTTTCCTTCCCCCTCTTACTAACTCGTGATGTTCCACAGGGATCTTGGCTCACCACTAGCGGATCCAGGATTTATTTTTTTGGGGGAGGGGCTTAAGCCCGAAAGTTGTTTTTTTCATAAAAATAACGATAATTACTTTGGAAAAAAAGAAAGAAACTAACTACCTATATGAAATGGTGTTTAAGTGATTCCTAAAGCCCTTTTAAATGTAATTACACTAAAAATAATACTTTAAGAGATACTTTTTTAATATTTTTTTCGATAAAACATGGTTATATTTTACCATTTTGGGGGAGGGAGGACTTCAGCCCGAAAGCCCCCCTCCGTAGATCCGCCCGTGTCGCTCACTCCAACTCTTTTCCCCATCTACATCAACGACTCTCTTGATTCCATACATCATTCACAATACCATCTTTCTGCTGAAGATCTTTCAGAAAATCTATCTTTTCTTTCGTCCTACCGAGATACTTTGGACGATTCGAAGGTTACGGAAAGATATAGGTAGTAGGTAGTATTACCATCTGGGCAACGAGCAATGATTTAAATTTGAACGTGGAGAAAACTAAATCCATTCTCATTGGCTCCAAGAATCTTCTCAATTCCATCCCTCGTTATCCCCCACTCTATCTCAATGGAGTACCAATTCATTTCCATAATTCCGTAAGAAATCATGGAATAAGTTTTGATCAATACATACCCTGGAACAATCATATTTCCCAAATTATCCGAAAATCTATTGCTATCCTGAAACAGTTTCTAAGATTCCGTGATTCTGTGCCCCTAAAAACTCGTTAGCTCCTAGTTTCCTCTCTTAATTTTTCTCACTTCGATTATGACTGCCTTGTATACGGTGGGCTGTCTGGTGGACTCGAGATTGAAGGCACGGGCGGATCTACGGGGGGGGGGGGGAGGAGGGCTTTCGGGCTGAAGCCCCCCCCCCAAAAATGGAAAAATATAACCATGTTTTATGGGAAAAAAAATTTAAAAAATACCTCTTTAAGTATTATTGTTCGTGTAATTACATTTAAAAGTACTTAAGGAATAACTTAAACACCATTTCATATAGGTAGTTAGTTTCTTTCTGTTTTTCCAAAGTAATTATCGTTATTTTTATGAAAAAAAAAGGTTTCGGGCTGAAGCCCCCCCCCCCAAAATTAAATCCTGGATCCGCTAGTGATTGAAGGGACTAATGAATTGTTTCATTAGATTCATCTTTCGAGCCTCCGGCCGCTCTCACGTCTCCAGCTGGTACGTGTAACTCTATCCAGCTTTCATACGCAATATATCTAGGTGTTTTCCTTTTCCCAACCTTTGAAATAAAAAAAAATCTCTTACCTTCTTGCTCCTCTGGGTATTCGTTCAACACGAGATCCCAGACCACAAACCTGTTTCTTCCTTCTCATAGAACTGTTTCCTTCAAAACATCCTTTCTCATGTGTGTTAACTTGTTTTGGATTTCTCTACCTACTTCCATATGCAAATCCTCAACCTCATTTAAACAGTTTTATTTTTCCATCTCCTCAGTAATAAATCTTCGGAATATATGTAACAATAACATTTCTGTGTTTTTTAGAACTGTTACTTCATTTCACTGCTATCTTTCAGATACCTATATATAATATATTATCTATAAGTGAACACACTCTTATACATCTACCTATAATTCAAATGTTAACTTGTGTCTTTCTTTATT